ATATTTTCCTTCCTATTTTTACAGACTTAGGATCAATTTTGTCTGTAACTTAAACATTTCTATATTTTTATTTTAATATAATTTTGTTTCAATTTTTTCTGAACTTTTCACTTTAATGTGAGTATCTATTTGGGTACTTCTTAAAACTTCTATCAACTGATATATATTAGTTTTAACATATTGCGTTTTATTTTTCTAAACTTCTAAACTATTACATTAATAAATATTATTATTGCGGAACAAGGTGACTATTAAACTACCCACATAAACCCGGGATAAAAATTGTATCTCTTTTTTAATGTACGACTTAACTCGGGTGCGCTGATTCAAACACTACGCGCCGTGCCATGTCACCACACCAGTGTACAGTGTTCCAATACTTCCCCTTTAATTAAACTAAAAAGAGAAACATCCTATCAACTAGTTGATGGAAATCAAAAATTTCATCACTGAAATTTATTTAAACTAATATTGCATCTACTTAAGAAATGTTGAATATAGATTCGTATTTGAAATTCGAAAACTAACTCTAAAAACCCCACAAAATAAACAGTAAAAAAAAAATAAAAATTATTTTAGATATTTTTAAATCGAACAACTTTTGTAATAAGTATATATATTTTTTTCTTTTTTGTTTATTTATAGGAGAAAATATCTGTAATATAAAATTTTAATCATTCTGTATAATGTATATTAGTTATATTGTATACAAAAATCTATTTTTCATATTAAAATATCAAACGTCAAAATATGTAAGCCACATTGTAAGAGTTAATTTTTTTTTATGAAAAATACATTTTTTTTCTTGTTTAACCACCAAGTGTTCAAAGTTTTGTCAATATCGAAATGGAATTGTAGAATTTGTATAACATACATAGTACATACAGATGTTCACACTTTTAGTTACAACATTTTAGAACTGAGAATAAGATATTACCTAATGAAATATTGTAGCACGTTGGTTGGATATAGAGTTAGAAATTTAGGAATATTAAGGAAATAAATGGAGTGACGAGCAACAATAGTTATTGGATGTAGCGAACAATCGATGTGGGCAGAAGGATTTAACTGTAACAGCAAAATACCTACGTGACCTGTAGTAGACAAATATAAAATATTTTAAATACTTAGAATGAAATAAGAAAAAAATTGACTAAGAATTTATCGAATTTCTCAAACACTCGGGTGGGGAGGGGCACGTAAATAGATATATAATATTGATAGATTGTTGATTGAAGAAACTAAATAGATGTGACAGTAAACGAGTTCCTACAACAGGAACAGAGGATTGAGATGCATGTAATTGTGAACTGATTTATATTATATAATACAAATAAAAAGCAACCCATCAGAAACACTCGTTGATGAAATGTTTCTGAAAAAAAAAAACGTTGAGTTCAAATACCGTACGTAATTAGTTTCGATAACCAACGCCAATCATTCACCGGTAATATAGCATAATACATTATACAGTGTGATCATTTTATATGATTCAAAGTTGTAATATATGTGTATAGGTATAATTTCACTAAAATTTAGAGGTTGAAAAACTCTGAAATTTACGTAACTAAGTAATGAAGTACTTAATTTATAAATAAAACAAAAATCCAGAAGAACCGTACTTAATAATAAACATTTATATAAACACTCATAAGTAAAATGGCTCAAAAAGACTATGTTTGATCAAAGATCATTGATCGCATAACACCAATTTTCACGTGGTATCATCATTAGTCTACTTTGTGATAGAGATTTAACTAACTGTCAGAAAAATAATAAGAGAATTGTAGCAATACCAACTACAAACAAAGAAAACAACCGTCACATCTAAACCTAAACTCGTTGTTAGTGTTTTAAGAGCTAAAACATTTAGTCGTTGAAAAAACATGCTAAATAGAAATAAAGGAAGGAGAAAAATAAAAATAACGTCTTTAAGTAATACTTTTAAAATATAATAGTCGACAAAGCACAAGAGTCGTAATACAAAAGTATGGTATTATGATATTTCAAAAAAAAAAACAATTGGCAACAGAAAAATATTGTATCTTGTCCCTTATCAATTTTCTGACAACTACTTATATCCGTTAAGATTAATAGGTACCTAATATCACGGACTTGTCCGTAGTACACATAGTAATTACAACTGAATTAAGGATACAGTGTCCTCATTCTAAAAAAAATATAGATTGGAAAAATAACGGCTTACGTAAAATCAAATAATTTTAAATCGATGATATCACGAGGACGTGATAATTATCATCTATTAACGTCGTTATCATTGCTTTGTACATATTTAATAGTTTGGAATTATTTATAGATTAGAAATATAGAAAATCTAGTGGGTGCAAAATGATAGTGTTGCACTTCCACAAAAATTCAAGAGGTTTCAAGTGCATCCCAAAGATTAAGCCCATGGATACGTATTTTTTAAAAATTGGGAAAAATTGAATTTTTTAATCAGTTCTAGACGCATGTATTTCAGGTAATTATTTAGACAAAACAAAAATGTAGTTATTTATAAAAGTTGCTTAAAAATACATAGGAGTGGGATTATTCGAATCTAGTGTTATAACAAGAAATTTTAGATTTTGTAAAATAGGTATTGTAACATTTTAAAAAAAGATCTAAAATTACTAATGGGTGTGCCACTGTTGTAGATGAGTAGTTAGAAAAGTATGATATATAAAAGTATTTATTTGTATCTTTACACAACGATAAAACCTTTCTAACAAAAACGATTTTGAGCAACGTTTAGATAAATATGAAAATACATGTAATGAAATGCCTTAATTTTCATGATTTTCGTAAAATATTAATCTTAAGACGCTTTAAAAAAAACGACCATTCCTCGTAAATTAAACATATTATGCATCTATAGTATTTAATTTTTGAGCATTACTCTTTGGCTAAATAATTGTCTTCACATAAATTGATATCGGTCAGTAGATTAGTGATAAATTATTTTTATTAATGTCGTTTAAGTTAATGGTTTAAGGTAAATGTGGACAAACGTTTCCAGCCTTCTTAACGTTTCTTTTCGTCGTCGCAGTGTGGATTGTATTATATTAATCGCTTTCGTGTTAACGGGGTAAAGGTAAAATAAAAAAAAAAAACATGGAAAATTGAAAACTATTGAAAAAAAAAACGTTCTTATACGAAAACCACCTGCACCTACAGCAGCACGTACACGGTTCTCCCACGACACCGCATGGTATTTGTGTCTTAACAGGGAAATCGTACTTATTTCGTATTCTTGTCGTGACCCTTCACTGTTGTCCTCTTTTCTTCAAGACACGTCTCTGGAGAAGGAAAAAAAGAAGAAAAATAAAGAGACAGTCACACGGGTCGCCTCGATGCCCCGCCGGGCCACAACAACGATATCTTTTCAGCAGTTGTCGTCATCATCATATTGTTGATTTCGCGCTTCGTATATTGTGTCGAAACGAGGCACTTAACTGCGAAAAGACCGAAAAAACCACGGGGCAATGGGTATGATGGCTGTGAGAAACAAAACGCAAGCGAATAAAATAAGAAGCTTTCACGGGCGGGACACATGTAACAATTCCACACATAAAATAAAACCCATTCTCTGTTGTGCTACATCCGAGATATACATATATATATATATATAGCTATATATTTTACATACATATATAGAGGCGTTATTTTCGTTTTCTTTTCAGATGCACAAGGATCCAAGCAGGTAATTTTAACATTTCACTAGACCACATAATGATAGATATACCAATGTACGTTATCTTAATTTTAATAAATTGTTCTATTGACCATGGACCATATCAACAGAAATAGTAAAAAGTAGTTTAAAAACCAAATAGTAATAATAAATAATTGATTACTTTAGTTGTGGAATATCTAAATGTAATGCATAGAAAGCTTGAAAAGGACAAAAAAAAAAATAAATGAAAAATACTTAATATTTATATTTATAAACTGCCATTTATAATTCATATCCATAATTTTTGCACAAGAAAAACACTCTAAAAAAAAATGTTTGATCACAGGGGAAAATACGAAACCCCTGCCATCTCACTAAAAAGCTTAAAATGTGTACTGCTCACGAGTAGCCACTGTTATCGATATGTACATGGTAGTTAAATTTACATGATCTATGTATCTATGTATAAATATACATAATTGCAAAAGAAAAACAATTTTGAGCGTGTTAGTATTATACAAGTTGTATTTTTGACTTGATGCAAAGGTAATCCAGGAATTATAAAAAAAAAAAATAAAAAAAAAATGTATGGAGTGAGCTACTGAAAATGTCGATAAATGTTTCAAATTAAGTACAAATAGATAAAAATTCCACATTCATTGAAGTACTCCACTACTGCGTGAAAAAGCTGGAGTACGTATTTGCATAATCATAAATATATTTTATGAAATAATGTTTTGGAATTTTTCGAAAAATGATTCAAATAAAAGACCGTTAGGCGTAAAATCCGTACGGTTAACCTAGCCGGTTATACGTGGAATATGAGTTTTGTACGGATTGATTGACGGAATCGCTCACGATTTCAAATAGACTCACTGTCAATAATGAAACACCGCGAAGGCATATCGTATTACACTGCGGCACTCTATTGATACCTAAGCAGTTAGTTTATCTGTATTTAATAACATGCTCGCATGATGCCATACCAGGTGAAACGTACCGGAGTTCTACGGTTCGTTTGCGGAATTATTATGTTGTATGCACGGGCGCAGGACGGAAATAAAACGGTAATAAACACGGTGTATAATTATTATTGGAAACCGTGCGTATGATGAATTATAGTATGGTCCATCGTACATAAAAATACACCACGGTTATAATATTAAATATTTTAAAACGATATCCACGCACGCACGTAAGTGTATAATGAAAATCCCGCGTTTTCGACAGATGGCGCGCGGAAATCCACCGCCACCGCCGACAAAGTGCCGCGGCGTTTCGACCCAGGAACTTTCGACGTCGTCGTCGTCGTCGTGGCCGCAGCAATTCAGTTACGTTCGGATATCGGTAAATGCCGCAACGGTTGTTAGCGTGACGTTCGCCATCGCTGTCGTCGTCACAATCGTTCGTCGCTCGCGTGTCGTTCAGTGATTATTCAATTGGTTTCGTTCGTGAATTTTTTTTTTTGGCCCAACATATTTTGCTCACCATATTTTCACATTTTTTTCCCCCGTCTCGTGTCTTATACATTTCTACTCGGACTACGGGGGAAAAAAAAAAACACGTAAATTTAATTTTCAACATATATATATATACACACAGCAGCCGTCCACGTTTTTGCAAATCGTCACATTATCTTCGCAGTATATTTCTATACGTAAGTTACTCGAATTATTGTTGTTTTTTTTTTTTTTTTTAAATTATTTATTACTATTTAGTAACTCAAATTATTTTTAATCTATAGTTTAGTCTAAATAATAAATTCAGAATAGGGGCTATTAACCATACTGGGGGCTAAACTCTCCAAGTCATCTTCACTGTTGCCTATGTGGCAACAGTGAAACCTTTGTAAAATATTTAAAAAAAAAATCAAATAGTTATTAAGTTTTGAAATTGAATTTCGTACATAATTCGGAATTTACGTACCTATTAAGAAAACCATATTACTATAGTATTCAGTTAGCAACAAAAAATTAACTTCTACGAAATTCACAGTCATAATGTTTTGAATGGTTAGACAATATTTGTTTATATTTTTCTCTGTAGACCGGATATCACGATAAAAAAGAAATAAAATAAAAATATTATTTTATACATTTAACCTCCTTTCCCTGAATATTATGACGTAACATAGTCTGTAAGAACAAGATAAACTCGTGGACGGTCTCGTAGTCAAAAATAGTGGGTAGGGGGAGTTTAACTTAGAGTAGCTCTATTTTACGTTACACCCAACGTTTATGTGAAAAAAAAACAACTAATCGGTAAAAGAACAAACTCTTAATAATTATTTTTTTTTTTTTTTAGTTTTAGTGGAAATAAGGAAACTCCCCAGCTCCAATGCATACGTATATTATTTGTATTCTATTTATTTTCAATCCATAACGAAATTTTATATTATATGTCCTTCTGGGAGGTCTCTTAAGCCGTTTTTGGAAGTGTGTAATTATTTATTTGTTTTTTTTTCTGTATTTTCCCATCCCGTCCTCTCCATCGAACTCTCCGTATCCACGCGAAAAGTCAACTCCAGCTCCCGGGAGCGCTACCGGTTATTACAGTCGGTTTTAATTATAACGAGTGGTTGTAAATACGCGAATTTCAATCTAATATTATATTATATTAACGGTTAGTAAGTACACCGATTTACAAAGTTCCATAAAATATACGGCAGCGCGGCGAGTCACTGATATATTACTATAATTATAAACGGGTGATAATACTATTATTTATATTGTATTTTATTATTTATTTGTAATTTTATATCCCGATATGCAACGGATCGAGTAAACGAAATTGACGATTTAACGCGCATAAATTATCGATGTGACGGTAATATAACAATACATTCACCGGGCAGTACGGATTTTTGATAAAATTTGGTTTTTAAACCATAATACCTATATTTATATTTAGTGATTTATTTCGATTCGAAAATTGCTATCGTTCCGAAACATACGCATTTCACATGTACAATAAAACACTCTTTAAAAAAAAAAAAAACGATCCGTCTGGCACGCATTATAATGTTATAGTCCAGGTGGTAGATAGTTTAGTTGTATATGACAGTCATGGGATCGATCTTGAGTAACAGACTACCGGCTACCAAATCTCCCAGTAGGCCGTGGTAATAATGAGTTAGTCAAGCGTGACATTGATGGCACCACCATCACATTCCACCGTTGCTCTTTATCATATAGAATATACGTAGATATTACATAAATAAGGATCATATTATCTATGTACGTATTCTCATGAAATAACACTTAATCTTTAATCACAGCATCATTCCATCTTTTCCTGAATCCGATATATAACGGCATCTTATTACTAATAACATTAAACACGAAAATTTTAGACTTTCTTATCTGTTTAACCAAATTGAACGTACAATAACATATAAAAACTTGTAGAATATCATCATATTGTCATTTATATGTGTTGTGTATCATTATATTATGTTTTATTTTCCAGTAAGTATTAATAATTTTAAATTTGATCACGTTTTCAAAAAATACGACTTCATGATATTAAATAATAAAACACACTACATTATACTTAATAATAGTTGTTAAAGTTTTCCGGAGTCATCGAAATCTTTCTATGGACAATTTTTCATTCATTTCTCATATTTGAAATTCAAAAATATAAGACACATATGTAAATATATTACTAAGTTACTATTAAAATCGATTAGTAGGTATGTATTATCGCATTGATATTTGTGGAGCATATTTAAAACTAAAAAAATAATACAAAATATCTAATACCACTGATGGGTGTAGCACTGTTGTAGGTGGAGGAGGTTGAGAAGGTAAGATACATACAGTTATTCAATTTATATCTATACGTGCCGGTAAACCATTATGACTAGCCCGAAATTGGCATAATGTTTTAAAAATTGTATCACTTTTATAAAACGTAAATAAACATAAGTAAAAAATTATGAAAATTTCAGCTATCAATGATTATTTTTTAGGAATGATAATTTACACTTGTTATAATAATATGTTATTTTAACCGGTAAAACAAAAAGATAAATATTTTATGTAGAACAGTGCTGTTATAACTGAGAGTTATTAATTAAAAATTTAAAAATCGTTAATAAATAATATTTGCTATATGGATTGTTGTTTTAGAACACTTCGATAATGTTGCTGTACTATTATAATATAATAATATTAATTTTGTGGGAAAAAACGTATAATTTCAAGATTTTATAATTTTATAAAAACACGGATTTTTTTAATTTTTTTTTTTATGAGAAATAATGACTTAATAGAAAAATCACAAGACATCTTTATTGTTGCCTTTTTGATTTATTTTCTTATGGTATCATCATCAAAACTTTTGAGCCACTTTTGAGTTTTTAAGGAATTTTAATTTTTGGGAGTTTTTTAATGTAATCCCGTTATAAATATACGCAGAGACTTAAAACTTAGTAATAATACTTAAATAAGATTTATCTAGACCTGATAAAATTTCCAAAATCGTTGGACGAATTTTTTTGTTTAATAATTGAAATCAAATTTAAACGAAAATCGCAAATAAATTACAGCATTTAAAATTATGTATTACCGAACTGCGCTCGGAATCGTCTTTCGTTAAGCAATGGTTTATCGTTGCTTACAGATATAAATGAAATAACCTTGTGTATTTTACTATCCCAACTTCTCACCTACAACAGTGGCTTCACCCGTCCCCAGTATCAGCTTTTTTTTTTGGAAGTAACATTATATTATGCGTTATAGTTTTTCAAAATTATTATTTTTTTTTAAAGTTTTATCTTTTATATTTGTAATTAAAATATTTATTCATACAGGCATATTGTAATGCCATCAAAGTTATTACAATTTATTTTGTTCTCTCATATGAGTATAAGTAAAATAATTAATTTTAATCCCGAAATTAAATTTTCTACGTTGATTTGTGTACTTAGGTTCATCGCATACTATACCTGTTTTAATGAAAAAATAAATGTCAATATAAGAGTATATATTCAAAGGACTTCCTGGTATTTTATTTATAATACATGTGCATTTTAATTTATAGTTTTAAAGCACAAAATATTATAATTATGCCTACCTCATTTATTTATTATTATTGTTTTTTTTTGATGTTAAAAACAAAAATACCTTTGTACTAATATAAATCACCGTGTTTTAGTTTCGATCTCAGAATTCCGTAAATTATAATTGATTTGGTTCAAGGGTCCATATCATATTAATTTTATTCTGAGAAAAAAAAGGTGTACTTAGTTCTTTGTGAAATTAAGATTATTAAAGATTTTTCTTAGTAATTTTATTGAACGTGTGTGTAAATGACGCAAATTGCTTTTGATTTTAGAGATTATATTTTAAATAATAAAAATATAAATATATAGGCTAGGTTTAAGCCCTCTTTAGTATAAATGGACAGATGGTAAAATAAAAAAAAAATAAAATTTTTGTTAAAATAATGAAGTTTACAAAAAAAACGTGAATAACAATAGCAACTAATTTATTTATTTTAAATATTTATCTTCTTCGTCAGCAATAATCGACAAATTGATGAATGATACGAAAAATGGCATGCACTATTTTTTTTTTTTAATTTATGGTTTTAGCTTACGATTTTATCTATCATGCTTTTTCTTTAGACTATCTCAATGGGATGAGCTTTTTTAATTGAAAATTCTCCAGTATTCTTCGTCATGTTGAATGCATAAAAAATTAACCCATCAATGAAAGGGCTTGCCTTTAACACAACTGGAGACGCACTGTTTTAGGTAAAGTAATGAAAGCTGCTGATGTCAAAGTATATCTTATCTTCTTTTTTAGCATTCTTTCGATTTTTTCGACAAATATAGGATTTCTCCTAAGTGTAGCCGCTATCTCTCCAAATCTAGAATTTCATTAGTCTCCGCCAATTTCACTACTACAATGTAAACGAAGGAAATTCGTATACAAAAAGGAACCTTCGTCAAGAAATAATGCCGTTTTTTTTACAAATCAGAAAATCAAAAAGCCGTTTTCTAGCCTAGAGAATATTTCAAAAAGTTATTTTTTTCAATAAAACGTTAAATCTACCTCTAACGCTTAATATCCTCGATTAACTTATTTTTGTCAGAAATGGAGTTAAGATATGAACCAAATCAATTATAGTAACATAGATTTTTGATTTATCGAATTTCCGTCTTGTTTTATCGATATACTTACTAATGCAGCTTGAAATATTTCTATTCTACTCGGTTCATTAAATTTTTCTTTTATCTATTTTTAAAATTTTGTTTAGTTCACTAGAAGTTTGGTGTGGTGTACTTATATTTGTACGTTTCATTTAAAAGCCATTAATAACTAAAAAACCTAATAAAAAAATAAATAAGTTAACAAAACACAGTAAGCTTTTAAATATTCATTATGATTGTTTGTGATGAAATATAAACGGTTTTAACTATAGTATAATTTTCATATTATCAAGTAATTCATGTAATTTTGACATAATCATAGGATTACGAGTGACATGAAATTTAAAAGAAATGTAAATTTGTATTTATTATTATTCTGTGAGCTGTATTTTTTTTAATAAAATTAAATTCGCTCGTTCTTTTTCTAAAATACAGTTCGAAACCTAGAATTTCAATGCATTATGTGTATTTAAAGGGTAAGCGACACAGTATTGAATTTTTGTGAATAAGGGTGATACAAATCAAAATATGTCGAGAACCATTGTTATAAACAAATATTTCATGATTGGTAAAACAATACAATTCGCTCTTTTTGTGTTTGGCTGCCAAGCTTCAGATTTACTCATAGAGTCGGCTGTCTATGATTGTTTTAAATATCTGTGGCTACTATAAAACTTTTGTAGTGACTGTTTTTAATAATCATGAAGAGCTAATAATATAATATATTAATTTAAATATTCAAACGTTTCAAACTAATCAAATTTTATTTCAATGTTTTTTCCTTATAAAAATAAGTACTGTTTGATTTTTTAGCAATAATATTATTATTCAGTTAAAAGTATTCAGACAATATAAATATGCATTAATATACATTAGCAATAATTCAAATAATATTTATTATTAGATGGTGTTTATTCAAAAATGTTTATTCAATATCAACTCTGGACATATTGTAATGGAATTTTACTTAGTAGCTATAATATTTAAATGTTTTGTTTTTCCTTTTTTAATGGTTAAATATTATGTTATAATATAATGAGTTATCAATCAATATTATTTGATATTGCCATTTATACATATTTTTTTTTTTTTTTTTTTTTGATTGTTTGTTTAAAGATGTAAAATTTATAAAAAAACAAATATAAAATTATTTAAATGGCGATTGACTATTGAAAAAACAAAAGTGAAAAAATATAAATTATATAATATAGAGTAACAATATTAAAAATACTATATTATAATATTATGCCATATTTTTTTTTTCTGACTGTACAACCACAAAGTCCATTTTGGCAGAAAAGACATCACACCTTTATAATTATAAATACCTAATAGATTTTAGTAAATTGTTATACTGTTCTGTTTAAAATAAACTCTCAATACGTTTTAATCTAATTATGGTAATTTAGCCACGCCTGTATACTGACTACATTCATACTATTTAGTGTTTACTTACTTGTTAAATAACAATAAAAAAGATACCAAAAATAAACAATTTGAAGTATTTTCACTGGAAAAAAAAAATGTTTTCTGAGGAAAAGAAGGATTCAGACCGTAAACTATTAAGAATTTCAAAAAATATGTAAAGTCAAGTATTGCCGAGCAAAATTTTCACATTATTTGAAGTAGGTATTGCCTATAAAAAACGGAACAAACAATAAAGATAATTTATTTATAATTTTAAAATATTATAATATTATTATAGAGATTATTCTAATTATTATTTGATGAATATTAATAATATGGAATTGTATATCCAATAAGTAGGAAAATTCGTATGGTAAATTAAAATAGCTAAAGCAAACAACATGATATTCAAATCAATTACTAAATTTAGTTAATTTACTACATACATATTTGTACATTAATAAAAACCAAACTGAATATATAAGAACCAAACAAATTGAATATAATTCTGAGTTTATTATCAATAAACAAATATTATGTTCATTCTTCTAATAACATTTATGCCTGTTAAATTAAAGGAAATTCAGATTTTACCCGTAAGACAATAACAGGATTAATTACAGAATCGTGACACCAAAATTATATATTATACAACATTATGTTTCGATTAACGGAAGTACAACAATCACTTTGTCGTGAAAATTATTGTTTTAACTATATTATAAGTAACACGGAAAACAATAGTATAGCTGTTAATTAGGGCTGTGAATTTTAATTGCAAAAAATGCAATTAAATATGCACCTAAAATGCAAAAAATGCACTACAATTTTAAAAATTGTAAAATGCACTTAAAATGGTTTTTAATTCAATTTTTATATTTATATTGATATAAGTATACTATATACATATAAATTTATTTACTTAGTAAAATAAATTATAAAAATGTTGATTAAATTTAAATTTTGACTGGTTCGTGACTGAAAATTCATGACTGATATACTGATAGGCCAAAAATAACTTATCTAGCAATTGCCTAATTTTATCGAATTATTATCTTTACCTAACCCGTATACAGCTTGTGTAAAATATTTTATAAAATATAAATTTGACGTATATACAGCCTATGAAAAACAAAAAAAATGTTTTCAAAGATTAACGGGATTTGATTAAAATTACCAAAAATGAACTAAAAAGGAAAATATGATCTAAAAAGACAAACAAATGATCTAAAAAATTAAAAACGTTTAGAAATGCAAAATAAAAGTTTCGTGAATGGTTTTGTTGTTCCATAGTTCAAATTATATATTAACAGATCTACGTTCCACAATCACCAAAAAAAAAAAAAAAAATGCAGTTTCCTACAAATTCACAGCCCTATTGATAACATTTTATTTTGTTTAGATTCTATGATCTTAGTTTTACTAAGATGTGTTTTTTCTCGAAAAGCATGTTTTTAGTTAGTTATTTTTTTACTTTGTGCATTAAAATTTACGAATTATATTCATTGGGGTCACTAAAGACATTTAAATTAAAAACAAAACTAAAAATTCTATTTTTATACGGTCAAAAAAAATAATAAAGGTGAAATCAATAGTGATTTTAATGGTGTTCTTTGAGGATATTTTATTTTAGAAGGTTAATTACGTACCTACTGTGTTTTAATGTGCTTTCATATTTTCATGTATGCAAATTGAGGTAAAATGAGTTAATTTTTTATTTGGGATATAAATTCGAATTAATAAATTAAAAAATTGCGTTACATGAGTTAGGTAACTACCTAAATTAATCATACATTCGAATTACTTCCATTTTTAATCAAATATTTCCTTCGGTATCTATTAGTCTACCTACTCGAAAATACATGTATCAAAGATTGTTTTAAATAATATAAATGTAGTTGGCTATTCGCTCACAGTAATAAATATGCCTACCCTAATAATATAATGATGAAGGTTTTTAGCCTTGTAGGCACTACGAAGAATTATTAGGTATTGTAGTATGATAGTATACTACGATAATATCGTAGGTGGATACATAATTACAATATTTGAATTATGTAAGTAAATTTAAAACCCTATATAAAAAACAATGGATCGTCTGTTATTTGGTGGATACATAATAATCAAATACACATTTTTGAAAAAAAGAAAAACATTGAAATTCTTAGAAATACTGTTTTTGTTTTCACTTTACTAATGCTCATTGAATATACTTGAAAATTGCAATTAATAAGAACAAAAATCAGAATTAAGATCTTAAGGCTCTTGTTAGGCCAATTGTACTTTAAGTTTATAGAGCAAGAGCGTTCATCTAGTCTGACGTAATCAAATTAATAATATACAAAAAGGAGATTTTGTTAACAATATTTGGATCAAATAGAAATGTCCGAAGGCGGCTATAAAATAAAGCAAAACCGAGTACTTATTACTTTATTTAATCATTTCAAAATAGTGGACACATTTATGAGTCAGAGATTTAGGTGAGCTGAACATGTATGAAGCCAAAAACCAACTAATAAAAAAATGGAGACATAATACAATTATTTGACCGATGGGAAGGCCTAGACAACGATGGGTGAAAATTGTAGAAGATCTTCAATATGTAAAAGGTAAAGAAAGATTGTGGAATCAGCAATGTACCTAAATGACCTTAATTAAACAAAAAATAAATAAACAAATACTTGAAACTATGGATTTTAATACTAATGATTCCTGCATTTGTTGTAATTCTCAATAGATGGCAACTGAATTATTACTAATTTAACCCAGCATTGCTCACATGTGAGAATTTCCCACACGTAATATTTCACAAGTTTAGAATCACTGGCTTACTCTAAATTATATTTTATCCGAATTCTATTTAAACTATCTAAAATTAGATTTCGAGAAACGGGCATATTATATAGTTCCGATTAGGATAAATATAGTGTAAGTAATACCTAATATTATGACATGGTATATTCGAGTCACGTTATGATTAAGTCATAGTTAATAATTTTCTAGGATAAAAGAAGTAGTGTTTTTTGCGTATCATTTATCAATGTACACCTATTAATAAAATTATGTGTTTATTTGCTTGTGCATGATCCACAGTCCAATATTTCGTCTGCGGGTAACTGGAAATTTACACGGAATGTGTTTGTGTGCATCTTGAACCCTGACTTCTAAAATTCTTCTCCTAAAGAATAAAAGCTAGTTAACATAGAGTTTTTGGTATTTTTGGTAAGCAAATTGTATTATTTGTTTAAAATAGAAAATTTAAAAACAAAAAGTATTATTTATTTTATTTTTGATTTATGAGTTGCCCTATTGGTGATACAAATATCATTATATCCATAGTTTTTAAAACGGGATGACGGAAATACACGTTTCATTTAATTTGTTTCAATTTTTAAAAGCATTCGTTAAAAATTCTGCTTTTAAACTGGTTTAAAAGAGGGAATTCAATTGTCATGAGTAACCTCAGGCTAGACAAATAACATATAATATTATAACTTGTAAGTATTAAATTAAAAATACACGTAGTAATCGAATTACGTGGCAACCAAAAAAATATGTATCGAGTAAAATAGGAAACATATACTTAAAAATTGTATTGCTCCATAAATTTCAGGTAAATGTCTAAGGACAAGCGAAAATGCCTATGATTCTGATTCAATTAATTTATTTCAGTAATAAAAAACTTGCATTATATTTATAGGAAAACATACTATAATGCTTACTGTATAATTTATCTATTGTAAATTCTAGAATTACACTTAAGCTACCTATAGTGTAAATATTTATGCACGCACAAAAATGACGTATCGACTGCACTTTACAAACTGTACGTGTGCCAAAATTAAATTCTTAATGATTTATGTCCATGGATTTCGTTATTAAAGTAAAACTCAGGGTTAAACTTTAAGATACTTATAACACATTTTATAATTCGTGCGGATGTTTCATTTGGTTGACCAGAACAGAAATTATGACGTAGTCTGAGCTATTAAATAAATTAACCGGCATACCGCTATAAACACAAATGGAGAAAAATCTTCAGACCGTAATAGAATACTGTTGAATAAAAATGTGTAAAAAAAAAAAAAAAAAAATGGAACACGAACTGCAAGTTTTAACCAACGTATGCACCGTGTTAAAAATAAACAAATTCATAAATAGTCCAGTCTCTTGAATGTGATCAAATTTTTTCTTTTTTAAAATCATGCATATTAAATTTATATGTTAAATAAAATACTAATATATTTAAATTAACTTAATATTGCTCTATTTCAGATATTTTGGGGGATAAAAAAATATTTTATTAAAGTTGCTTGAAAAATTGGACTTCTTGAATCTTGTGTCAAAAATAGTTGTTTTTAAAAATAAAAGCAATTTGTAATAAGTATATGGACCAAAATAGCTATACATACTGAGCCATATAATATATGTAACATGTATATACATACATACTGATACATTTGAAATTTATCTGAAAATGTCTATAAGTAGTGAAATCCAAGGTCAGCCAACGGAAATATATATTAATGTTTCTTGAAAACGTGAAAACTCTATATTATACTACATAGTGATTAAAAAATTTTTGAATATTTTGTACACCGTCGTTTTCGTTTTGTTCATAACAACATTATATATTATATAAAAGAAAACCACAAAAGTAAAAATATAAAAATTGTATTGTATTGTTTCCGGGGTAAAGGTGTGAAAATGTAAACGTAAAATGTATTTTTCTATTTTCTTTTTAATAATTGCGGTAGGTAAGCGAGAAGCCCGGAAATATTGAAATATAATTTATGATTATTGTTCCTATTGTGTTTTGATATTTTATTAATTTAGCAGTAGTCATTAAGAAAGTTTACAATACAATGTTAAAAAAAAATTGGTTCTAGAATTATGTTTAATTTCTGCAAAGGGTGGAAAGTTATATTTTCAAAATTGTTATATCAACATGTATATTACTCTTTGGTTCATTAGTGTATTTTTTAAAAAAATATTTATTTTATTTTTATTTGATCAGTATACTTATTAGACCATATTATATACTATTTGTATTTACCTCGAGTTTTCGGTAGAAAAAGTTCATTAACCGTTATAATCAATAGAAGTTTACACTACGTGGTAAAAGTACAACGGACGTCGGTTGATTAATGATGGGGTGACATTTGTACTTGTCGCATTATAACTACAGAACGTTAAATTTCTCAAACGAGTATAACTATTTACTCTGTAAAATTCGCCATCTAAATCAAGAAAAAAAAAACAACTATTTTCTATTAGAAGAACAAATACCTAATGTATGTGTATGTATTTTTATTATACAAACTGTGTTTAATTTTTTTTTTTTTTATATACATAAAAAGGTACAGGTTCCCTACTTAATAATATAAAAGACAACGAGAAAATAAATAGGTAATACATTACATTCAATATATTATATAATATAAATATTTAATATATTATATAATACATAATTGGTAAATTTATTTAGTTGTGAATTAATTTAATAGTAGTTAATTTTAGCTATTATATATAATATTAAATTTACCAATTTTTCAATGGACAATAATTGCCTTAATGATTTTAGTAAATTTTAAAAAGTTATAGAAAATTAAAAATGCATCATTAATAAATACTTAGATCATTCAAATTAATTTTAAAAATGTATGTATACAATTACTATCTCGAATATTGTGAAAACAATTTTTTGAAAAATTTAAATTCAAATTGTAAGTTTTAAAATACAAATATTTGTATACATAAAGTAGTGTTATCATGGCGATCGATTCTAATAATTATTACGTTAAAAAAAAAAATCACCAGAAAATTGTATCGAGAGGTACTTATTTTGATAAAAACCAAATATTTTGCGAGGAGAGGGGATACTAGGTAAAATTTATAAACATTTCATTTCTCTTTCTAAGAACATGACCAAATTATGCCACTATTGGTAAGTAATACTGTACTAAAATAACACCGTTGAATGAAACCGTTAGAAATATTCAGACTGCCTAACATAATTTTTGTTTATAGTATAAAAGTGGCGTTCTGAAGAATTTCCAATTGAGGGGGGGGGGGGTTGTGGGTAATTTCTAAAAAAAAAGTAAGGTTAGGTAGGTAGGTAAAGATGAATTTTCACATCTCTTACAAATTTAAAACGAATTGATTGCAAAAAAAAAAAACCCATGGGGGGGTTTAAACCCCGTGACCTCCATGTGAGTATGCCCATGAGTACAAATAATTGGTTGATTAAAAACAAGCTAATTATTACACTGTGAAAGAAAGTAATTCATGGAGTTTTATACGTGGAACCACCGAAAAGTTTAACGATGTCAGTGTTCAGTATTTGAATGAGTTTCTATAGACTTGCAAGCAATGGTTTTTCAACGATTCTATTCATATTATCGCACTAGGATTACGTTGGTTGGAGAACAACTAGGTAGGTACCTGTGCTTATCGGAGACAGGAGAGGAAGGATAAGATCAAAATATCAGAAGTGCGTTGAGTCGGGTGTATACATGTATATGCGAATACAAAACATATTATTATTATTATTGTGATAATTGCATCGAGACCGAGAGAAGACGTTAAGACAATCGCGTGGAATACGGTATAATTTATATACTAAAGTAAAAGCAAACTAATGGGTCTGCTGCGTGATGAACGCAGACAAAATCGAGTTCATAAAACTTCCTCGAGAAAATCGCATATACTCACGATTAAATCTGTCTGCGGGTAATATGTCGGTTGAAAAGACGTGTAATTTTTTTTAACGGGTAGATAGATACCTATATTCAAAATAATAATTAAAACATGATTCACATAATCGCAAAGAAAAACGGCGGATAAATTTGTTTATATAAATGGACTTTCAATTATTATCGTTGTACTTATATAGAAAACAGTTATCGATAATAATAACTCATACAAATATGTACCTTCATAACGACGCTATATCTCCAAACTCAAATATAGATGTAGTCAAAAATTTGTTTAAAATACCACACCTCCATGATATTTTGTACAGATAACTTTTTTAAATCAAGTGGCATAGGGGGTTTGGTTGTTGTCACCCCCAATTACTCTTTTGTAGTTAGTGGTAAGGTTAAGTAGCTCTTAGACACTTAAACCCCTTTAAAACCCCCATTGATAAATCCTAGTTACGCTAGTGTTTATGTTAGAACTTTTTCTAGAGAATAAATAAGCCTGAATTACTCCCCGAAGGAAATCGTGTCGTGTATGGAAAATATTTACAGTGCGCGATCGCGTAAAAAGAATAGGTACGTAATTTTGTTTTGTTTTGAAGTATAGATGACTTTTAAGTTTAACGTAGGTGTATTGAAAAGGTATCAGATGATATCTTTGAAAATTGGAGTGATGTGTTTAGTGATAAAAATGATGATAGAACATAGAAGATAATGTACTATTTTCTGATCACGAAACGGACACGGAACAACCAACATAAGTTATAAAAAATTATTATTCCACATGACCAAATACGAGTATGTATAAAAATACCTCAATACCGATTAAATTATGAAAAAAAAATAACATTACTAACAGTGTTTACAGTGTCAAGAAAATATTATAATTTGACAAAAAAATATAAACTGCGTTTTACGTCTGCTTTAAAGTCACGAAACACATTTTGATATTAACTATATTTTTGATCAACCAATAAAAATGCAAACGCATAAAAATGTTGGTTCTTGATATTACTAATAACTATAATATCCTCACTATATTTAAGTCATTTCGACTTCTAAATTAACTGTTACAACTACATTATAATATTTTTCCTTTTTTAGAATTATATTTTTTTAACCTTTTTTTATTTTCCGAAAAACTATTCTGTTCTACTTATAGCGTGTCTAAAATATTAAAGTTTTTTCTTTCGGAATTTCGTTAGACAAAATTATCTTAATATCTTTACCGTGATATCGTGACGTAAATACCTACCCTTATTATCGTGTAATAATGCACTCTATGAGCATATTTATAATATAAGTAATATCGTGTTAATAATAGTATACTTTTAAGTGAACATATTTTTCCATTAAAAAAGATAAAGAAATATGTTAAAATATTTTCTTTTGACATGGTATATACAAATAAAATAATAATTATTCCTACCTAATTTTAATAAACAAATCCTGAGATCTATTTGTACTATAACTACTATACCAATAGTTACCATCATGTTATTTGTATTCTTTTTAAGAATCCAAATCATCCTGTTCGTCATTTGATCAACGAATTAAATATATTTTGTACATCCGGTGGATACATAAACATTTTTATTTCGTAATGGTTCGATTTTTCATAAGAATAAAAACTACATTTTTTGGGAAGTGGAAGGGAAAAGAATACCATATAGATTAACCTAGTTTTAAATATAGACATTTTACTATTAATAGGGTACGTTGAATAGGGTAAGTTGCCATTTTTTCGGTACTCTGATCATCTATTTAATTAAATAAACACGATTTTTAAGCGTACTCGTACATAATATGTGCACTTCATAGTAGTGTATTGTATTCCGTACAAGTCCTTTATAGCCGAATAATGAAACGATCTACGGAAATTTTAAATAGGTAGACAAACCTAATAAAAAAGTGCTTACATTAAAGTGCTTACATAAAAGTGCACCATTCACGAAATAATCAAATAAAATAGATTCAAACCCGAAGGCATAAATAACAAAATATAAACATAAACAATTTATCCATTTTTAAATGTTTCTACACAAATATTCTGAAAGTAATATTAATATATCAAATTATTATTTCACAATGAATTTGTATATTCGTACCATATATTTAAATAAATCATTTTATTAACTTTATTACATTAGGTTGGTATTTAAATAATTAAAATGTTTATTCGTGGAAAAAAAATGATAAAAATAACAATACTATTTAATTAGTAGTATTACAAAATAAATATCCTCCTGGATGAAAAAAAAATGATACTCGTTTTCCTGTCAATTAACTCGTAAAAACCCCTCGGAAATAAAAACAATTTGTATCAGTATATTAAAAACCAAGCCTTTTATATTATTATACAGAATTTGGGTATAAAAAAAAAAACAAAACAATAAAGTTTACACAAAATGTATTTATAATATGATGTATGCAGTAACTCACAACTGACACACACTGAAATAATTATATTAATTATTTTTTGAAAAAAAAAATTCAGTTATTGTTTATGAATTATGTAATACAATGTTTGCTCCTAGGAATTAAGTTAAAATGTAAAACATATAATTAAAAAAACAGTATCCCGCATATATATATCTATATATGAATTATTATTATTGTCTACCGCAATGAAAAAGGTCGTACCTTGTATATTTGAAGTCGTACCTTTTCTTAGCACCACCCAGAAAAAAGATTGAATCTCTATCTACCCAAAGACATTATTTTATTTTAAATTAAAAAATAAGATACTATCTTTTTCGTTGTGGCAGGCGATAGGGTAAGAAATTAAAAGATTGGAGAGTAGAAGTTGGAAAATTAGTGAAAAACGGCATTTGTTGTTGTGGTAGGCGATATGAACTCATAATAATATATGATGCATACAGAATGCCAAATTAAAAACAATAATTAAGTAGTGTCAGCACTACTTAAATAAAAAATGAAAATAAATTAAATTAAAAATTAAAAAATGTATGTTGCATGCGCAAACATTTTACGTAGGTGCTCTATTAATATGCCTTAATATTTGTTTGTTTGCACCATATTTATACTTTTATATATAAATCCATATAAAAATATTTGATAGTCAAATGACGTTTCAAAGAGTTTATAGTTTATGAGTTATGATGTCTGTAACCATATATTCCTTCTAAGATAGCAAATTATATTAATGGATTAATGGATATATGAATATAAATATGATGGAAATTGTATTACGTACAGGCGTCATGGCCGCTACTGGCATGGATATATTAGTTACATATTATTACCTATGTATACTTGGCTCAGGAAGTCAGTGATAAAAACCACTGCCAGCTCAATTGTGTTTCTATAAAATTTCTATATTTTAAATGGCGTAAAATAATATACATGCACGGTTCAAATCCGAATATAGAAACAATTCGTGATATAATTCATGGAATAAACAAATATTTCATGGGTAAATAAATATAAATGTACTCTCGGTATAGCTGTGCAGCCAAATATCGGATTTACTCACAGAGACCTTCGTCTATAGTTGTTCTCAATTATAACTTACAACACACAAACATAATATGTTTGTCTTTTAAAAATACATTTAATGTTTCTTCCATTGTATAGTCAAATCTAACGAACAAACAGTTTCCCTGTGTAGTTTATAATAAAATATTGTATTTATGTATTAATAATATAATTGGTTAAATTTCATTGGTGCAAAGTTTTAAATAATAATATGAATCCTTTATATTACGTTTATCTTAATATTGTACTTTAAGAATAAACCTTAACGATTATTATATTATACTTACTTAACGGTATTATAAAATAAATGGTAACAAATTAGAGCAATTAATTAAAACTACAAACACGGAAGAATATTATAATTCCTATCCTGTCCCAATTTAATTTACACGCGTGGGTATTGAGGCGAGACGGAATATTCGTTTTAATGGATTTAACATACGAGCAAATCTGTTTGATTTGCAGTTTATGTTATAGCGAAATGTATGTTGTAGATTAAACAAAGTATATTACAATTCAATTGTGTTAATAGCTAGGCACCTAGGCATAAGTATACTTAGCTTCGGAGATTTAATAATTTATTAACATTTAGTTACCTGCATTATTATTAATATTATATAGTTACAGTAGATACGATGACGTAAAATACGAAATTCGCTGCAACTGAATATAGTTTAGGAATAGATATTATGTCATAACTAACTTTGTCCTCTTAACCGGATACCCACTTACAGAAGTTTTCCACGACAGATCGTATTTAATTATTTGCTGTGAATTAATAATAATATCATAGATATTTATAACCGTATCCTACGTCTCGGTGAACCGCATGTAATTTCTCTTATCTTACACATAGGTATGAGACATGAAAATAGTTTCGTTACGAGTATATTATTAAATGTTAATAATTCATAAGAAAATAAGCAACTGTCATTTTTCGTAACTCTAATACGACGATAGCCTTCGTAATATTTATTATTTAACATCCGAAACGTGGTCCTGCAACTCTATAAAATGTTAATTTAATGATTTTAATCGTAATACGCATTGATAAAATTCCTATTACATTATAGAAGGTCAGCCAAAACGATATTATCAAGAAAAACAAAAGTAAAGACGTAGCGGTATTATACGAAATGGAGATGTAAAAAGAAAACACAGTTTATTTTCAGCGTGAAGATGAATAACGATTCTTGACGGAATTCGGTTAAAATTATTTTCATTTTTGATAAACTTGAATTGGAAAATTGTATTATTTACTGAGAGGAAGTCTACAATTTATTATTATCAAAATAAATTACGATAAACACTTAAGTTGCTCTTTTTTTTCACTGCTAAAATGACCAGTATTATCACTTTGGATGAACTTTTGTTTAAAATTCTTCACCATCTTTACGAAACTAAAATAATTTAATTCGTCTAAATCGGAAACTAATATATAGGTGGGTATGTATGTAAAATTTGGTGATTTTGACAATTTTTATTATATAGAGAAATAAAATAAGTTACTAAATTAAACATTTTAACTTTTGACTCTGAGGGATTCAATTTAATTTACTACCACACTTTGGTGTACCTACATATATATTCAACTGGAATACAATTTATCACGCAATAATAAAATACATATTTTTTTTTTGCTTACTTTAATCCGGTTATTTTTAAATATGGTCAATTTAGATATATGTGATTTTTTTCATCACAAATATTTTGATAGTGAAATGTTAAACTGTATAAGAAATAATATCATTAACCCATCGTTGTAGTTATCGTTTTTATTTTTCCCTGGTTTTTAGGACACTAAAAACTATTCCATCGTTTCCATCTCATACTCAATTTTCCATTTGCTCCGTACCTACAATACTTATTTTTTCAGTTTGCATCCCTACAAAGTAATTTCACATTCTTTTTTTCTTGCATCTTCCCATCTTGTTTTGAATACTTTTAGTGGTCTTTTTCCATATGAATTTTGCTCCATCAAGAAATTTACATTAAGGTTATTCTGACTCCTATAAGTAAGCTCACGTATTATAATCGACTTCTCCTTAAGTTTAATATGAGGTAAGATACCTGACTCTGAATTTTTCACCTTTTTCCTCCTCCATTATAAGAACTAGATTCCAAATACTAGAACTATTTCTTCTCCGTACAGAATTACTGGACGAATAGAAACATGCCAACATATTAATATGTAGTATAATTATAATAAATAGTTTTTTAATTATTTTAATAATGCATATGATTTCAATTTAGCAAGCGTACGGTGAAATATCCATGTAAAATCGACAATTGTGTTACGAACAAATGTTAATAATAAATTATTATTTTTATTCTAAGTTAATAAAATATTATATTTATGTACAGATGAAAAATATTATTTGGTTACGAATTTAAAGAACAGTATTGTGTAAGATACCCGATTACCGTAATTCAGTTCTACACATTAATCGCAATGATAGAATATTACCATGGATAACTGCAATTTAATGTGTCCCCAGGGGAGTTTATAAATGTAGTATTGGGTCGAAGTATTATTCTTGTCAAACTAATATTATATTGGCGTTAAGACTTCCCTGCAGCACAAGTCGGATCGTTAAACCAATGATTTTAATTTAATGGTTCGGCATACATTTTATCCTCTCGACCCTACTATATATCCGCAAAAAAATAAAGAGAAAAATACCTACTTTTAGTTAAAATATTACGTAGCCATTATCCGTATACACAAAATAAATACACGCGACTTATAACGTTAACACATTATTTCGATATATCTACTTAAAATACATAATATAACATTGAGAAATATAAATGAATATTTAAATGATGAATATTATGACATGTTTTTAGGTTCGGAGTGAACCGATGAATGTTTTTATTTTTTTTCTATAAACAACTTTTCTACCTAAAATCTTGCGCCAATCAAAAACTTTGTAGGAACTTTCTTGTAGCATTTTCGATCTATTCGGTGCATTGGAACGATACTATTTTGATTTCTTTGTTATTTTTTAAATAGGAAATATTGCTATTGTTTGTATAATTTTTGTTGATTTTTGGGTTACCTTGGCCACAAAAGGGTAAACATACGATTAATGATATTCTGCTTCGAATCGTTTTTCATTAGCAATGTCTTATCATTGTTTACTCTATATAATATATTCTCCTTTCAAATTTCCCGCTTAAAAACATTGTTACACCCATCAGCAGTATCAGATTTTTTTTTTTTTTTGTTTTGTGCTAGCCGATACAAATTATAATATTATATTACGCTCTCGATCCATCAAAATAATAATAATAATACGACGGTAAGTAAACATATTTCGAATTCTCCAGAATTATTTAGGTAGGTACCTCTATAATACATACCTACACCTATACCATCAATTTCATCCAACCCAATCGACATAACTTAGACGGTGAATAATATAATGTATAAAGCTCTATTCCTACATCGGTGGCGGACGTTCGTCGGGATGGTAATACATCAAAATAATATCCTATTCTCACTGGCTTGTGTACATATTATAATGGGGCGACAGAATAAAATGTACACTAAGCAATTCATTAACACGATATTTCGTATCATGTTTTACATTCGCCAATCAATCAAGACGCGTCCGGATTGTACGCCGGAAACTCGATAATATATTTTTTTCGATTATAAATATTATCGTGGGATAATATTTTGATTATAAACCATATAGTCATTATCTATTTCGAAATGAAATTCGACCCAATTTCTATAATTTAGAAATAAGAATACTATTATTAGAATGATTCATAAATGTATTATTTTTTCTAACGGTAGTCATAAACTATATACGTAACTACTTCGGGTCGTTTACATTATAATTTTCTTAGCTTTGATTTTATTAAATGTCCATAATATTTTATATAATTATATGTTTGAGAATATGTAATCGATAACGTATGTGTTATATAGGTAAACTACATAAAACGATAATTTTTAATGTGATCATAAGCGGACAACAAAAATGAATTATGTTGTATTCGTTTTAAAAACATATGGATTATTTTGATTTTTAAGCAAAATATAATAAGCATTTTTAAATTTGATAATTCATATCTCGTTTGAAAATTAATATAAGTATTGAAAAAATCCAACTTACAACTACAGATCATTTTGATTCACATCTTTAAGTTTGATAATAATATTAAAGTTTTTTAAAAATTATACTCTAGTATTAAAACTAATCACTCAAAATGTGTCGTGTCAAGCACAAATTGTCTATGTTGATAGTACGTTTGTGAGGTTAAAACGACAAATTAGTGTGATGGGGAGTGATCTTCTGTTAACGATTAAAGTTATTGTTATTGAGTTAGATTCGTACCACTGATGAGATACGTAGAGTCAATTCTGATGATTCGAATTAATTGAATACCATACTAGACCAACCGTCGGGAAATTGATATCATATTATAAATAGTTATCAGCTATCTGATTTCTGGCGTAATAAATTATCATAAACGTTTTTAAAACTCTACATTCACATCGTCATGCAAAAGACGCGTAGATAACGTAATTCGTACACAAAATGGTAAAACGTGCGTGTAAGGTCTTTAAAAAGTGTAGTTTCCGACAGTTGTCCAGTAGGTCTTAAATATTATCTTATCCTTCATTCACTTGACATGCACGACAACGAAAGGAACGGTTTTGATAACGGTTGCGAAAAAGGGTGAAAACCCCGACGAAACACTCTAATATATAAAATACACTTTTTGACTCAAAAAAAATTTAAAACCTTCCAGATTTATTTTAATATTTTTACCACGATTCGGTCTCCTATTTTTGTATCCTTGAATACCTTGTATATTGCACTGCGACACATGTCGAATCCAGACGAATGACTAGTTAAAAACTCAAAAAAAAAAAAAAAAAACCCAGAGAGAAATTACAATTGGTTCCCCTTATTCGTCTAGTTAACAACAAGGTGAGGCTTGACCCTACCCGAAGTGACCTGCATTCGGATACTCCTGATGGAGGTTACCGCTATCCGTGTCATTTTTTACATCCCTGTGGATTCCCCTGACGACTCGATACGTATTATACCGCAATACAATAAAATAATGTCGCGGTCGTGTTTAAACTCGAAGACGGTCGACGAATAATAATATTCTCCCGGGGCTCCGGCGAATTGTCCTGCTGCCCGTGTGGCCACCAACCTACTTACCATACACCTTTACATGCAACACCCTTTATATATAGTCATTTTTGGGGTATTCGTGAACAATGCAATGTCCGAGGACATTCGTGGAGTCCGGACACGAATTCCGATATCAACGTGAATGTATTGTGTATCGAAGGAGACTTCTCTCGTCTCGCACACATGCCGCATTCGGTTCTGCGGCTTATCGTTGTTGTACATTACCGTATAGACGATTACCGGGTCCTTCAATCTGCAGTCATGTTAAAATATAGTCGAATTATAACGGGTGTATAAATTGTACTAACGCCAACGAATGGAAATTGTGGTAACTGACCGACAGGAGCTGGATACATTCGGTCGAACAATTAGATGAAAATCACATCTCTTGCTTCTGTAAGTCGGTCGACGAGAAATCTTTATACAGACCTAGCCAATAGGATTTTGGTAGGATATTCTCGTAGACGAAAAACATAATATTTCATCGATTTATATTGAACGAAATACTTTACGATTTTTGTATAATTATGTCATAATTTGTTCGGCCTCGTATAAACACCGACAATGTTGACATCATAGGTTCGTCATAAGTTTCAGCGATAATGGCCAATTAAACAACTATAAGCAACAGAATTTCGTCACTAGATTCGAATTTTTCCTTAACTGATTTATTACCATTGCCATATATATATATATATATATATGTGTGTATTTTTTTTTTCATAACTGATCTAAAATAATTTCATAACATTATCCCTCTATCAATTCCTATGTGTTAACCCGAGTGGATTCCTGTAAACGTCGTTGTCTTATTTCTAACCTCTATCTTTGCATTTCATGGTTCTTCGATGTTATTAGTTTTCTTTTTATCCTATAGGTAATCCATAACATCCCTAATTTTTGCGCAATTTTTATTGTATCTTTTTCTAAGGTTTATATTTTTTTTATCGTAATCTTGTTTTTAAAATTTATCAAACTCTGTTATATTTCTTGTAGAAGTGGCCATATTTCACAACTATTTGCACATAGTCTGGTGTTTATTCGTTTTGAAAATAATTTTGAAATGCTTCCCGCTGTTTGTACTGTTAATTTATGTATTCTAATCACCAGTTTTAAATTGAATAATTAAATCTCTACAATATACGATTCAAATAAATAGAATACGGAGAACTTCTTTGGAAATAAACTAAGTACAAATATAATAAGTACAATTTGTCTATTCTAGTGGTCAATGCCGTAGGTATACTCAAACTTGAACTCGTAAGGATGTCGTATATCATTTTGGTGAAATAACTTTTTGTCATTTTTAATTGGACTTTTCCTGTTGAACTTGCGATGATAATTTGTTTAAAACTTAATTCCGCTAAAATACACGAACTTACTATGAGTAAGAAAACTTGCAATATTAATGAATAAAACTCGAAACTTTTTGGTTTTGCGTATTCAGTGTTCACGGAATATAAAGTCAACTTGGACTGGCTGTTAGACTAGTGAGTCACACATTTATCACATATATAAATTATTAAATTTTCAAATTTAAAATATAGTATTTCTATTTGAATTCTTACTTAGTAGTAAGATGAATGAGTAATTTATGAGTATTAACTCATAAATAATATTCAATAAAATTAAAAAAATATGTATTTTTGTGTTTTTGGTATAATATTGTATATACATAACGAGTTTATTTTCTAAATTAAGTAAAAATCATACATTTCTACTTAGTTTGAGTTCATATGGGAATTTAATACGAGAATAAATTAATGTTGTTGAAATTAATCATTTGAGCGTTAAGACCTGCACGCAACGTATTGCAACGAACAATCGTTTAAGGTAAAACAATTTTTTGTTAGTATTTTAATAATACGAGTACCTTTATAAGTACCTATGCATATTAATGGTCTTTTAGCTTATTTGTCTACTGGCGGTATATGGAACTATTTGCATTGCAGATGTGCGATACTTCCACGGTGGTTGAAGGATGTTTGTGATTGATGCGAACGCATGTGTATATACTATATAGATCCGCAAGTCAAGCCTCCAGGAAGTGGAAATCACTCACTTAATTGAGAAATATCGTTAAATGAGCTATTTAAATACGTTAGCACGTAGGTGTATTTCGGCACACACGAAGAACAATATATGCATATACGCACAAGGTGTCCTATATAGATTTACCCATTGCAATATCTCCGTAGATAAAGATAAAGATGAACAAATTCTGTTTTTTTTTTTAATTTTTATATTATTCGTAGGGATAACGACTACAAATATTTATATTTGAGTATTAATTTTTATATTTTAATAAAAAACTTAAAAAAGTATTATTTTTTAAAAAATTGAAGAAAGCGATCTTATAGAGTTTTTTTTTCTGAAAATGTTTACGTATCAATTTTATATTTTCATTAAATTCATGTTTCTTAATAATTAGCTTCATGTCCAGAAAAAATTATCTATAATTATACAACAAGCTGTAATCAGATTCCCTAATTTATTATTATTATTAGGGCTAGTTGACTGTGCAATTTTTTTCTGGACTTTAAAAAATTATTAAAAACCAATAATAAAAAAAAAGTTTTTTTTTTAATGTTTTTTACCAAAGCATAAAATATTAATTGAAATAAAGATATTTTTAGTAGCCCTGGAAGTTATTTAAAATTTAAAAAACATAAATTGATTATCATTATCATCTCCGGAGATATTACAATGGGCATAATTTCGTAGGATACTGTGGAATGATCGTGAAAATCGTAGGGGTGTATTTACAGGACTGATTAGGTCCAATTATAGCTCATCCCATAATTTTTAATGACATTGTAAAATTATCTAAGACTTAGTCTCTAAGACATAAGTATATCAAATAACATAGGTTGGAAATTCCAAAAATGTTCTAAAAAAGACAAAAAATATTCCATGACTTAAAAATTTAAAATTATGTTCTAAAAGTAATTTTCCTTGGATAATAAGGACGGATGCAATCACTGTTGTAAGTAAGAGGTTGGGAAAGTTCTATCATTGTAAATCAGAGCTAAATTGCTGGTAGAAAAGTTGTTCACAAGAAAATAGAAGACCGTAAAATTCTTTTAGATTCTGAGTGTAGCGGAAGAAGCGTATGGTTTTAAAAAGTATGTTTATTATTTTTTTATGTGGACAACTTTTCTATCAGCAATTTCGCTCTTACTTATAATAATAGCGATTTTTCTAAAAGAAAATTTCACAGAGTAAGTACTTTAGAGAGGTCGTTTTTCGATTTTCTCCAGAGATTTCTCAACAAATGTGAAAAATCGAAAAAACCGGAAGAAAACAGGGAAAAACTTAGAAAAATCGATAAAACATTAAACAGATATTATTAAAGAAAATATATAAAGCATTTTCAATTATTTTTCTATATAGCATATATGTTGTTTTGCAAAGAATTACTATCAACTGAACTCCGCTCAAAATCATTCTTTCTTAAAAAATGGTTTATCGTTACTTACAGTTATTCAATAAATTACCCAAAACAGTGGCTTCACACATCTATATTATTCTAGGACGTCTCTTTTTAACTGTAATACCCATATTTCGTACATTATTTCGTTTTTCCTAGGTTTTATTTTTTTTTTTTGGTGTTACACAATTGAAAAAACTAATGAGAAAGTCAAAAATGACTTCCCCATACCAATTTTCTTTCAGAAAAGGTGCTATATTCAAAAATCAGAGCTAAATCTTTTGTAGAAAACTTGTCCAAAGAAAAAAAATAATATTTGTTAAAGGTGTTACCGATTTCCCCGGTTTTCCATCGTTTTTCCCGGTTTTCTTTGTTTTTCTCCAGTTTTTCACATTTTCTGAGAAAATCCAGAAAACTCCAGAAAAAAATCAAAAAACGGTTTCCCTAAAGTACCTCCCCAGTGAAATTTCCTTTTAGAAAAATTGTTATCATTATAAGTTGGAGCAAAATTGCTGGTAGAAATGTTGTCCACAGGAAATAAGGTCATAATATTTTCAGCCAATGCCTTAATTTTTGACATTTTTCGTTTTTTTCGGTTTTTACATTCGTTGAGAAATCTCCAAAGAAAATCGAAGAACGACCTTCTTAAGGTACTACCCCACACCGATTTTCTTTCAGAAAAGTTGATACACGTCAAAATCGGAGCAAGTCTTCTGGTAGAAAAGTTGTCCACAGAAATCTTCAACTCTAATCATAACCAACACTTGGAACTTGAGCTGTAAAATCATCCTATAAGTGATTTTAATTTTATGATAGAAAAATGTTTAATGTTTATTGTATATTTTGTTAATTTGATTATTTGTGTAAATAAATAATTATTATAATTATTATTAAAACTGTATTATTTAGGAATTCTAATATGCTCGATTTTTGGATGTATGTTAAATTAAAAAAAAATTGTTGGTATTAGTATGCTCTTAGACTTATGTCTATTTCGCGTATATGTTAATTCTTGCCTCTATATTTACACAAAGAGGAGTGAACTGGTTAAACTCCCGAAATATAAAGAAATATTGCACTTCAGAGTCCTCCTTTGAGAAAAATAAATATTTGCATAATATTTATTTGATAAATATTTAATAAGCAAAACTGCAGTGACCTATATTAATACTTAAAACATAAAACATAATATGGTACTTGGAGGATTTCACATAAATGTAAGACGACAGTCAATGCTAAAAATTGAGCAGAGATTTAAGTAGGCCAAACTGATAAAGATTTTTAATTTTTTAAAATTGAATTAGAAGTATAATTCAAAAATAGATAACAAAATAGCAAAAAAGGTAAAAGATAGAAAATATATATTGTTTTCTTCTCCTTTATGTTTATCCTAACTATTTAGGATCAGCCAGAAGTTTATATCGTAAGAAAAAAAAATATGTACAGTATAAATACATTTACAGAATTCCTTATAAATATATTTTATTTTCTAAAGCGATCGAAAAACTTAAAAATATTAAATTCTCTTTGTATATTATTACACAGTGAACGCAGATGAATAATTTTGGCTACAAGTGTATGTATTTTCCTACATTTTATAATGATAATAAAAATATTGATATAATTATTTTATGAAGTACAATTTTATTTAATCACGAAATAAAATCAAACAAAAAAGACAGAAACTATTTATAGGTGTGCCACAGTAATTTAATTTATAACTGTACGAAACGATCGAGCATTTCAAACGAAAACACGATTCTGAGTAGGGTATTACAATGCATATTTTTTTCTTGTTGCTACAGTAATCCAGAAAAATTACCTGTTTTTTGCCTATTTATAAAAAAGAACTACAAGGAATATCAATAAAGGAATTTTTTTTTAACGCAATAATCAAATAAAATAAACTAGAAGAAATTTTGTTAAATGTTTTTAATCGGAGCAAGATTTCTGGTAGAAAAGTGTTTAGAGATAAAAAAAAATAAAAAAATACATTTTATTGTAAAACCAATGCATTCCTCATCGCTATGCTCCGAATTTAAACCATATCACAGTAAAACCAATTCATATTTTCGGTTAGTAAAATGTATGTTTCTATTGTTGTTTATGCTGGTACAAACATATTTACCGAAAATTGGCTCAATGTAAATCATAAATTATAATCAGTATATAGGAAGTATATAGAAACCGATACTGTACAATGTTATTAAAATAAATAATGTATCTTATTTGTAAGAAATTCATGAGCACCCGTGCCCTAGTTAGCTATATTATTCTATGCATTTGATGCGTACCAAATATGAACGTTACGAAAAATGGCAATATCTAATACCAAAGCGAAGATAATAATTTATACACATTATTATACTATGTGAACGGTAACATTATTATCTTGTCGTGTATTCATGCCGATGCCGAACCAATTACTACGTACCATGTACTATTTAATATTTTATTACTAAGTAATATCTATGTAAATCGAATAAGTCAATTATAAATAGATAAACACGTTACACTATATGTGGGCGTTCTCAATTTATATTATGCGATTCACGGAACCGGAATGGAGTATAAACGATAGTATTAATGTTAAAATAATAATATGTTACCAGATAAAATCACGAACAAAGCCTCTAAAACATCCAAACAACACGACTTCGTCATAAAAAGAAGAATATTATTAATTGTTTTTCATATAATATACAGTGAAACCTCTGTATAGCGGACAGCCATGGAAAATTCGAAAAATATTCACTATAGGGAGTTGTCCACTATTGAGAAAACCTCTACGTAGTGGATAATTGCAAGAAATTACAAAACGTCCATTATAGGGCGGCGCTATAGAGAATTGGTTATACATACACATTAAAACTGTTATTATTTATAACATAAACGTGTTTATTATAATTTATAAAAAAAATATTATTATTATAAGGTCCATTACGTTAGCACCAACTTGGAATTTCGTTAAAAAATTTATATCAACAATTGTTATTTTATTTGTACACATTTGGAATCACAAATTTCGAATTTGAACACGACTCAGAACACGTGAAAATTGATATTTACTGCGATGGCGCTTAAATAACGTTCACCAACATCTCACTTATATCCATTTAAAAGAGAGATATTATTGTTTGTTTGTATATTATAAAATATCGTTCACACCAGTTATATCAAATTATTTTATTGTTTTGTTTTTTATTGTAATTAAGTTAAAAATATTCGTAACGACTTGAAATTTTAACGGACAAATGTTAAAATCATTTGAATTATTTTTATGCAATTTAAAGATGTTTTAATTTTGAGAGTTTTTATGTAATTTTTATTTGGCAGTTTATGGACAAAATTGTTAGACTAAATAGAAACGCTTGACCATTTGACATGCGGCTCATTATTAGTTGAACTTAGTGGCAAAAAAAAAAAAATTGATTGTTATGTATTTTTTTTTTTATATAACAGTTTTTAAAATATTGAAAAAAATTGTAAATTGTGGCTTTTTAAAACTTGTATAACTGAACTTGTCTCCAAATCGTTTTTCATTAGTAATGGTTCATCATTTCTTACAAATATAAATTAAATACCTCCATGTATCCACTATTCTAACTTCTCACTCACAACAGTATCACACACGTCCCCAGTATCTGCTCTTTTTTAGATTCTGAGTGGAGCGAGGAACATATTGGTTTTATAAACATATATTTTTTTTCTGTGAACAACTTTTCTACTAGAAATTTTGCTTAAATTTTCAATGAAAGTAGATATTTTTGCTACTGATTGGAGAGGTGTTTTCAAGGGGTAATATTGGGAATTGCCCAAGAATTGCCCTGAATCACAGCTATTTATATTGTTGGCTACCAATGATTGAATTTAATATAAATGATAATTATTACATAATAACAATAATTATGAGGGTACTGTTATAAGTTCATGATTGTTATCATTATGACACATGTGTGTTTTGACTATTGATAATTTTTACATTCAACATTGGCACAGCACATTAATGAATGAAAACGTGATTAATGGCCGTTGACACAAACAAGATAAATGGTTTAAATTACAATTTAAAATCAAGCAGTACACAATAAAATAATAACTTGTCATAAATATAGGTAACTACTAACTTACAAGATTACAGCAAATACATGTTTAAATTGGTAGGTATAATACACTGGAAAAACCACACGCGATGGGTTAAGGTTTAAAATTCAACAACATGCTTACAATTTTACAAACACGTATAGTAATATTATTAATACCTGTAACTTATAATCGAAATAGAATATTAAAAATAATAATTATTACCTATAGCATAGTTAAAGTTGGTTACAAGATAGATTCATTAAAATAAATAATAAGTATACCATATCTATTCTACAAGTCACTACCGGTGCAACTTGATATATCTAGTTATTTTCCATTAAATTAATTTTTTTTTAAATCGATGTTTATTTTTGTTTTTTTTGTTTTTGTGAACAATATTATAATATAAATAATAATATCTTCCTTATTTTCTGTTGGTTCCTACAGTTTGGGTTAATGTATTGATCGAACATTATTATATTGTATAAACTCCCATTGAAGCACAAAGATGATATTTTATTTTAAAATACCCAATATATTAAAATATCCGACAGATGAAATCAAAGAATTTGTAGAATTTACGCATTGAATTGTAAAATTACTAATATAATATACATATATATATATATTTATGTATTACCTAATTACAAAGTTATGAAAAAATAAATCTTTTCTTATATCGATTAGTTTTAATAAACTAATTTGATTTTTGATTTCAAATATCAGACCAACCAATTTTTCGGGTAGTGTACGAATTCGAAATTTGCGATTACAAATGTGTACAAATAGAATAACAATTATTGATGCAAATTTTTTAACGAAATTCTAAGTTGGGGTGCTAATGTAACTAATATATTTTTATGCTGTAATATATTGATTGTTTATTATAATATGATTAATATTAAGTTTAATTTGTACTTATTATTTATTGTATACATAATATTTATATATGTAGATATATGTATTAAAAAGTGGGTATAAACATGTTAAATGTTTATATACAATTAAAAAAATCTGTAATATTTTTTTGTGTACATTTTTTTTAGCACACAGCTGATGACTGAACACAACCGAATTATTTGTCAATTATCGAATAGGAAAACCATTAAGAGGACGTTATACCCGCATCTACTGTCTCAGTCCAATAACCGGGTAACATGCAAAAACAATGCTTACGCAGAATAAGTAAAACTAGTTTAATTAGAGTAAATTTACCTATCATGAAATTCATAAAGAACAATATTTTGGATGGAGTGTCATAGGGCTTTTTATTACTCAAAATATACAGCTCGATATAAAAGATACAAAAACCTTTATTTTTTTTATTTTTAAATAGTTCCTAATTCAAAAAACACCCATCGAATTCCCTCCAATTTAGTGTTCTTTATAAATTTCAGAATAGGTAATTATACCTACTCTAAAATCTAAATTAAGCTGGTTTTACTTATTTTTCGTGAGCATTGCTTTTATATGTTACTGAGTAGTTGAACTGAGACAGTAGATGAGGGATAACGTCCTATTAAGATAAGATAAAATATGAACGAATTGTATAAAAAATTAAATATGTTTAGTATTTTTATAAGTTAATCATTTCCGGTGTGTGCATGTATTGTATTCATTTATAAGAGGTTATTTTTAATTTTGGTACCAGTCTTTAGTATCCACATCCGCTATTAGGAGTATCTACTATTTAGAGGTTATAACTACTATTATGTACATACATTTTTGCCGGGGAATTTAAAAGTGTCCACTATTGGGAAAGGTCCACTATTGAGAGATGTCCATTAATAAAGGTTTAACTGTAATATGAATAATATGGTTGAAATTAAATTAAAAATCTACAATATTATGATTATTCATTATTTATCCTAGCCGAAAAAGATTTGTCAAAAAATAATATACAGAGTGATTTTTCATCATGATCTATTGGACTGTCTATGTAGGTTTTGATTAAAGTGTAGTTTGGTTTTTTTGGTCATTATACTCGTTGATCTAATATTCTTATTTACAATATTTAAAAGTAGTATCCTTACTCTGTCAACAAAAAAAAAAAAAAAAAAATATATATCAAAATCAGGTTTTTAAACAGCAAATAACTCCTCACTGGTTTATCAAATCAAACTAGCGAAGCGACTCTAAAAATGTTGGAACACGTAAAACCTATATTGAGTTTAATATTTATATGAGTAGTGTAATTATCTAATTGGTAAATATGATATTAATGTTATACAAATCAAATTGTTTAAAAAAATGTATTCCCTTTTCCAATATTTTGTATAAAAAAGGGGCATTTACAATTTGAAAATTAACATTTAATACGTATTGACGGTAAAAAGGAGCTGGAGTAGACATAATATGAGTACAGTGATAAAATAAGGCATGCACAAATGTGTAATGGTTAAAAAAAAAACCTGGAATAAGCCAGTTTAAATGTTTCAAATATTTATATAAAATAAACAAATACGAGTGCGATAAATGTTATATTTATGCTATTTTGACGGAAATCGTAAACGAATGGCTAAACAAATTATTCATAATAATAAGGTCGTCAATTTTTGGTTGTATGCGACGTAATAATGTACAAATTATTAAATAAAAAAATAAAAACATGACAATAACTGTAGGCCAATGTGCCTGTATATGTAATGAATTATGTCATAAACACTATTAATATAATTTTATACGAACAAATAATAATTGTTTTTTAAATTAACCCAATTCTTTGTAATATTATACGAACACGCTAATTTGAGTAATCTACATAATATAATTATTAAGTAGGTACTTCTTTACTTACTTTTATTTTATTAATAATGTACAATTTTATCTTTTTACGAAATTTTTATAAATTCGAAATAACTAAAAATGATAAAAAAGGTAAGATAATGAGGACGGGTGCAGCCACTGATGTAAGTGGGAAGTTTGGAAGATTGGATACAGACAAGAATTTAATGTATATCTGTAAGCAACGATAAACCATTACTTACGAAAGAACGATTCTGAGTTCAATTGATAGTGATTCTTTATCAACAATATATATGTCATTTGGTAGTAAAATAATTAAATAGTCTTTATATATTTTTATTAGTAAAATGTATTTAATGTTGTACCAATTTTCCCAGTTCCCCTACGTTTTTTCCGGTTTTCTCATGTTTTACCTCGGTTAATTACATTTTCTGGAAAAACTATTGGGAAAATCAAACTTTTTATATTATGTACTTTAAACATACATGTAGAGAATATTTTGCAAATGAATTCGCATGCTCGGCTAAAAATATAAGAAGCCTATGATTACAGATACGTTTGATAAGTATTCTTAAATAAATTTTTTTATTTTCAAATTGGTATTATTCTATATGTGTCTATACATTTATTTATTTTTTTTATAATTTACTGGGTTAATACTACCTAATAGTACAAATGTTCAAGTTTGAATGTTAAATTCATTTAACATTCAACATTGTATAAATTTGTAATGTTTAGATTAAAATACGGAGTCCTTTTTTTAAAAATTATAAAAGGAAAGAAAATACATATTCGATTTTAATACATTAAAAAAAATCACGCTCCCACGAGAAACATACGAAAAGTTATATTTGTATATGTTCTTAAAGATAAAATACCACTTACGAAACTTGTAAAGAACAGTATAATATTTAGGACAGAATTTCATCAGTGGTTTTGAAATATTAATTTTTAACAAATTGAAGATAGTTAAAACGATTTTTCAAACAAATATTAAACCCACGTTATGGAACTCGATATTAAAAAGAATTGTCAAACGCTCGTCTCAGAATTATTCATAGTAATAATAATAATATTTAAAAACGATAATAATCCAAAGAAGAAGAAGTTTTTCTAAAGCTGCTAATTTAACTTTCTACAATCAATTTCTTATTGTCAATAAATTTTTAAATATAACATTTATTATTTTTACCGTACTCATTATTATAAACTAAGAGTACATCACAAATTAATAATTAAAAAAAAAGAAAGATTTAAAGTCGTTAAATGAAATACTATATTTCCATAAAAAAAAAAAAAAAAAATAAAAAACGATTATCACTAAAATTAAGAATATAGCAGAGTTTGTAATTTTTTTTTATTTTTCCGGTGATACATTACATAATGTATATTTTTAATTAAAAAGTTTTAAAAATTCTTTTTAAGTAACAACAGTGTGATTAGTATTATATTTATGTATTCTTATAATAAAGAATATAATATTTTTTTTTAAGTATATAGTATAATATATAAATACGTACTGTATTTCATATACTCTTGTTTTTATTATTTTCGTTTCATAAATTAAGATATGATTGTATTTTTTTTTTTTACGTAATAATTTTTTTTTATGAGTTTTCGTCAGAATAAATAAATTGTAATTGTTTTGTCGCCAGAAGTATAGTATATTTATTCAAAAATAAAATAATTGTAAACCAGTCATCTGTTTTTACGAAGGGTGATGCATTTTATAATTTTAGGTGTTTGGCGCTTTAAAACGAATATACAGTTATGAAATGGACTTAAAAAAAATTCAGAAGAAACCTAATATACCCAGTACACATCCACTAATATTTTTCAATATCCCGAATATATCCTAATATTTTCACGTATTTGTACTAATATTTAGTTATTTTCTTATTGAACATCCAGTCACCACTAAGAATCAAGAAGCACCTTATCCTCAAATTCCGTGGTTATTTTGCCACTGTACGTATAGATTAATTCATACGAGGTTACTCAAATGTTCAATATTCAATAAATACGTAGTTATAATAAGATATCTGAAACAGTATAGATTCTACATTGTCCTGGAATATCCTAAAATTTTAAAATACAGACATATAAAGCAACCAGTTGCTGGAGATATAAATAGATAATAAATAAAAAATTGCGACTATAGGTTTTAGATATTTGTATGGTGCCCTAATGAGAACTTTATTATGAACTAAATACCTTAAAAAAGAATAGAATAATTTTAAAATGTTATCATTTTTAGAAAAATAAAATGGTATAAAGGCACAATTAAGTGAAAATTTCAGGTCTTTACGAATTGTGTAAACTGAAATACAGTAAAATTTAAAGTATCGGAAATCACTATTTTATAGGTAATTATTTACGTTTTTTCTCAATTTTTAAAAAAATGACTTCTTCAATTTACTAAAAGAAAATCTAAAAATACATATTTTGATGTTGATGATTTGATCAGACAGATTTGAATAAAAACAAATCCTAGTAAAATCAATAAATTCCTCAGACTACTATTAGAATCTAAAAAGATGTGGTTGACTTGGTAGAGATTTAAATTGGAAAGAAAAATGTATGGATGATGTAAAATAGAGGGTATGCGATGAGATAGCCCTAAGGGCCCTGGAAACCAGAGAAGAAGAAGTTATACTTCCTTTAGGGTGGTACATTTTTCCTTTCTATAAAAATTATATTTCTTCGTTTAAGAGAAAATTCTAATATGGTTCAAGAATGCAAGCTGATCTATAGTAACGATTAATACTAATGTAGGCTGGTGAAAAAGTACGCTATTAATTTATACATTTCAAAAAATAAATTTTAAAACAAAAACTTAAATTTTTTTATTTCGACTATAAGTATAATATTTCATTTCAGATTCTGAACAAGGAATGTATTGGTTTTAAAATGATGTTTATTTTTTTCTATATCAACTAATCTGTTAGAAATTTTGCTCCGATTTTCAAGTGTAGCATTTTACCTAGAAAGAAATTTTTGATTTTTCCGAGGGTTTTTTATAATAAATGAGAAAAACCGAAAAAAACTTAGGAAAACGGAAAAATGTACGAAATATATTTTAAACTCGTAAATATTACGAGGTCTTTTAAATTACGTATAATTAAATTCCGCTCAGAGTCGTTTATGTTTGTAAAGATAAACCATTTCGTACAGATATACATCAAATTCGCCTCTATATCATACCTTCTCAACTTACAATAGTGGCCCATCCATCGAGCAAAGTATATCCGTATCTTATTTAGTTTACTCATATAGTTAATATTTTGAGAAATATACTGTATAAACAAAAACTCGTATTTTGATTTTTAAGAGAAACTGTAACTATGTAAGTAGAAATCGTATTAGCTCATGCATTGATTTTTTTCTTTGTTTATTTCGATTTATTTTGTATGTTTTAGTTATATATATATTTTTTTTTTTTGAATTCGAGTAAAAAATCACAACTTTTTGTTTACTACTCAGTTATATTTATTTTGAATTTAAATATCGCACAGTAGACATAATATCTCAAAAACCTTACGGAAATGTATTCTGATATTTATTTATTTTTTTAAACCCCAGTAATCTCGTAAATACACTGTGGCAGATAAATATTATTCTTACTCATAAGTTAAAGGTAGGTAGTTACTATTTTGTTATTATAAAACGTTATTAAGTCCCCGAATAAGTCTTGAAAAATAAAATAAAAAATAAAAATGTTTACGAATATAAAATCACTTAGGTATTCACTAAATATTAAATTCACTTCGATGAGTATTTCATTTGTGAACCATTTCACATACTATTATATTTGTTTTGCATCGAAACCAACTTGGGTCTAAAGTTTATCAATACATATTGAGTTACCTACAGTGAAAATAAATTTGAGGATTGTTGACAAAAAATATAGGTCGTACTTATGTTTTTACATTAGTATAACATATTAAACAAATAATATCGAACACAAATGGTATTAGAACAGAAAACGCTAGCGCCAAACAACATTATCGATGCGTTTTGAAGAATTTAATTATAATTCGTAACCTAAATATTATTTTCAAGTGGAAAATTAGTGCGATGATGTTTGATGTTTTTTCGTTGTATTTTTAAATATTTTATAATATTGTAAAATTAAAAATGTATTTTCCATAATATTAAGCGGTTTGATTTATTCGAAGTTTCGATTTCAGTTTTATGAATTGTAATTATTTTTTTCTGCGAGCTAAAAACAAAAGTAATAATACTGTATTAAAAGAGATCAAATTTTATCGACCGACCAACGAAGGGTTCATTATTTTATTCTTAAATTTAATCTGTTATGTCGTATTTCAAAATTTTGCATTGAATTTTTACGCGAAAAATATGTAGCTGGTAAGCTGGTATATTATACTTCCTCATAATAATGTTAAACATGCAAATATACGGGTACTAAAATTTTATATTATTTGTTATTGTCTATATAATGACGTTTGATGGCACCTATATACTCACTTAAAACAAAAATAAATAAAAAAATTTAAAAAAGTAAATAGAAATCCCGTGCACACGACGTTAAACTTTATTGAGTGGGTACTACAAAAAAGTTTATCGAACATTTTGCATTCGTACATTTTTTTTTGTTTTAATACGTGCCGGTGTTGAACATAACAACTTTCTAATATCATCAAAGTTCGGTATGGTATTATTATTTTAGTAAATCATCGTTGAATGACTATGTCAATAAATCTTTAAGGATACGATGGTATTTTCGTATTAAGCGTATACCTACATTTTAATTAAACGCCTGCACGATATATTTTATGATTGTTCATAATTTTACATAACATCTCATATTAAAGGGTTTGTACATTATTATTATTATTATTATTTATCATAAACGAGTATTAAAGTACAATAAAGTTATTAAGTAGAACGATGTTGTGTATGCACATATATATATATAACATTATACCCAATAAATAACATTAATATAATTTTATCTCGGAAGCATAACTTAACTCATGGTAGGTATATACTTATCCGTATCATAATAATATGTAAATAATACGATAAAGTGAAAAATAATATTATCGTAAAAATATTACGTTGGTGCTCTAATATTTATACGGATGTCAATATAAATACCAATAAAGTAGTAAATACGAAGATGTATAATATGTCCCTCGTGGATTTACTGTATAATATATTTAAGTGAGTTTTGTTTTGTTGTTGACATCACTCATATCTTATAAAATAATTTTTAAGGAGGCAAATCTCCACGGGGTATCACACACCAGCGATGGAAAAATCACGTTATTTGAAAGATTTTATCATACTGTATATTATGTTTAATGAAAAAATTATAAATATGACATATATATATATTTTTTTTTTATGCGAGACCATTATAATATTATTGTAAACATTATTTTTACAAACATAAATTTTACAAATTTGGTGACCTGTAGGTATCGACATATTACGAATAAAATATTTAAATTTAAAATTGTTTCGATATAGTATAGATACTGTTCATCATTTTTTTATGCCTTATACCCATGTAATTTTGTGAAACGTGGTCAATGATCACTGCTAATGCCGTCAAATTATTAACCTTCGAAAGGGAGGTGTTAGGATATTTAATTTCTTAAAAGAGGTTTACGTCTGTAAAAGAGTTTACGGGCGTAAATATGAAATATTGGCAATATGAAAAAAGAACTTACGTGGATATAAAGTAAAATTGCATTAATCCTTGTGATATTCAAACATAATACATTCAAATGATTAAAACGAGCTGGACCTATTTGTTGAACCAAGGATGGTTTAATTAGATAAGCTCTGGATTATATAGTGACCTATATAATCCAGATACATATATAAGACATCATAATCCCAAGGAATGCCACGTAAACAATGACTAAATCGAGATGGGAAAGATATCAAGTAAATCAAGGATATTAACAAATTAGTGAGTTTGAAAGATGTGGATATCCGAGAAAGATAGACAAATTTGGTTGTAGTGCTATGTAGAACATACATGGCCCATTGAAATTAGAAAAAATAAATATATTTTATATTTTGTTCGGATGTGCGTATATTACGCGTAAAGGTAAACATTTTGAGTTGGAAAACTAATATAAAGGCATATAAATATCTTTTTATTTTGGATTAATTCTCACGGGACAAAAGTATACCGGCCGGACCGTTGTCTAGAAAGTTTTATATTGACCCTTACAGCAGACCAACGCATTACACAATGCATATTATACACGTTTGCTGCGCGGTAGGCAGGTAATTTAAACGAGTCGTTTATACAATATTATTTATATAGGTATACCGAAATTATAACTACAAACATTACAATATGAAAACCATTAAAAAAACTGAATCAAGTTAATATTTATTTGATTACAATACTATATCATAATGGATGTTGGCTAAATACGTTGTGCGGCACTCTATTAAACAGTCGGCTTTCTATTTGCATTAAATAAATAAGTATACGTCTATATCAGACAAATAGTTTGTTGATTTTTATTTTGTGGACTTTTTCTAAAACCGTATGACTAAATATCAAACAGGCGTGTTAGCTAAATAAAACGACGCAGGATAAGGTCCTCAGATTTTTGTTGTAGGCTGTCATGGAACGCTAAGTTGACTTAGAAACCTAGTCAACAAATGAGGTAAAATATTTCTAAGATGTTTTATTTATTTCTCCAAAACAATCCTATCACACATAATAAAACAATCTGGCATAAATATGTTCGAAGTTACTAGCTCCAGACTCGTCTGAAAAGCTATTTTTGGCAGTATCATTTTGTTGTAAAACTAATTGATAGCGTTCCCACAATAAGGTTTAGCGCCCGGGGTCTTTGTTCCGCTGATTAGTTGTTTTATTAAACGCTGTGCTTTGTATCGGATTGATAATATAAGTACCTATTATCATATTTATTAAATATTGTATTACGGCGATGGTCCTACGTATTTGCGTAACTATTATTTCGACTAGACGGTACTTGCGAATCGCGTATATTCCATATAAGTACATGAGGACGTTTTCCTAAATTATACCCGAAATTCGGATCTTGTCCAAAATGGCGTGCACGATAACTAGATCTCCTAGCAGAACCTAACCTAACCTAACCTAATTACATAATTATATATAATGTATACATATTCTTCATTTTCTTGCTTTAGGAGAGATCGGAGCCCGGAACATTCAAAATAATACATTTTTACCTTAAATAAACGCAAAATTTTATTTTTAAAATGGAACCACCCTTTTAAACACTGATTTGAATAAAAAATATTTTTCTTGAAATTTTGATATGCATAGCAATAATATCAGATTTACCGTTTATGAGTTATAACAGTTTAAAGTTTAGACCGGAGAAGTAGAAAAGGGCCATAGATAGCCAATTTATTACAATTATAATCAAAATGTCAAGAAAAATATTCTTTATTCAAATTTGTGTTCAAAAGGGGGGGGGAGTTTTTATTTGAAAATAAAAGTATGCGCTTATTTAAGGTATATGGAATAGGAGTAAAAAATTTAAAATGGTTATAAATAAAGTTTAAACAATTCCGCAAAGATTAGAAAAAACAAAAATCAAATTTACTTAAAATCCTCTGAGATAATTGCTTGTTCATGATAAAAAAAATCACTCTGTATATACGTAATATGCATGGAGGAAACTGATAGTTTCCTACTAACATAATTTGGAATATTATTATATTATTGAACTTTTATAACTATAGGGCATTTTTAATTTCATTACATATTTTTTCTCTTTTTACTATTATCACAATTAATAATTTGAACGTTTATTTTAGCCACCAAATCCGGTTATCATAATATTATGGTACAAAATAAATTCACTGATAAGAAGGCCTAAAGCCTTCACCAATTTTCAGAGAATATGATCTCAAACATAAAAATAACCGGAATGGTCTATCCATAACTTAAATATGAACTTAGGCAAGTAACTATAGGTGAATAGTCACTTGGTCAAATTTCGACCTGGACGTGTACTTCCTGTATAAACCCCTTAAGTTACTTACGTTTTCGATTGTTTCTACATTTAGTTTCTCAAATTACTTATTTTAGCTTTGTCATTTCATGTGTACTTAATAATCTTTATTTGTGTTTAACAGTGGACCCATTTAATTATATCCGGTCTAAAAACAGAATCCAATATTCACCATAAATGGCATCGTATTTTCTTCAATTCTAAAATCTGTAAATCAGTGTCTATGTCTCGCATTGTTAGAAAAGTCACGGAATGGTACTTATCACAACTGTTCAACGAACAGTAAAAATATTTGATTTTTTTTTACATTTCAAATGTGGATTTCCATAAATAGTCGATCCAACAGTTAACAGTTTTTTGCTTTTCACTCGAATAAACGTATTCAAGTATATCGACCATGGTGATCGATGGATTGGGGGAGAAGATAATCGACGTGACATATAGTGAAAAAATGCACGTGCACTCAAGGATCGATCGATTGTTGAGTGCAGCGTACTTGAACGACCTTCGTACAAATTTCACATGTACTCATTATTATTATATGTATATATAAGTATATACAAAGTGTTTCGGTTAATTTTCTACAATATAATCATCTCTTTTAACTGCAATTGTTATCATCATCATTTAATTTTAGTCATTTAAAATTTAAAAAAAAATTATGCACTATAATTTTACCCAAAACATTAAATCTATGGTTTATTATTTTAAAATGTTTATATCAATGTTTTGAAAAACAAAAACAATTTTTCCACATTAAATTCATAAAAATCCGACATAAATTTTCCACCATCATGGTCATGGATGTGTTACTGCACATTGTTATAAGTGGAAAGTTGAGAAGATAGAATTATATAGGGTTATATTTTAGTTTATATCATTGCAAACGAAAAACGGTTATAAGCGAACATCAGTGGAACACATAGACTTGAATTAAAAATTGTATTAATATGTAGCTATAAAATTAATTAAAATTATCAGTGATTTTTCGTATCAAATTTTTAAACATATGTATCTACATAAATTAAAAATTCTTTAAGTCATTGAAATACTGTGATTCTCGTAAAAATTTGTAAAATTAACACATTTTCGATTCGGATTTTCGATACTTACAAGTATTATAATGCAAAAAGAACAATATACATGATAACATTATAAACCTTGAGTAGAGTTTTCGAGCATTTTTATGTAGCCAAAATAAATATTAACTACATTAAACCAGAAAAACTAATAAATTTCAAATAGCTTTAAAGAACTTATAGTCTCGCATCCCACACATATTACGTGAATGTGATTTTGTAGAGTAGCCTCTTCCCCTTCATGGTGTCATTATCAGTGCGCGTTATTATAATATAAAAATGATTCAGATCACGATTCAACGACGTCGTCATAACCCAATTTGAACTATTATTACTATTGCATTACGATATTAAATACTTTTTATACTTTACTGCCACATTTCGAACACCTGACTAACACACGTAAAAGTAACAGCAAACAATCTCGTGCGGTCACCTGGATATGGTGTAAGTGAGAACGCCACCGTTTTGGCGTCGGTTCAAACGGATTCCGAACCCATCAAAACGCGACCGTCTGACATACGCGCCGGTATAATATTCTCGATGAAAAAACCGGCAATATACGTATATCACATTTACCTCAAAGTAAAAAAAATTTTATTTTTTTTTCTAAGAAAAAAGAAAACATAATTTTCCGCTTATTTAATCTTCGGCCGTTTTACAAAGAAAATAAAAAAAAATTCAAACAATGGCAATGTCTTTTTATTTATAGTATAGGGTTGATAACTTTCTGATAAAAATCATATTAAAAAAGTCCAATATTGCTAATGGATGTTTCAGAAGAGTATTTTATAGTGAGTATATATTATAAAATAATGTACTTACTATATCTGTATTTAACGATAAACTATAACTATCGAAAAACGATTCTGAACAAAATATTATTTGTCACATATCTTCCCTTAATGCAAAGGTAACTCAGATAACTCAGAAATCAAAAAAAGTTCTCAATTTTTTCGATTTATTAAGAAAACAAGGAAAATTAAAAAATGAGCTCTTCATTACATCAGCTAAATTCTACAAGAAAATTTTCCTACGAATATCGATTATGTGCAAGATTTCAGGTAAAAAAGTTTTTTATAAAAATAAACAACTATTTTAAAAGGAAGATTGGAAAGATGGCATATATACAGTAATTTAATTTACACGTATGAGTAATGATAAACTATTACTAAAGAATTGCGACTCTGAGTGAAGTTGAGTTATACATGTTTTGAAATGAGATTGTCGTCTTAGTTTGATCTTAAAATTCTTAAAAAAAAACCATTTCATTTAGCTAAATTTTTTTCTGACTATTAAACACGACTTATATTATACCTCGTGTTAAATTTTCAAGGTTTTCTGTTAGGTCAAATAATTTTATTCATATAAAATAAATAGTAGGTAAATACAAAGAAAAACTTAACAAAGCCTTCGTAAATGTAAAATGCCTATGAATAGAACAAAAATCAAAAATAATTAAATCGTATCGTCGTAAATCTATCTGGTTTTTTTTATGTCTTTTTGCTTTTTAATTATTATACAACTGCTTGGAAAATCAAAAAATGATTACTCTAATGCACCAACTAGATTTAAATATAACAAAAAAGGTCATAGTAAATTAATATATTTTTCGCTCCACTCAGAATCTAAAATATTATCTATTAAAAAATAATCGATGTTATTTTTTCTTTTTCTTATTATTTCAGCATGTAAACATTTTTACACCTCGTCACATATGCAGGCAGAAATTATCCATCGACACACGTGTCTGTTGCCGTAATATGGTACTTCCATCCCCCCCTGTACTCCACTGCTTATCTGTTGCCGACTATGCCCAGTAATCTTAAATATTTCCTCATTATGTCCAACCATATATCTTCTAGGGCATCCTCTTGGGTATTCAGTATTTGCAGATTATCTCGCTATTTGTCCAACACTTCCGATTCCCACAAATTTTCCCAAACCCACCTCAGTCTCGTGACTTTTGGTACTCATATTGCTTCACTTCCCCATAATACTGATTATACACTCTCTTAATTGTTCTCAAGTCTAATACCCGTTATGGTATGTCTAAGACCCAAATGACTCTTCTAATATATATCATTCTAACTGTAAAAACAAACTAATGATGGAAAAAATTGAATTACTTAATAATAAAATCGATACATTTTATATTTTAGCGAAGGAATTTATAAATATTCTTTACGATTAAACCAATATTTTTATATTGTAGTAAAGAAAATTGATAACATTTTTAATTAATAAATTAATTTTATATCGGTACCTAAAATTGAATATTATACAACTGAACTTTATCCTACACGTATATCTACTAGAATAGTTAACATCCAACTTTGTAATCATAAAATGTATTTTTTTTTTTTTTATAACAACTATTTTTTAAAGTATGTTGGTATAAACAACATTAATTCTGAAAGGTTAAACGATTGTTCGTGAAACTTATACGCGTATTCCCATGACGATATTGTCTATTGAACTTTTCAATTTGTCGGGATAGAGAGTGCAGAGGGATGAGGACCCATATTAGCCTGCAAAAAACAATAAACAGAGAGTAAAAGAAAAAAAAATAGGAAGGTACCTGATATTTTTCCTCAATATCAAATCCTATCAATTCAATATATTATTTTTATACGAGTAAGTATAAATTTTGTGCTATTATTCATATCCGTAATGAAATATGCGTTTCACCATAAGTAATAATATGCTACATATAATATTTAACGAACCAGAAAAAAATTTTAGATACCTAAAAATGTTTTAAAACGTGATGCGATTTTTATTATTATTTAGATTTTGAGCAGGGCGAGGAATCTATTGATTTTACAATGATATTTTTTATTCTGTGAATAATTTTTCTACCAGAAATTTTGCTCCGATGTTCATGTATAGCATTTTCTCTGAAAAGAAATCTGACTAGTATGGTAATTTAAGGAAGTTATTTTTTTAATATTTTTGAGATGTATGCATAATAAACGGAAAAAACTAAGAATAAACGTAGGATAATGTACAAAATGTATTATTTTCAAATCGTAAATATTTATTACTGCCTTTCAAAACATACATAACCGAACTCCGCTCAGAATTGATTTTCGTTAGCAATGATTAATCGTTGCTTACAGATAAACATTAAATTACCCTATATTTTCTACCTTCCCAACTTCTCATATATAACAATGGCCCACCTATCATGCGAAATATGTCTGTTTGTTTTTTTATTTTAGTTCGGATTATGAAAAATACGTCCTAAGATAATGGAGTCATTAATACAAATTTAAAACTATAATGGCTGCATTTTAGGTAAGTATAATATAATATTTATATTTTACTTGTGTCCATGGGAACCTAATGCAAATGGACAAGGAGGTGTCCCCCAAAGAAAATAATAGTATGCTAATTATATTAGTGATGTAGCTAGAGCTCAATCAAGGGAGGGGGGGATTGGTTTAAAAAAAAAAAACCAACAGTTTAAATACTATTTTATTTTACTATTTATAGGATATAACCGTGGTAAAAACATCATGATTAAAAAATGTCAAGGGGGAGGGGGTATTTCACCCATCACCCCTCCTACAGCTACACTTCTGCATTTTATAAATAGATGATTATTTATTCATCATTCCTCATAATAGATTTATCATAACTTTATAATATTTTTTTAAATTTATTGTTATCTTATATCTATATATGATATATTTATCAAAATATTAGTCTTGAAACGCATACACTAACAGCATTCCAAATTAATTTCTTTTTAAGATTCTGAATATTTTAAAAATACTTTTTTTCAAAAGCTTTGAATATCGTTTTTAAAAAAGTTTAAAAAATATTTTATTCTTCATTTTTTTTTTTACTTTTTAGAATGTTAAGGATATACATTATTAAGATGTGTGTTTTAATGTAATAATTATATAGTGTAGTGATTTTGTTCATGCATTTCGAGATTTTTTACAGTTAAAATATAAAGTTGAATTATTTAACCCATCATCATAGAATATTATTAGTTATTTTCAGTCATTGGAATTTAAAATTAGATTTTTTTTTTTTTACATAAATAATTTCATACTTATATACTTTCCTCTTAATACTTTCCACAAATTATTCGAAATATTTATTCTAAATACTTTTAAAAGTATATTATACAAGTTTGCTTAAATTTTAAGTGGGGAAATCTGGTACCACTTTATTCCTCACCTAAAAATTATCTTACAGATGGCCATGCATGTCTCGCGGAGTCATGAAAATCGTATTGTTTGTGTTTCGTTTTAAGATGAATTAAAACAATTATTTTTAAGTTAGGCTAGGTTAGATTACTAAGTATAACAAAACATATTTTACTTCGTACATAAGTACCTACATAATGATGTAGAATAATGTACTTTTCTTTTGTTTTAATTTAATGTAATATTCTCTTTGTAGTTAAAACGACATTATATGTACAAGTGTCTAATGATACACGTGTTACCTTAGTGTGAACGAAGAAAATATTTATTTACTATTTCTTTTGGTCATTTGCCAAAAAAAAAAAAAAAAAAATGAAATGATAATTATGGGTACGACTATGATGGCAAGTTTTTAGTTAATTAAATTATAAAAAAAGAAAAATAAACTTCTACTAAACTTGAAAATGTTGTTTATTTCCCAAAGGTTCGTTTACTTTATACATGCATAATTTTTAAGAGATTTTTGCAAATAGCAAAAATAGTCTTTAATTGGGTAAAAGTAAAAAAGAAAGAAAATATTATGGAAAAAAAAAAAGAAGACAGACATATTTCGCACGTGGGTGGGCTGTTGTTATATGTAGAAGTTGGGAAGGTAATAGAGGGAAAATTGAATGTATATCTGTAAGCAAAGATAAACCATTGCTAATGAAAAACGATTCTGAGTGAATTTCAATAGTGTTGCTTTGTCAAAAATATAAAATATGTCATATAATAATAAAATAATTATGTAGGCATTGTATATTTTCTTTAATAATATTCGTTTAATATTGTACCTATTTTCCCGTTTTTCCTTTGCTTTTTCCCGGTTTTTTCTCATTTATTGGGAAAACTCCTGAGAAAATCAAAAAAAAATTACCTCCATAAAAGTACCTCTCCAGTCCAATTTCCTTTAAAAAAAGGTGTTACACTTAAAAATTAAAGCAAGAAAAAAATATCATTGTAAAACCATAAGCTTCTTCGCTCGATTCATTTTTTTTTTTTTTACCTCAAATATGGGCAGAAATTTGGATTTAAGTAGTGCGCTTTGTTAAAACGAGCGATTTTTCTATTACCTATAGCAAACACGTTGTCCATCGTATATCCTTTCAAATCCCTCCGGAATTACTATACAAGTACCGGTATATAATATATTTAGTTAATAAATGGGTGGGCGGGCGAATGCACGAACGGGGGTGTGTGGTAGAAATATTATGTACACGCAAGTGGTGTTCGATTCAGAAAACAATTGTTCCCGCGAATAAGCCAGTGAGTTAATCCACGGACGTTAATTTTCTATTAATATGGAAATTCTACCCGCGGTCCTATTTCCCTGTGAATACCTACGACTCTCGCTCTCTGCGTGAACCGAAATAAATATAGGTATATGTACGGTTCTCGCATACAAATGATAGTTCGTGTCGATGACGGCACCTGGATTAAAACTTTTAATGTTTACCCATAAAATACTGCAGCACAGCTGCAAGTTGCATCCACACAGTCGAACAATGATAATGCGGATTAATTTATCATCTACAATATGGACGTACCATAATATATTGTAGGCAATTTATTCGATTCTGGGTATTTACAAAGAAACTATTAATTTTAAAAAGATGTGTTTTTATATTTTGAGTGGAGCAAAGAAACTTTGGGTTTTACTAAGATGTTAATTTAATTTTTTTTTTTTTTATCTGTGCGCAACTTTTCTACCAGAAGATTTGCTTAGATTTCGAAGTGTAGCACAATTTCTGAAAGAAAATCGGTGTGGGAAAGTACTTGGGGAGGTTATTTTTCAATTTTCTCCGTAGTGTCCTCATCAAATTTGAAAAGCCAAAATAAAAAAAAAAAAACAAGAAAATATAAGTGTTATTTAAAATATATTATGGCCTTCTCCAGTTTCACACAAATTAATTAATTTGTCCAGGACTCCGGAAATCGTAATGGCCCTGGTAACAATGTTGAAATGTATTGTTATGGATTACCATAGTAACATGGGTTAAATAAAAACAAATTTAAAGGTTGGAAACATGGATGAAAAAAATAAACCTAGTGAAATATAAAATAATATTAAAAATATTGTACGTTAAAAAACTGTCCATGGGCGAAGCCGGGTAATACAACTAGTACATACGAGTACATCGTATATAGTATACTCTTAAACAAATTGATAAGAATACTATTAGTCATAAAATACTCGTACTAATAAGTCCTCGCTCACGTTATTTTCACACAATAATCGCACGTACAAACAAAATGTAATAATATAGTAAAGTAAATTATTATAATATTATGTCAAATACAGATTTCTAAAGTATATTAATTATTTAAAAGTATTTTGAACAAGAAAATACAGATATTCAAAAATGAAAAAAAATGTATTTAAAATACGTGTTTGAGTATGAATACTGAATATACGTTTGAAAAGTAGATACGAATACTTATTTTTAGATTTTGTTCCACCGCTAGATTCGTACGGTTTATTGTTGTACCACTCTAAGTATATATGTTGAAATCATATGATGTTCAACATAGTCAAATGCTATACGTTTCAATTTAAAATGCGGAAAACGATTTAAGAAATTATAAATGTAGGTACACCAATTTCAAATAACAGTTCGGTATCAATTGAACATGAATATATTTAAAACTTATTTAAAATGCAATATACAATAATAGCAAATAATCGAAATAGCATCTTCGAACATTTCCCGGTGAATAAGTCAATTATAAATCAACCATAAGTATTATAAGTCTGAACTAATATGTTCGTGAAGACTGAGTCAGTGTACACTTGAATAAAAGTTGTATACTCACGTATACTTAACACACGTGCATTTACTATCCATGTTCACGTGTTTTAGTGTTATTCGCGTAAATACGTGAGTATACGACGCGCAAATGGTTTTTTTAAGCACACGGTTTTATAGATCCGAATGTTAATCTCACGTGAATACGTAAAAAGTGTGCGCACACGAATAAAGGAACTCTATAATAAGTAGTCAGCCGTGGAGGTCATCGCGAGCGCTCTTCGAATTAAAAAATACATATTATTTAAAACCGAATATGGGGTCACCCCTTAAGTGGTAGATGGGCGTTCGTTTACCGTAAGTGCAAAATAATTGAGTTTTTTTTTTTTTTTTTTTTTTCAGTAATCGTGTATTATTATCGCAATAATAATATAGTATTACCTACGTCGTTGACAGTCGACTAATAATTTATTGTCGACACGACGACGTGCATTCAACGCTCGCACTATATAATATAGACGTCTCGAATAATGATCGCAATCGTAGTAAACAGTAATAGTAAGAATCGCAATAATAATAATAACAATATAGTCCGCGACAGCGGAATTTCGCGCATAATTTATAGTCGACGTATTACTACAACGCGCATCGTACCGTAATCGAAAATTATTCAACCACGCGACGACGACGATGGTTTGCGACAAATTTCTCTCCGTCGTCATCGTCGGTTGGGTACCGTTGCCAAAAGTAAGTATAGTAATATTATAATAATATCCTACGCTGTTATATTCGTGCTGTAGGGTAGTCTGTATTATGGTTTAAGTATAACGCGCCATGACACACATTTTTACCGCGGCTACTGCCGTCCTCCGCGATGTCGAGTTTATTAATTTAGATTTACATATTCAAAACATATTTGGTTCCACGGAAAAGGGGCTCGCAAGTAGATTTTCGGAATTTTTTATTTTTTTTTTTTTTTTCAGTATTGGCGACAAATAGTCTGTAACGGTATAATATAATATTAAAAAAAAAAAAAAAAGATGTAACCTAACCTTTATATATTATATAAAGGTTAGGTTACATTCATTTTTAATTTTATATTATACACTCCGTAATTGAAGAAGTAAGTGTAACAACAAGGCATCTTAATCATTTGTATATTTCTATATGAAAAAAAACATTTCCGTCGACTGGTGCAATTATCGGACAAATCCGACCGTTAGTAGTTACCGGAATATAATATAGTGGACGCAGCTTATTGGACTCATGTATATACGGTTCAGTCGCTTATTAGAACCGAAATCAATTGCAACGGTCCGGACGTATCCAAATACGTTCTATCCTTCCACCATTTCGCCTGTAAGGTCCATTCGGTTATTGGACTCAATTTGAGCTGGTCTTATAAGCAACGTCCACTATACAAATAGACATCTATTTTTTTCTAAAAACAAGAAATAGTCTGAAAATGTTTAATTTTTGCCTATGGATGTCTATAATATGTCCGTGTTGTTGCCTTGGCCTATTGACCACACTGAATTTATTTTACTATCACTGACTACGTCTATACGAGTTCCTTTGTATTTTATAACTTGTTTTGTATATAGGCATACACGTTATATACGTTTACACGTATAAAACCGTTCACATACTATTGTTATTGTTTAATCACTATTGGTTATATTTTTAGCGCAACAACGCCAGAAATTTCCAACTTTTAAAATCGTTTTTAGACTCTCCTGAATATTTTAATAATTTTAAGATTTGTTTTGGAATCAACTTCTTCAATTTTTTGATCTGAACCGAATAAATGTAAGCATTTTTAAAATTTAATTTTCCTGGATTGAAAACTATACAAAATCGACTAAGTCCTTCTAATCCCCGGGACCGAATATATAACAATAATATGATACGGCTTCGTTTCCACCACCGCCTATACAGTTTTTATCGTCGTTATAACTGATACTTATACTCGTAATAATAATCCATCGTAGAATTTCGCAGAAGGAAACATGTAATAGAGTAGGAGGGGCGTTATTCACGGTAAAAATATCCCCTGTAAAAAGTATCTCTTGACTCTTATGGATATACATCTAATGGGAATATCGATAACATATAAACATACTAATACTGCTGATGGGTTAGGTTAGGTTAGGTAGAATGCACAAAGTTATTTTATTTGTATTTTAAATCAATGATAAACCATTGCTAACAAAAAAAGATTCTGAGCGAAGTTCGTTTGTACGTAACTTGAAATATCGTAATATTTACGATTTTTATCCAAAATACAACAAAATAAGTTCTGGTGTTATTTTTCGATTAGGTTAGGTTTCAATTTTTCTGTTCAAAACGTTGTTTGAATAGAAAAATAAAATGTTTTCAAAAAAAGTAGTAAAATCAATAGATCTCTCGCACTAAATGATGCACAGTTAGGCACTGTCTATTTAAATAGGTAAACGTTTTCTTTCCATTACATTTTTCTAAACCAGTTAAAAACAAAAAAAATAGAATAATAGAAAATTATTTAGTATTTCTTTTGATAAATAATTTTAATATCACTTTGTTATTTTGGTTAAAACTTAAACTATTATTAAACTTTTATTGACGATAAAATGTGTAGAAAAAACCTATTTATATAACCATGTTGTCTGCGTTTATTTTTCTACGGAACTTATATATTTTTACTTGATAAATATTATTATCACATAACAAGTCGAGTATGCAGTCTATGCAGTGATACCCGATGGATGCGTGATTGAAAGCGTAGAAGACTGTAGAAACATAGACCGATGTATTTGAAGTAATAACTACTAATAGTTTATTAAACGAATTTTTTCAAAAGAGGATGGTTTGGTAGAACCGATTTGTATACAAATTTGTTAGTCCTCGCAAAAAACGTGTTTTACATGCCACTGTTCAAGGGAAATATTGCAATCTTAAAAAACAAATTAAACTACTTATATTAGCATATTCGTTACATATTTACCGTTATAATATTGTGTATTATGTATTTTTGATTCCTAGTGGAGCGAGACATATATTTGGTTTTACCATTATGTGTGCAAATTTGGTTTTCGTTCTTTGAGCAAAGATTTTTATTTTCAATATAAGGGTGAATTGTCTTATTATCAAATTTAAAGGTAATATAGCCTTATAGTTTTTGTTTTTATGGCAGGATTATTCCGATTTTTTAATTTTCATGTGAAACATAAACAATTATAAATTGAGATATTTCGCATTATCACACCTCGCTTAAAAATTAAAATAAACCGATTAACGAACATAGATAACATTTTCTTACCTTAAAGTTAGTTATAATTTTGATCAATGGAATATTTTCGGGGGGTAGGGAGGGTTAGGGATCCTCCCTTCAAAAGAAAAAATTTGATTCAAAAGTCATAAATGACTTGTTACGAAGGTATAAAGAAAAAGAACATAAATTTATACAGGGTGATTTTTTTTATCATAAACTAGTAATTATCTCGGAAGATTTTTAGTGAATTTGATTTATATTTTTTTTAATCTTTGTAGAATTTTTTAAACTTTATTTTAAAACCATATTTAATTTTTTACCCTTATTTTTTACATCTTAAATAAGAACATACTTTTCTATATCAAATAGGAACCTCCCTTTTTTGAAAACAGATTCAAACAGAGTACATTTTTTTAGAAAATTTTGATATGCATAAAACTAATATCAGATTTACCGTTTATGAGTTATAACTGTTTAAAGTTTAGACCGGAGGAGTAGAGATAAGAGTTATCAATTATCATTATTAGTAAATATATAATTTATGAAGTAGTGATAAAAATTAAAAATGGTTTTAAAATAAAGGTTAAACAATTATACGAAGATTAAACAAAATATAAATCCAATTCACTTAAAATAATTTGAGATAATTACTGGTTCATGATATAAAATCACCCTTTTTTAGAAAAATGTTGAATCCCCCCTCACAAAAAATTTGAAAATACGCCACTGATTTTGATTATACTATAAGATAATACATAAATTCTGTCGAATATTAAAACGAACAACACGGTATTTTTCCTGCTAGACGCAAATTTGGCACTTCGTGCGTTTTTTAACACGGAGACAGCACGTCATGCGGATGCAGGAAAAATTAACTAAAAATCGAATGATTCTCAAAAACATCAGATATCGTAAATTTGATTTCAGTACGTCATAAACGATGACGAGAGTCGGGTCGTATATCGTATTGTCAATGTCATTTGGGTCGGGCTTATCGTCACGAAACTAATTTAACGACTGGTGTATCCATATTATTTTATTATTGCGTGTTGTTATTCATTTTAAACCGTCACTCGAAACGTCCGTTATTAATTATTATTGCGTTCACCGCAAATTCGAATAATATTATGTATTAAGATCGCACTGTTATTGCCGTTAACGCCTATAAGACAGGGGCGTGAAAGAAAAGTCACCCAAAATCGAGTAGGTACACACCTACGTCGTTCGGTCGTAGTTTTCGAGTGACAACAACGTCACTGACAATAATAATCATTTTTCAAATAAATCGAAAATACAAATAATTTAATTATTTAAATTGAACAAAATATGATTGATGATCGGCTGCAATAATTCAATAGGATTTTTATAAACACATAAAAAATACGGTACACCCAACTCTCTGTAATAATTTGCAACGTGACTTTTGACCGACCACCGTTGCGTCATTGGTTTTGTTTTTTTTTTTATCATTTCATAATAAATGCGATGATTGACGATGATTAAAAATGTACATTTTTTGTATTTTATTTTATATTAATTTAACGGGATATGATCCAGGTGTACGTAGTTTGACAGAAATACGAACAAATTAATATTAAATAGATACAATATGTAAAGCGATAACGAACTACACGAAAAATAATGACACTAGTAAAATATTATAATATTACAACAACGAAAACATTGAAAGGTCCACATTACCAAGACTCATTAGTAGGCTTAGGTGCTTTTAACATTTGCATATTTTTTTCTGAATAACATGAAAATAGCAGAGCAAGTAGAAATCCTGTTCATGTTGTACAGAATCTAAATCCAAAATTTGATTGCGCATATTTTTGCCTTCAATTTTTTTTTTCTTATTAGACCATATATTAGCTGAATGTAGCTTTTAAGTGCCATAACAGACCATTTAATATATTTTTAAAGCATATTTTAGTACATATTTGGTTCTTTTTTAAAGCATAACTGTATGATTTTTAGAGCTAAGCCTACTCAATAGTCAGATTATTGAGACTAAATCTCGCATAGTTGTAACTGTAAATAGGAGCATCAAAAGTATCAGTAATACTTGTTTTTTGAGTCTTAGATTTAAAAAATTAGAGATAGTAGATAGAAGAATAATCGTGATCCGATCATTCACTATATTATTAATGATGAGTTTGTCAAATTTTAAACCTTGCGCTGCACTTACTCTTACTAACTATTGACCAACATCAACAGCAACAGTGTGGGTGTCCCATATTATTAAATCGTTTTATATAATATCATACTGTCGGTATATTATCCTCACGAATAAGTATTCATTTTTTCGATTGGGATATTAATTTCACAAGTATGCTACGAGTTTTACTATTATAACATCATTTGGTTTACGATTATCGTGGCATGTTGTTTATATACAATAATATAACCCGTCAAAGTTTAAAGTTTAGCGTTTGTATTTTAACATATTATCGCCGCGTTCCCTCGAGAGAAATTATGTGTAGAAACCACGTTTATGGGTCTGACACGGTGACCTTATAGGCCCGTGTGGCTATAACACGGGGCTATAAGGGGGTTAATTTACACGGGACTTATTAACACCGTTACACCGTTCGGATATCCGAACCGACTTATTATGTGAACTAGTGTATAATAATATTTATAGTCGGATGATACGTTTAACTTTGTTGAGGATTTTTTTTGTTATTTGGTATTAGTACCCGAACACAATTTAAATGACTCAAAACCCGTTAAATGGTTATCGTCGGAAACTATTTGGGAAAATATTATCTGAAAGACCGAGAATGAAGTAATGGAATGATGTGATCGGGAAGGTCATGAAATCTTTAACAGACGAGTGAAAGTGAAAGATGTTATCAATTGATTCGGAGATGGCTGTAGGCTGATTGATCGTTAGACGCGATAGTCCTTAAGATACCGAATAAACCATATAAAAAAAAAAAAAAAACATTTTTAAAAGATACCCCTCAGAATATACAGCAGAATAAGAAACTACGACGTCGTTTTTAATTTTTGGCAGTTAGTTGACCCAGATAAATGCAATTCCCCTGTTCCTTTTCGTATTTTATAGCTATACACGCTAACCGTTTCAACTTTTAAACACAACCTCAAATTTTATTGTCAATTTATTGAAACCACCCGGTCTTAGAAAACTAAATCAAAGCACTTACAGATAATATGAACTTTTAGTACTTAGCCACTTAGTTTTTCCGTTATTTCTAGTGAACTTCCGATTTCCGAGCTTATAATATGCATTATATTTCTTTATCGCAAATATTACATAAATATCAAGGTATAATATATAGACTATGTCATGGAAAGCTTGTAGATTTTCTAGAAGACGCTCATCAATTTAATACTTATAACTTATATTGAATGTACACAATTCATTAAGCATTAACATTAATAAAGTCATTAGGGTCAAAACTGTTGGTGAAATACTAGAAATACATCTCTAAGCGGCCGAATCACCTACAATATTCAGATCTTTTCTTTCAAGACCTAATCCGAAAAGTTATACCAAAGTCACTTTCACTTGCAGAAATAAAATGTTTGGGATTTTTAAACATTTTTTTAAACTACGGTTTACTACCGTTTAAGATCTAGATCATTCGAATTTAAAATTTCCACGGTTAGGTACTTGCCATAATTTCAAAATGTTGCGTGAAGACATGATTATTAATTTTTTTTTGAAGCAGCCATAAAAATAATAATGTCATTATTATTATCAAAGTTTTCTTCTGTGACGATGTTCACAAACAAATAAAGCACGATAGTAAAATTAGCGATAAAATATAATATTATATTATAGTGATATCGGAGCGTAAAAAATAATTGAATTTTCTTTACGGCAGCGGAAACATTACGGAAGTATATTCGTTATGAAATTAATAAGTTAAAGGTAGGTATCTGAAAATCTATAAAGATTGTATTATTTTCATTGTGTTTCTCGAAAAAGAAAATGCTATACCGAAACATTTAAAATTAAGATTAAAAAGTAGAAGTATTCGTATCCAAATAGCATGCTTACGATAATTATTCGAATATTGTTATTAAAAAATTCGTACTAACAAAAAATAAATTGGCAATTTTCCGTTTTTATTATACGAAATAACAAATTATTCATTATTTGAGCTTGTTGCATAAGCTGAAAAACAGAACATCTATAGGTACAGCAGTGGTCATTATGTTTAAGCAAATTTCATCGTAGATACTTACGTATAATTTATAAGAAACAATAAGGAACATCAAATATTTAAAAAATAATACTTGCGAGTTGTGTATAGCACTAAGCATAAAATTTGTTATTGAAAAAAAAAATACATAATAAAACAAACAGCGATTTTTTTTAAAATTAATTATATTGTTGGTAAATATTATAAACCTTTTATCAAGAGTACGTGCTATCGTTATTTTATTTTATAATAAAAAAATAAAAAGTAAACTCATTGTTATAGATTTTACAAAAAAAAATATTTAATTTTACTTATTTAAGTATAAGATGCGAAGAATATTGTCTATTTTTTCGGTTTTTCCCAAAGAAAATTGAAAAATGGCCTCCTCAGTGTACCAACTAAATCCAAAATTCTACAAATCAGCTTTTTTAAAAATATATTCTTTGCTGCATTCTGGTCAGATCACTGTTGTAGATGGGAAGTTCAGAAGGTAGGCTACACAAAGTTAATCAAATTGATGTTTGTAAGCAACGATAAACCATCGCTAACGAAAACCGATTTGGGATAAAGTTAATTTATATATGTATTGAAAGGCCGCAGTATTCATTTCAATATCATATACCAATTCGTTAAAATTTTATATTGAAAATCTCATTAAAAAAAAAATACTACATTACACTCAGTTTTCTTTTTACTACTTTTAATAGAATTTCTTTCGAATCCTGCAAAATGTTCAATAGTTTTTCTGTTTAATCTAATATTTTTATCCACAGAATACATACCAATTACAAATTACATAAAACAACTCGACAAATTAAAATACTTATAAATAGCTAAAATAGTTTTAAAAAATAAAAACAAAATTGAAAATAATATCATTATAATTGAAATCATTATCATCGTACATTTATAAAAAATTTACATTTACCCCCTTCTTTCAACGTTTTTTTTCGGTTTTGCTCAATTATTTAAAAAAAACTACAAGTATGTAATATTTATTACATACATATATTTTAAGCGATATTGACTACTCGTTATTTATAACATAGTTTTTCGACTTAAGATTTATATTTGAAAACAAACATTTTATAAACTTCGATTACAAGATATTTTTACGATATTTATTTATGAATACAGCACGGTAACGAAATGTCCTTAACGACAGTACTTTTTTCGAATAACACGATTGCTAACGTTTTTACCTCGTACGTTTAGTACAATGTTGTCATATCGGTATTATCGATTTGTCACTGATCGCAGCGTAATAACAATATATAGTGAAACCTGTCCATAAGGAGACACTAATGGGACCATCAAAAGTGTCTGTTGGGTATTTGTTGTAGAAATGTTAAGTGTTTGTTTAGTCAAATTTATTAGGTTACTTACGTTTTCCCGGTGCCAAGTTGGCCGCGAGTTTACGAAATAGACCAGTCGCTATAATATCTTTGCTTTTTTAATTTGTTGACATAGTATTTGATACACATTATTGTTTTCAGCTTATAAAAATGTAATCGGTCGAACGTATAGATCGTTTGTTTTCTTTGTTTTGCTGTAAAATTGTTTGCGGTTATCATGACTACGTGATAAATATCACTGTCCGTGTCCTTTGTAGGAAAATTCCGTTACAGATAGGTAGAAAAACCTTGAAATACCTATCATTTTACCTGGACTTTGTTATTTTATAGTTTATCCGACTAGAGAGGTGTCCGTTATACACAAATGCAGGATTGGTTTCACTGTATGTATAATAATTTATAGTTTATAAAAAAAAATGTCTATTGTCGGTTATTGTTTTAAAATTTTAACTACAGTAAAACACTTATCATTAAATCACGTATCAATACATGTATTTATATAAAAAAAAAATAATAAATTATAATAATAATTATTAGTTAATCATATAAATCAATCGTAAATTTACCTTATACACTTACATACTTTATACATATTTATAAAATACTTTTGGGCAGATAGTTTGGAATACTTAATCGTTTGATAAATGGTATTTCGTCAGATTTTATAATTTTCTCTTAAGATTTGTCTTTCAACTGTTTGTTTATTATTGCCTTTGCAGCGCTAAAATTATGTTAGGGGCGGGGGGGAATTCATGGAATGAACTCTGGTAATGGCGTAAATAGGCCTTGATTTTTGGTGGTTAAGAAATATTTACATTGTTTATATAACTTTCTTTCCGGGGCAGGATTTAAACTTTAAGGGGCCCAGAGCAAAGAATCTACAAAAACTTTTAAGATTTCAACATTTGAAAAATTGCATACTTCATAGTTAATATTACTATAAGTATATTTTATTCAAAATTAAATCCGCAGAAATAAATAAATTATTAAACTATAATAATATTATACCTGTAAAGTATCATTCACAGAGATGAAACGTTGGATTTTATTATTATGATATATTTAATTGTGATATTTCGAATAAATTATGTCTGATATTAACAATAATATTTTTATTTTGAACTGATAACTACGGTGTGAGAAGATCATCGTCAAATAACGTTACGAAATAATATGACGACTACTATGATATCGTACGCGTTACGCATGAAATAAAATATGTATTTTGGATATTCAATGCGTTGATCCAGTTTCAGTGTGAGAAACGGAATCATCAGATATCAGCCATATAATATTATGTTTTATGAACGTATATTTTAGAATTTCTAGTGGTTCAGAACGATGTCTTTGAATCACTAGATATCGAATGCGGTGGTTCGTGTGGATCCATTCAATGTACTTGTACGAAATGAATCAATCCAGTTTTTTTTTTTTTTTTTTTTAATAAACGTTTTACATTGCGTTTTTTTACAGAAATATACTTTTAAAGTTAAATTAAATCACTCCATATGCGACCATATCGAAATCCTAGTGACCTACCTACTCTATATTTGATACAAACACATAATACCCTTTATGACGTTTTACATATTGTATGACGAAATTCAATACGTGCTGTTTATCGTTCGCACACTACCAATTACTTATCCAAATTTGATATATACTTACGTTATAGTGACTTATTCTCTCGGCAAAATAAACGTGCTCGTATAATCCTAACCTAACCTATATCATATACTTACGCGCGGTGTTTTCTTTTTGTAAGATGAGTTTTGACGATTCGAATAGTATTATTGGTACGTAGTAATGGATTTTACCCGCGAATTCTTATATTTTATGTATCCGTTCCAATCTTGTTTAATAATTTAATGTTGTATTGATTTAGATAAACATGCATTGATTAAAATACTTTACTAATTATTATTAACTGTATGCTCTTCATTTAGTTTTAAATCCGGCGGAACACTGGATTAATTATTGATAAAAAAAAAAAAACCGTTGTTTTATTTATTTTGTTTTAAATTAAACCAATTGGAATAGGGTCTATTATAATATTACTCTCCGTATTAAAAGCAACATTTTGAAGTGACTAATATTAATAATGATTTCGAGGTATACCTATCTTTTTTATTTTATTTTGAGCGGAACCAGTGAGGTTTAACTATGATGTGCGTTTTTCTTTATTTACAAAGAGGTTTTCAACCAGCTCTTAAAATTGTTGGAGAATTTTCGTAAATTTTTTAGATCTAGTTGGAAAGTCCATTTTTTTTCTTTTTACTTATACATATAAATATGAGGGGAAACCCGAGAAAAAACGGTCGGACAAACTGTAATATTTACATTATACGACATTGGATTTTATCAAGAATAATCAGTAATGCAATTGCACCGTGTTTCTTTTTATAATAGTTCCAAATTCAAGTTTTGAAAAATAAAAAAACTCGTTATTTGTAACGAATAACTGTGGGAAATATTATTTAATAGTTACAAAATATTAGTACGATTTTTTATTTAAATTCGTGGCAACAAAAGCTCGAACGAAATGCCACTCAGAATGAATTTTTTATTGAAATGATATCGGTATCTGAAGTGGAGGTCCACTGCTTCTGAAATCCCATCCCATCCTCTTGTGTTCGCCAACGCCTTCTCCTATGATAATACCGTAAAACACCGTTTTTCGTTCTTATCCCAATTAAAAGTCGAGCATAACAATAATTGTTCTTTAGATACAGCTGTCACACGACACGTCTGCAAGACGGCAGCGGTGTCGATGTACACATTATATTTAATGCATCCACATGGTAAAACCCTTGCCCGATTAATTCGATACAAAATGTGAATTGTGTGTGTGCGTGCGCATGCGTGTGCATTAATAAATTATATGCGAATACGAATTGAGTTTAATTGAATTTTCATCCTGATATACGTATAATAGGTATGCGAGAAACCTGAGAGAAGGCACCTACAATAATACCTATACATAATATATCTATATACGGTTTTTAAAACGAACACTTTGAATAATTAAAACCGGCGATATATCTGACGAATAAATGGATTTAACGTAATATTTATAATGGTAAATATGTTATATGGCATGAAATAGACAAAAAAAAAAAAAACAAGAAAAAATTAAAATTTGATATACCTACAACTGTTTACATTAATTTTGTTTCAATTAGACGACAACACTGCCAATGCTGCTTTTTTTTTTTTGTTTTTAAAGAGGCGGGTTATGATATTATTACCGTTTTTTCATGTGCGGATTATGTTTCCAAATCGAAACAACATCTTCAATTCGCAGTCTACATCTTATTATCATAGGTAGTATTTAGTACGACTATAGACAATTTTTATTTTTTAGAAATTTACGGCATCTCTTCTGATAAATTTTTCGGAAAAAAAAAAGGAATTAAACAATACTAAATCAATGAAACTCGTAAAAAAAAAAAAAAAAAAAATATAATAATAATGACCGATACTTGTTAATTCGGTTGATTCGGTTAAAAAATCTGAACTATTACATAATACACATACTACGAATTTCTATAGAAAAAAATCGTGTGTATCGTGTTACAGGATTAGCAAGCCGGCACCATCGTAACTCCACAATTATCGGCAACAGCACCAACACCATCACCGGCGGTACACCGGCACGATGTGACCGTCGTCCGGCAGGTGGCCGGCCACCATGGACGACGTGTGGTGGTACGACACTGCGGAGTCGGGGGCGGGCGTTGCGAAATCGGGTGTCGGCAGTAACGGCACGTCGTGTGGCGGCGTAGTGGCCGGTGTCGGGTGTGGGGTTGGTCAAGGCAACAAAACGGCACAGACAGTGGCCGGAGACGAGGCCGGGGCCGGCGTCGGCGTAGTCGGCGCAGCGGCGGGCGCGGATGACGGTGGCACTGACGTGGCCACCGCGGTGGGTCCAGTGCTCGTCATCAAGACGGTAGCCATGTGCTCGATAATACTGTGCGCCGTGCTGGGCAACGCGCTGGTGGTGATCAGCGTGGTCCGGCACCGCAAACTCCGCATACTTACCAACTATTACGTGGTGTCGCTGGCGTTCGCTGACTTTCTGGTGGCCCTGTGCGCCATGTCGTTCAACGCCAGCGTCGAAATCACCGGCAAGTGGATGTTCGGTTATGTCATGTGCGACGTCTGGAACAGTCTGGACGTGTATTTCTCTACCGCGTCCATACTGCACCTGTGCTGCATCAGCGTGGACCGGTACTATGCCATAGTCAGTCCACTCCAGTACCCGATTACCATGACCCAACGCACCGTTTTGTACATGCTGCTCAACGTGTGGACGCTGCCCGCACTCATATCGTTCTTGCCGATATTTTTCGGCTGGTATACCACCGCTGAGCACCAAGCGTTCCGCCGCAAGAACCCAATGTCGTGCGTGTTCGTCGTCAACCGTTACTACGCGATCATATCGTCGTCCGTGTCGTTCTGGATACCCGGAGTTGTCATGATCGTCATGTATTACAGGTTAGTATTCAACGCTCAATAATCAATATCGTAATAAGCACTCTAAGGCTATACAGGGTGATTATTTTATCATTAACCAGCAATTTTCTCGGAGGATTTTATAAACATAATAATATGCAATTTATTACCCTTTCAAACTCCTCTGATCTAAATTATAAACCGTTATAACTCATAAATGTTAAATCTAATACTAGTGTTATATATATCAAAATTTCTAGAAAAATATTTTCTATTTTAATCTGTGATTGAAAAGGAAAGTCGCTAATAATGGAAAGTAGATGCTCATTTCCGTTTTAAGAAGTGAGACTAACAAATTGAAAATAGGGGTAAAATAAAACTTGTGCGAATGATTAAAAAAAAAAAAAAAGAAATCAAATTCACTCGAAACCTCAGGGAAACTCGCTAGTTCGTGATAAAATAATTATTCTATATACAATATTTAAATGTAGGTACAATGTATATGTAACTGGCAATATTGATAATTTATGTTCTTTTTTCTTTTGCATAATACATAGACGCAACCGATTGGTTTTAGAATGTAATGAATAAAACGTATATTATACAAAATTACCTAAGTATTTTATGGTATTTACCTAGGCAGTAGCTAATTTAACCCACGAAGTATAACGACTATTCGTGTTTATTGCGTTTTTTGAAAAAAATACATGCATTATTTCGAATCATAGTCCATAGTAAATTAATATAATCTTTGAATATACAAAAATCACTCATGCGACGCAGTTTACGTGCGATGCACTCTGACACTAATCAACCGATTTTAATTAGAGAATGCTAATTACGTATGATTTGGTCCGACGTAAGAGATAGGATAGTCTTAATTGAGACTTGATTTACGCAAAACGTTATTAATTAACATTAATGAAATCAACAGTAATCAAGTTTAGATTATGTAAAACGGAACTTAACCCAATTGAGTTTAAAAGTTAACTTTTTTGCTTTACTTTAGTCAATAATATTTCATGCATACCATTGATATTATTATCGGCGTAATTTTATAGAGTAAGACGATGTATACCTTGTATACTATGCTCGAGGTATAGACAAAACAAAAAAAAAAAAGAACCACTATCAATATATTTCCGTTTTTTTCGCGAGGAAAAAAACAACATGGATAACTTATTATACCACGTGCTGACAGAACGGTATTATTATTATTGAACGTTTTTCCGACCCGACGTACTCGTATATATTTCAGGTATCGATATATTTGATTTAGAGTCCAATCAAACTTTATAGATTTAGTATCGAATGTAAAAGAAAAACTTCATAAATATATATATATAATTTATAAGTATATTTATATATACGAACAAAATTATCTGTCGTTAGTTTTCTATTTTCGATAAAACTACCTATGTTATATTATAACAAATTTCCAAACCGGTCAAACAATGATCGAACAGCAATTTTGTTTTCATCATTTTCTTTCGACAAGCTAAACAATTTACGGTAGAATTCGAATTTATCGTCAAAGTTTTAATACTATTTGTATTATGTAGTTTATATACAGCTGGGTTATTATTATATTTATTGTACTCGCCAACCCCCAGTCTGATTCGTGTATTCCGAAAAATATGACGTGATCGTAAAACTGGAGGTCGTGCAATCCTCAATTTTCGACCATAGTCCTATAGAGAAAGATACTGCCAGTTCCCCATACCCTTCACATAAAACAGCATTATCAGAACGATACAGAGAATGTTTAATAAAATCATATAAAACACATCACAGGATTAGGCCTTATAAAAACAACTCGGGAAATTGTATATATTCTACCGTCCCCAAAAAATACCCAAAGGACCCGTTTCGCTTATTATCACTTTCTATCACTAATATTTTTCCTCGAAGAAGCGTCCTTACTGACTGCTTACTACGATTAATCAATATAGCCTACGTCCAATTAACTCCTCTGATAGCTTATTGCAGTCTCGACCGATCTATAAAATGATCCCTCAATAAAAAAAAAAAAATCTCGATTCATAATGTGCGGTTTAATGGGATAGTGGGTCACAGAAACAAAAAAAAGAAAGTTGAAATTATACAAAACACATACTGGATGTCCCACAATACCCACTGAAATATTTCCAAAGATAATAAAGGTAATCAAATTCTGTTTTGTATATTTTTCTCAGAGATGAGGACTTTGGATACACATATTTGAATTAGATTTTTAAAGATGGCCGTTTTATTATTACTATGGCTAAATAACCGGATACATCTTTCTTTGAAATTTGAACAATTACTAAAAACCATGAATTAAATGAAAATAAAATATTGATGCGTCAACAATTTTCAGAAGAATATTAGTAAAATAGCTTTAAATTTCAAATTTTTCAAAAAAAAATAAAATAAAAACTTATTTTTTTAATTTTTTTTTACCGAAACATACAAAATTTATTGAAATATTTGTATTTGTAGTCCTAATCCTTGTGAGTAATATAAAAAAAAAAAAAAAAAAAAAAATAAATTCGACAATCGTAGTAATCTCTAGGAATACTAAAACGGGTATGTCATCGTGGGACACGCTGTATACTACCACATCTGATACAAATTAAGATTTATCCTGGAAATTTGCATATTTCGCCGTTGGAAACCCATGTAGTTATATTGTCATTTAATTTGGCATTTGGAATAATTGTTTTATTACTAGAACTAGGCTACATCTGGACATAATATAATTTTTGTCTGCAACCGATTATAAGATTATAGACGCACGGGAGATCGCGTACAGGCTACCAGCTATGAAATATCCTAATTGAAGCTTAACTGTTCAAATTATTATAAAATTTCTATAAATCCAATACTCGTTCTCGGCGTTTCTTGTAACAATTATTTTAATATTTTGCCGAGACCGACTGCCAACTTCGCGTTAAATGCCGTCGACCCGAAATAATCCGATCGTCAATTCCGTGGAATGATCGTGAGCCTTCTGTGTGCGGCGTTCGGATGGCGGCGGCGGGTGATGGTGGTGGTAGTGGTGGTGGTAGCGAATGGAATTCGAGGAAGAGGGCGGAAGTTAATCGGTACAGTGGAGGTCGTTTCCGGTTTACACAGTGTATGCGTATAATAGTAATGTCTTTATATATATATGGGAGGAGAGCGTTACGTAAGCCGTCGTCAAAAGACAGGAAACGAGTAAACTTCAAACGATACAGTAGTATTGTGCGCCGTGACCGCGGTCGCCGGAACCGTCATTTTCGCGACCGCCCGTCGCGCGACCCGCCGGTCGAATTATTCGTCGTTTCCCGCCACCCGGTGTTGTTTTCGCGGAACAAAGGCCGGACAAATTTCGCCCGTTGCCGTTGTATTGTTAATATAATTATTCAAAGTCTACGTATACCTATAACATTCTGCTGCCTGGTGCGCGCCGCTGCGAAGCACGCGGCAACTGCCTACTGCGTTTCCCTTCATACAAGGCATACCGCGGCCGTAGAACTTGTTATTCAATACGAAATATCGCCGCGGCGTTCGTGCGGCCGTCGGTAATTCCGGGCGATTACGCCCGTGACCGGAACTCCGCCGTCGTTATGGCTGCGGACGTAACGCTCGGCGGCCCGCGGCGGCGGCGGCGGCGGTCGGTTCTTCCGTTTTCAGTCTTAACGATTTTGAACACGATTCAAAACTTTTGATCGGAAAACGACGACGGCGTCGTGACGTTCCCGCGGTACACGGTATCTTATATCGTGTTTTTATAACCGTGGTCTCGTGCTCATAATTAGCAAAGGTCCAGGCCGAGTTCCATTGTCCTCTGAACGCAGTCAAGGATAAAAAAAAAAAAAAAAAAAAAAAAAAAAATATTACGGTATTTAGACCTCAAATCTAGACAAACCTTGTCAGACTTAAGTTGTTGACTAAGTTATGGCGGAAGTGATTTTTAATATTCCGAAAACTGTATGACAGAGGACATCAATAGACGAATACCATGTTTCTGGTATTAATTAAAGAACTTAAATAAATTGTTTATTTCAATACCTATCGACATTTAAACCGGATCTGACCGGAACACAGTAAATTTCAATTTAAAAAAGAGTTGATACTCGGGATGGGAGCGGCCACTGTTATATGTGAAAAGTTGGGAAGGTAGGATATATATGACGTATATGGTAATTTCATTTATATCTGTAAACAACAATAAACCATTGATTGACAAAAGACGATTTCGAGTGCAGTTTGCTAATACATAATTTAAAGTGCCGTAATTTTTTTTTTGCGATTTTCGTTTAAATATGATTTTAAAATGCTTATTTAAAAAAAAAATTCATACGATCATTTTGAAAATTTGATCACGTCTAGGTAAGTCAAATATAAGTATTATTATCAAGTTTCTACGTGTGTTTATGGTCATAACCGAATTACAGCAAAAAACTACCAAAAATTAAAATTCCTTAAAAGCTCAAAAGTGGCTCAAAAGTTTTGACAATAATACCGTAAGAATGTAAACAAAAAAGGTATCTAGTAATTTTTTGACTAAATCATTTTTTTCTGGTAGAAAATGTCGGCCGTGTTTTTTTAAAAAATAATGAAATAGTGAAATTGTAAGTTTTCGGTTAAGCGTCTTGGTTTAATTTTTAAACTCGATAAATATATTCCTATACCATTTTCATGGAGCTGCTGCCCTTTATTTCATAGTTCTCCTTAATAATACTTTACTCCAACAGGTTTATAGTGTAAAAGATCTTGGAATCCTTCTTACGCCTTTTTTAAATTTTGAACAGCATATGGTTACAGTGGTTACTACAGATGAAAGAGCTTTAAACGTGTTAGGGTTTGTTAAACAAAATACGGTGTCTTTTACCTCTTTTAAATATCTTCGCACCTTCTACTTTTCCTCAGTGCACTCTATTCTCGAATACGGAGTAATGGTTTGTCTCTTTACCTAGCAAAGAACCAATTAATATTAGAGCACGTTCGACATAGGCTCTTATCCTACGCCACGTATATACTCAAGATAGACCATCCTCCTCACGATTATTCCCTGATTTTAAACACCCGAAAAATAATTCTACCTTCTTCTTGACATTTGGATGCTAATTTGGCCTTTATCACCTCCCTTTTTAAATTGCTCATTAAATATACCTGATCTGCTAGCCATGATTTCTTTTCGCATCCCATCATATGGTACTAGAAGCCATCAATTATTTCACGTCTCCACTCATTCTATGTCCTACGGGCATAATCACCCCTTCATAGAATGCTGTGTAATGTAAATGGTTCTAATATCGATACTGTCCTAGTTTGATTTTAAAGCTTCACTTATCAATTTTATATATTTTAAGTATGTATAACTTAGTTGTATTTGTAAATATTCTCAAATATTTTTTTGTTATCTATAATATTTCTTATGTATATTGCCATTAGTCGTTGATTTTCAAAATTAAAAAAAACAAATAAATAAATTATCCCCTCTGAAAACTATTAATATGTTAACCTACATAGTAACAATAACAATCAATATTAGATTACAGAATTATTTTTAAATTTACTCAAGTGACGAAAAATCAATTAAAATTTTATTTTTAACATACCCAAGTTAACATAATATAGAAATTATAATAGAACCATATTTAAAAGATATATAAAACTGACACGATCTGGGAAATTTAGGAGAGGGAATCATGTTAAAATGTAAAATCAATAGATGAACTGATGTGCAGCTGGTGCATATTTTTTCTATGTATGTGAAGTAATAGGTCGTGAATATTGATTATTCGATGTGTGAAGCGCGCGCAAGAAGTGAAATCGTTTAAAGGATTGTTTAAATAAAATAATGAGAAAAAAAAAATTAAATGTTCACGGGAGCAAGAAAAAATCGATTATGTGTCTTTCCTGAGAGATTAAGGTCCACGAAAGAGCCAAGGACGGCTATGACTAGTGAGTGTTTATAGATAGGTATCTACTGCAGTTAAAAGTGGAAAATTGGCATATATATATTTTTTTTAAATATTTTTAATTCACGGTTATTGAAAAATATTAGTAGTATAAAATATAAGGCGATGCTATAAAACATTATTGTAGTTTCTTGATTTTATGCAAAGTATTCGGATTAATATTCCAAAAAAAAAATCTAAATTTATAACTTCTTACTAGGTATCGCCGGGTCTTGTCACACGAAATCTATATTTCCTCCCATTATAATAATTGTATTATTATAGTCCTTATACGTCCCGTGGTGGTTATGAATTAAAAAATTATTCGAGAGACTTTTAAAATTTAATTACTCCACAACTTGGAAATAAAATAAGAAAATTCTAAAAGTGAAAAAATATCAACCTATTGTTTAAGTATATTTTTTACATAAATTATATAAAAAACATCAGTGGCGTAACTAGGTCGAGCTACCCCCTAATTAGTACGTATAAATTTATAAAATATATACACTTGATATTTTTTGATTAAATTGTCAATTTTCAAACATATATGGATCCTTCCTTTGAAAATATTCTGGAAAATACCACTGAAAAGTATATATCTCACCAAAATGATTCGATTGTGAAATATTCTAATCGAAATGTTAATTGTGTGATGTTGGTCATAAACTTTTTCGTTGAAACACTATTTTTTTGATAAGGTTACATAAAATAATCTCAAATTAAAATATATAACATCAAAGAATCGAAATTTTGTGCATTATTATAAATCCATCATAATTTTATGGATCAAAAATTAACCTTCTTTTGTCATAATATACTCATCCAGATCGAAAAAATAACTGTTATTGAGTATAATACTAGACTTCTGCACGATATCTGTTTTAAGTTTTTCTGAAATTATTTATTAACCCGGAACAGTGAAATAAGAAAAAAATATACATTACTAAAGAAATATTACGAATATCAATAACTGCGCTGTATACTTATTCAAATTCGCTCTCCCTGACCTACCTACTAATATATTACAGTGAAACCTCCCTTAACGGACACCTCTAAATAGCGGACGTTTTTTCGGGGACGGATTATTGAATTTATTAATTTGTTAAAAAACATGTTTTCCTCTAAATAGCGGACAAAATTTCGGCGACCGAGAGTGTCCGCTATTCAGAGGTTTCACTGTATAATAATTTATAAATTATCTCAACATCTACACTATATTATCTAATCAAAAACTTAGAGAAAATCGTCGATACGTTTGGTTAGAAATTAATTAACTATTAATAATATGTATTTTTATGAATGGAAACGTGTTTTTTTTTTAGTTTATTGATTTTTTCATCATTTATAAGTAAATATGATGGCCACTTCAATTCTAATATTTTATGTCGGCCAACATGTCATATATTCTAATTAACAAATCAAGGTCGTAAAAATCACGGTATTTCACTTACTGTTTTTATATTCATGTGAATTCATCTTTTTTCGCTCCATAAATATTTAAAAATTCGGGACGAAAAAACGAGAACGGTTATTTGTAATATTGTCTAGGTCCAAATTATTAAAACGATTTCCAATTCAAATCAGTCAAAACATAATAACATGTTTAAAACCAAACTCTGTTCAGAATCGTTTTTCGTTCGCTACAATACTTTCTATTGAAAAAAATATAAACGATGCAAAAAATTAAATCGTATAGAACCCCGTCAAAATTGATGTGAACATATTTAAACGGTTTCAAAAACTATTACGGCAGCTCGTCGTGATATTGATAAAATGTATAAAATATATTATATTAATATGTTAAAATATCGTTTCGTATATGGATTCAAAAAGTTTATAAACCGAAACGGGGAAAATCGTCAGTCGTGTATTGGCGGTAAGTGCACTACACCGCATCAGTAATCCGGGTGTTTGATTTATCGCGGTTGTCAATTATTAAGAAAGTTTTTGATAATATTTTCGGTCCAACTCACGACGAGAGACTTATAATAATAATAAATAGGTACCGATCGGAAGAATAAATTGTGTTTGTAAATTTTGCCGTATCGATTTTCGGGACCCCTCGCATACACTAGCGTGTGCCTTTCGTATCGAACGAAATGAAAATAGAAAAAAAAAGAAGAGTTTATACTGTTGATGGATATGCCACTGTTATAGGTGTGAAGTTAGGAAGGTAGGAAGCATAAAGTTGTTTTTTTTTGTAATTTTAAGCAATGATATTGCTAACGAAAAACGATTCAGAGCAAAGTTCGTGTATACAAAAAAGACCGTGTTATATTTACGATTATCATCAACATTTGATCTTAAAACCATTATAAAAAAAAGAGTACATTTCATTCTTCTGTTTTTTTCTTTGGACTACTAAGTAAAACTTATAATGGACTCCCTGTTTAAATTGGTGAGAATTTTTTGTTTGGTCGAACAATTATATTCACATACCAAATAAAAACTACATAAAAAAAACTCGCAAACATAAGAAATGCCTTTAAATAATTCATAAATGCCAAAATATTTTGAACATTTCACCATGTTTAACAAAGGAAAACAGGAAAAAATTCTTCTACCATAATTTCATGTTTCTATAAATATTTAAACTGAATTACAAAAAAAAGAAAATAAATTTAAAAAAATGAAACCATTATTTCCGAAAAAATTCTCGTCCTTTCTACGTGTTTTCTTATTCAACAATTAAATAATTTAAATCACAATAAAAATATTTCACTTGTAAGTTTTTGATAAAAACATAATTTTTGGTAGAAGACATAATTCGTAAAAATTGTAAATATTCAAATCGGGAAAAAACCAAAATTCAACAAAATAGGTCTCTAATTATTTTTCGGTTGGAATAAGTTTATGTTCGAAAGAATGTTTACATACAGAAAAAAAAACATATTATAGTCAAACCAATAGATCCCTCGTTCCATCCTGAATCTAAAATGAAAATTATTATAAAATACATTATAATATAAGGGTCTTAGTGATTTGGATAAGTAGTACAATAATTAGATACAAGTTCTATACTATTTTGGTGCCAGTATTCGGTAAGTAATAATTTACTAGCTGAGTTGAATCGTTTAAAAGTAATACAAAACATTTTTCTTCTCATTTTTATAGACTTCGCACTTAGGATTTATTTTTCCAGTCACTTATTTCATAATTTTTTTCCCTTTAGAAATGACGGTTCCAAGGTTTTATTTTCTGAAATTCACATTTTTATGTAAATATCTAATTGGATACTTTTTAAAACTTCTATAAACTAGTAAATATTAAAATGAATATTGTGATTTATTTTTTTAAAAGTCAAATATTATTTTTAACACTACGTTATTAGTCAACTAGCGCTACTTTATGGAACCCGAGACACAATTAGTTACCTACCCTTATAAATCCGGGACCCAACTCGTATGATGTGCCGATATTTTTTAGTTACATAATAATAACAAACATTAATGCAAATTCACATAAAATAAATGTTTGTATTTGGTGAATAAAATTCTAGATATTCACATTGAATAACCACAGGTATTTAATTTTAGATTCTGAGTGAAATGTGAAATGTATTGGTTTCATAATGATGTTAATTTTTATTTTTATATTTTTACTGTGGACCACTTTTCTACCAGCAATTTTGCTGCAAAGTACAATGATATCACTTTTCTGAAAATAAATTTGACTAAGAAGGTAATTTAAGGAGGTTACTTTTTAATTTTCTTAGGAGTTTGGATGAGCAACATGGGAAAACCAGAAAAAATGTATAAAAAACGGAAAAATAGATACAATATTAAACAAATATTATTAAAGAAAATAATTTATGCATGGGCAAATAATTTTACCATAATATACCATTTATATTGTTGACATAGCAAAACTATTAATTGAATTCCACTCAGAATCGGTTTCTCGTTACCAATGGTTTGTCGTTGCGTACAGATATACAATCAATTTCTTTTCTACTACCTTTCCAACTTCTTATCTACAGCAGCGGTCCACCCATGTGTGAAGTATGTCCATATTCTTTTTTGTTTGGAGAAAGGGGTGTTATATGCCCAGTCAAATACTAAAACGAAAAATAAAATAGTACAATTTAAAATTGCAAGATCTTAATATAAGGTTTTTGAGTAATAATATTTATTGAAAAGTAAACTCGATCGGCACAGATCACTGGATTTTCTTGCTAGTAATAATATGCCAGAGCTGTTAAAATTATTAATCACTACCAGCAACGCTATAACATCTGCGTATTACAAGTGTTTCCATAATGGCATTTTTTTTTTTTTTAGAGACCTTTTACAATGATTTTTTGATGGTGTACTTAGTATAATGTATTATCACTTGCCAATAATTATTGTTCGGATGACCCCCGTTTCTTCCGCGATTAGTTCAATTGTTCACTTTTTAATGGATGACCCTTTTGTAATTTGTCTTTTCTATTATTTCTTTTCCGATTTTGCGATGTCTTTTGTGCTTTCTTTTTCTATACGAATATAAGTACTAAAGCTTGCAGACTGCAGTGTTTCCGATGCGACATTATTTTATATCAACAAAGGATATCGATATTGTCAGCAATATACGCGTGTGCAGGGTAATAATAGAGTAAGAGGTTTGAGAATAATTTAAAAAAAAAAATTTTTTTCAGTCAGCAAAACAACTTTAAAATTCGAAATTTCGAATATTTTTAGACCGTCTCAAAAATAATTACTGTGCAACAAATATTACATTCGAATGCTAATAACTCCGAGTAAAAATTCCCGTCTATATTCTACCTTCCCAACTCTCCACCTCCACCAGTGGCTGCACTCGTCCCATTATCTTATCTTTCTTTTCTTTTTTTTTTTTGTATGGACTAGGAGTTGGTCGGAAATGTATAATACACTTTTACTGTTATTGAAAACGTTGAGGAAAACTTGGGGAAAATTTGAAATGAGAGAAAGGAAAGAGGAAAAGATTATTTTTAAAATTTAAGAAGATTTATTTATTTGATTCTTATATCGTCTTCTAGGCCCAAAAATATTTCCATCATTTTTTGTTTCTACATGCAGCGAAGACTACTTTTTTTCTGGACGTGTAATTGTTTGCTTGTTGAGATATTTCTTTCTCTCTCGATTATTTGCGCAATATTCCTTAAATTTTAAGGACGTTGTCGTTACAAAAAAAAAAAAAAATGTATTTATTCAATAAGGTTATATTTTTCAAAATTACATCAAATGATTTAAGTATTTGGACGTAACCGTTGGCCCAAAATGTGTATAATTTAATCCAAGAAATAAAACATATTTTGCCGTATCCTTTAGTATTGAAAATTCAGTAAAATGATAATAACATCCAAATATCGCAAACATTGCATATTATATAATATTTAAGTACAGACCATTAAACAAAAAAATAAAACGACACTACACTATTAATGTTTAATGTTATAGTAGCATATAAACAAAATATATTATATATATATTTGAAAAAAAAAACTGAAATATTATTTATTCGATGCATTGGAAACACGTGTGAATTCGTTTTTTCTTTTCTGTGCACATCATTTATCATTTTTATTGGTACTTTACGAACCCTAACCCTTTAAAAAATAAAAACTACAAAACCAATAATAATACAACGTATAAACAAAATATATACAAACTTCCATAGGTAGTAAAAAGTCGTCAAGTGTTAAAAATTTGAACTACTTAAAATCACTTAGCACTTGACATATTATTTTATAGAACGTGAATATTTTCTTATAATAAACAAACATGCGTTCATATAAAACATTTTGTCCGGTTATGGAAATATCTAAGACAAGCAGATTGTGACAAGACATTCCGATTTAAGTAAAAAATTACCGAATTTTTAGTGGATGTCCTGTTAAAACTTTAATTCTAGTCGGGAAAGTAAAACCTATCGATTATCATTTAATGTCTCATCTTGATCTCGTAATTTTATTGTAAAATAATTGATTAAATAAATTAGTTGTCTAAAATATGGTAATAATCGTAAAATAGTAATGATGTAAATTATAATGATATTATAACGCTATTAATATTTTTTATTTTATTATATTGTTTTATGCAATCAGCACTATCAGCATTAATATTATTATTGTTACCGTTAAAATATATTTTGGGTAAATCTACTTAGCAAATTATATTAAGCGGTCACCGTTCGTAAGAGAAACAGCGCTAGGGTTGTGGGCCGATATGTTTATTTTATAAAAATTATTGGAAAAAGATAATTAAAATATATTTTTGAAAATTACTCTTCTTTGGGGTTTTGACTGAAAGACTCGGAAAATGAATCCAAAAAGTGTTCAAATAAATGATTGTATTATATTTTAGAATATTCATTTTTTTTAAAATTAATTTTATGTGTAAACACGTTTTCACAAGGTTACTTAACGTTCTGTAATACTAACTAGTTGATAGTACACACCTATATACGAACGTTCTTGTTTTATACCAATACTCACTATCGGGTCCTTATGATATCAAAGCATATTGAAATGAACTACCCACCTTAGTTGAAAAGCATCAGGAAATCCCTCGATTATTTAGCCAAAGCATCGAAGATTGAAGGACGTATTTTAGTGTTAGAATACCGTGGCGTATGAAGACGTAATATTCCCTTGGATGTCCGGTAAGTAAAGTTCATTAATGATGGTTTTGGGGTACATTTTTTGATGACTGTCATATGCGTCCAAGGAAAAACATTGTGTATACGATAGTGTTAAATCTCAATGTCCACAGTTTATCTCTATTAACAAAAATATTGAGCTAAAGAGTATTAAAACGACTAATATTATATTCTCTTTATTAACTAAATTCAAGAGAAGCAGTTAAAAAACGAGCTATTCAAATTTACGGAGGAAGTATATAAATCAGGAGTCATTTTTAAAGACTTCCAGAAAAGTATTATCATCTCAATACCAAAAAAGGCAACCGTAGACAAATGTGATGACTTCCGTACACTAAGCCATATAGCCCACTCTGCAAAAATACTAGTAAAAGTCATATGTAAAAGAATGGAAAATAAAATAGAAGAGCAACTAGGGTGTGACCAGGGTGGCTTTAGAAAGAATAAAGGGACAAGATAAGCAATATTAAATCTCAGAATACTAACAGAGAAGCAGTTAGAGTTGAATAAAGACACGCTGATTGCCTTTGTGGACCTAGAAAAGGAATTTGATATAGTGAGCTGGCAAAAGTTATTCCAGACTCTACAGCAAATATGAGTGGATTACAAGGATAGACTATTAATACACAATTTCTACAGACACCAGACAGGTGAAATTAGAATAATAGATAAATCTGCAACGGAAAAAATACGGAAAGGCACTAGGCTTCGAAACGCAGTGCTGTCGGAGGATGCTAAAAGTTTGCTGGACTGAGTTCCGTGCCAATGACAGCGCACTTAATAAAATAGATGAACCTAGAGAGTTATCAAGATAAATCAAAGAAAGAAGATGGAGACTAATTGAACATACCTTAAGACACGAGAAGTAACGAGAATATTGGAAAAACAAACATAAGGCAAAAGAGACGGAGGACGTCATAGAACAACGATAATCAAAAAAGTTAATGAAAGAATGGCCGTAACAGAGAAGAGTGGAGGGACTATGAAAGAATGCTGTAAAAGTAACTTTAGGATTGATTCCTAAAGAAGAAAATTGACTAAATTATATATTAGTTATTTATTTTAAGACTTTAACATTTTTTTTCATATGATTATTAATATGGTCCTCAGCAGTGGAATAATGAGAGTAAGCAGTGATATTGGACTATCACATATTTATTCCCACCTATTACTCAACCTTTAGATAGGTTCATGGTATCTGCCTCAATTACACAAAAAAAAAAAAAATTGTATTATTTTATATTAATCGTATTTTCATCATAATTTTTAGAGAAATATCACAGTAATGTGTTTACCGTTTCGGATAAAAATAATATTCGTTTTTTATTTGTTTATGAAAACACCGAGATAAACATTAATATTTCGTTTTTATTTATATTTTAACTATTACTATCACTATTGATATTTGAACTCAGTATTTGATTTTAAGAGGAGTCAAAGAAGAGGAAAAACATTAAGTTTAATATTTTCGAAAGTGAAATCTTACGTGAAAAATAAAAAAAATATATGTTTTAATCGAAATATAATACTACGATTTTTGTCTATTATGTAGATACAATTTTGTTTACGAAGCGAAAATGTTCGAAAATTTGCCATAAAAATAGGTTCATCATCAAACTGTTTAAAAATAAGAATAAATTAAAAAAACAAATTATTAAATTAGAAAGTCCAATGCCAACTGTGGAAAAAGAAGACGGGTTCATCAAGTTTATTTGTTGAATGTTTATTTTATTTAGCTGCATCGGAAAAACCGAAAAAAATCGCGCAAAAAACAACTGAATATGAAGAGGAATAACTTAATAATGTCCGTCTAATCTATGGACAAAAACCCGACAGTAAATATTATGGGTTAGCCATTAGGTTATACTTACAAGACATTCGGAATGTATATTTACTCAACAGTCACCAGCTCATAGTGGTTACTGGTGACTGGTAGAAGAAATTTGGATTTTATTACCGGTGGTCCCCAATCACGGTCCGTATCCCCTATTTTGTTTTTGTTCTTGTCAAATTAAAAATTTCTAGTTATTTCTTGTACGCTCTTTTTTTTAATTATTGTTAATATTGGTTCTTGTTATCATTAATTTTTTTCCAGGATAAGGGACCTGTAATTAAATTATAAATATTTGTATTTATTACTAAAACTAATATCGTTCATGAACATGATTAAAAATAACTAAACATAGTGAAGAATAGTAGATACCTAGGTTATTTTGTTATTTTAAAGAACATATTTTGGATGATAATTTGTAATTAGGACCATCCTTAGTCCATAAAATATATTAAACTCACTGCTATTATACTACCTACTTATACGTATATTATTAACATATGGCTTACACCTATTTATTGTACTCACTGTCTTCAGAATTGACAATTTTGACAATTGACTATACATTATTTATGTTGACGTTTGGGTTTCCTTCCCAACTACGACGGATTGGTCGAAGTCTTCTGAATCCGATAAATTGTTCAAAATACTCATGTTTTATGATATTAATTAGTTATACACGAACAATAAAATAAACAAAATAAGTATTATTATTCCCGCCTGAAATTCGAATACTGTAATTAATGTAGGGGTAACATTATTACAGAATGTTGCAGTGGGGAAGCGAACAGTCTCATCCTATTAGCAATATGGTTACGAAAATCGTGAACGGCCAATTGTCCCCGTTACCGTACAAATTTATCTAATCGTTATTAGTTACGATTTTAAGGGGAAATGTTCACCAGTTATACATTCCGATTATCATTGGTATAATTGCTACAATTAATAAAATATTTGTATGGTACTCCAAGAACAGAACGCAATAATCGAATTGGCAAAATAAAATAATTGGGACTATACCTAATAAGACTTAAATAAAATTAACATCTCTTGTAATTATTGAACTCAGCCTAACACGGAGAGGGCTTATTCTATTACACCCCCCTTACACCAATTTTCAAACATAATTCAACAATTACATTAGGTTTAATTTTTTATTTGATTTATTTTATTTAATATTTAATATTTAATATTGTTTAGTTGGTACAATGAGAAGGTATTTTTTTTTTTTGTAGTTTTCTTAATAATGGAGGATCCACAAATCGAAAAGATTACTTAATACAAATTATTCATCACTTAAAAAAAAAAATTGTTTGTTAACAAACAATTACTTAGTTACGCGTAGAATTAACAACATTTATCGGAAACGATAAACCAATGCTAACGAAATGACAATTCTGAGCGGAGTTCAGTTGAAAGTGTTGCTTTCTCAATAACATATTATACGTCATAATATGGTAAAATATGTGTCAAATATTTTTTTAAATAATGTTTGTTTCATATTATATCTGTTTTCCTGTTTTACCGGTTTCCCTATTGTTTTCTTCTGTATTTTTAGCATTTTTTGAGAAAATTCCTGAGAAAATAAAAAAACGACTTCCTTAAAGTACCTCCCCAATCAAATTTCCTTTCAGAAAAAGTGCTATCATTTTAAATCGAGCTATATTTCCTATATTTCTGGTATAAACGGTGTTCACAGATAAAAAAAAAAAAAAAAAAACACTATTGTAATACCATAAACTTTTTTGCTCCACTTAGAATATAAAATTAAGTTTATATCATTCTAAAGTATGGATAGAAATATAATTTTAAACCGATATATTTTTTTATTTGTTATTTTTTGAATTTTCATTAAATCTTAAACTTGTTAACATAACTTTATGAGAACTTTTCCCAAATCAGGTTTTATTCATCTTTTGAAGATAAAAAAACAAAATCGCCCTTTACCAAAAAAAAAAACTTCAGTAATAAAGTATTCAACAAATTTCACGAAAATATACACATATAGGTAGTACCTAGTGACATTTTTCGAATTTGTATCATTTGATAATTATTTTTCTGGATTTGGTGTTTATAAGTTTATCAATAACGGAACTTATAGCCATGAGAAATGTTTGTACTTAAATGTTCCATTAAAAACAACAATGTATAAAAATATCACTGAATACCTTTTAAATGTTTATTCTTGTCTTATTTTTTTTTTCTTATAAAATATTAAAATTCTTAATAAATTAAAACTTAAATAATATACAGACTGACGCTCTTAAATACTAAATAAATTTTATCTAAACATGTCACGCCAGAAATTTCGTTCATAATCATATTACATAATATTATTTCTGTCTAATTACAACCGGCCTCCGCATATTCATATAACGGCAATTTGTTTTAATTATAATAAACTTAAAATAGCGACTGATTTATGTTTCATAATATTCGGCTATAAATTATTGTTAAAATATAATTTAAAGGAATATGAACAATAATAATTTAAAAACTTCGTCCCTTAATAATTTTTAATAAGACAAACGCCTAAGTTTGTCTAGTTTTTACAATTTGAATCGCACGTCTTGAAAAAAAATACCTTCTTCTCCAAAAAACAAAAACGGCCTCACAAGACCATCCTTCATACATTTATAGTCTCCTTCTTATTAGTTCATGTATATCTATCTTAAATACATCTTCATACCTCATTATCGCTCTCCGAATGGTTATTTACCCAGTCAGATTTTTTTTAAGCACCACTTGAAGTAATGGGTATCAACTTCTCCAGGAGTGCCTTGACTATTGTAATCTCTTAATTCTGATGGCTTTGACGACGTTCTTCAGTGTTTCTAGTTCCACTCATTGTTCTTAATATCTTTAACTGATTGAAACATTTTTCTCAGGATTTCTCCATCAAAGATTACTTTCGTCGTATTAAAACATATAATAATACGTATACATGTATAATATTTTCAAGTATAATTCGTTAATTTTTTTATTGATGTTCTCCTTTCTGTATTTAGGTCATCCCTTGGCTGCATAATATCTGTTCTCTATCTTGTTCTCAATTCCATTAATTTTTCCTATCTCCACACATGTCTAGCCCATTTCTGTTTAGTACTTTTGAGGACTTCTTTTATTCCTCTTTTCCGATATTGTTCTTTCACTTACTCGTATTTGTTATTCTCTTCTGAATTTTATTGAAACATTTTTCCGGATCAAGAATTTGTCTTGATAATTTTCTTTCCAAAACGCCTAAACGTTTTTCGTCCGACTTTGCCTTTACTCATTATTTGCATGCATATAAAATATAAAGCCAATACCTAGCCTAACTATTCTCTTTTGAAGCATCATTTTTGTTTTTGTCTGAAATTGTGTACTTCAAAAATGGCCTCAATTTAGAATTTATTATTTACAGCAATAAACTAAACATATTCGACAACTAATAAATTAAATTATAAAATAATAATAAGATGAGAGTGTTTATTAAGTGTTAAGTTTATTCGATTTTTCTGAGTTCAAGTATAACAAAGGAGATACTAGTTTTACTAAGATGTGTATTTTTATTTTATTTTTTTCTCAAAACGCATTTATGGTTATCAAAAATATTGTGACTTTCTATGTCGTACCTTAAAAGATGCCTATTTTAGGTATTTACTTTATTTAAAATATTTTTCAAAAATCGTTTCTTACGTTTTTTTTTTTTTTTTTGGTTTAGCAAATGCTCCAACTTTGCATAAAGTCCCTCAAAATATATGAAATTTCTGCCCGATAGTACTATGAATATTTATCAACATTTTTAGTTGTATTCTTTTTAGATCCTTTATTATATAAACTTTATATATTGAATCCTTTTTTTTTTTTTAATTTCTGGATCACCTTGGCTGCAATGAAATAACCACGATTTAGAATTTTATTTTGTTAGCAATAATTTTTTGTTGCTATTATAAACTAGCGTATAAACCAAACTACCCCTATCTTATACCTTCTACACTTCACACCTGTAAAAGTTACCTATCCAACATTGTACTTTAAATAATTTTAATCAGATTTCGTATAAATATATAACTTAAATATTTACATAAAAGTCAAAGAAATCTCCTAAAATAATATTTGCTCATAAATATATCGTATCTCATATAATTTGGCAACGATAATCATGTGAAACGCTTAAACCTAGCGCGATAAATCATTTTAATGTCGTAAAAAATTATTTTTAAAAAATTATATCACTGGTTTAACAAGCAGTAACGCTTGTTGGAGTAGTTAAATATAATATTTTTAAACATTTTTGAGTTTTTTTTTTTTATCCAAAAATTATAATACAAAGGCATTGCATAGAAATTTGTATTATTTTATTTTTTATTTTTGTATACAAAGTTAGTGATGTTCAAATATTTAACCAGCCGTGGTATTTCGGAACAAATAATTGCTTCAATGGTATTTTTTTTTTTTGATTATTTTGATTGTATTATATCATGTATAATGAATACAAAAAAAAAAAAAAAAAAAAAAAAAAAATAATCTCATTGTGGTTTAATACTACACATCACGAGTAATAGTAAGTATATTATGGTATAATGATAATATTTTGTTGAACTAAATTGAAATAAAATAATATTATTTTATCGTTTTGCGAACAATGAGGATATTTTTGCGTTTTATGCAAAATGAAAAAATGGTTATTCCATTTTATGTCAAAATTATTGTTTCAGCGTTTTAAATCATCAATGATTTCTAATTTCCGAATGTGCATACAAAGTGCATTATTTATCCTGGTGCTCTAGAACAATGTGTTCTGAATGCATAATTCGATTTGTATAACAGCTAACTATTTGAAAAGTGAAATTTATATTTTTCACATTTCCATTTTAAAAATATTTAAAGCGTTTTAAAGTTATTTTGACAACTTATAATTTATATGACTACCTATTCAATACAAAATACACGATTGATTCTTTTCTCTTCAGAATCATTTTTGAATTGTAATAATTTACTGTTGATATCAGTCTATAAATAAAACTCAGTATAAGATTAATTACATATATTTTGAACTATTCACCCACTTTAGTTGACAAACCCATGGAACGAATTCACATTTTGTTTGTGTGTATTTGCATGACAATTTAAAACTGTTTTTTGTTTTCATTTTTGGAAACAGTTCATTAATTTTAAATACATAATAAGACCTTTCTATTGCATTTTCTGATATTTTTCATTTTTAGAATATTTTTTAATAGCGAAATTTCAACAAAAACGATTTGTGGTTATTTTTAAAGCGGTTTCCTATTCTATAAATAATTCGTTGAAAATTTCGTGATAATTTCTAGATATCCAAAATCTTATTTCATAAGCAAATTATTATTATTCCAAAACTAACGTCAACAAATATCGTCGTTTATGATTTTTCACGCTGCGTCGAAATTATTACTCGTATAATAATAATGTAGATGTTAAAAACGAACCGAACCAGACTGATTTTTCTTGTTCGTCCGATCGATCGGGTGTACCTACTGAAAAATGGCATTTCGTTTTGCTCGCTAACACAAACCGACTTGTAAGAACATATACTACCAGACTACCTAATCCATTATTATCGCGAGTGCGTTGTAATTACCACGTCTCGGGAAAGCGTGTTCTCTAATATTATATAGCGCGTAGTGGACCTATAATAAATCTATTGATTTTACGACAAGTATATAGGTACCTAGTGTAAATTCCTCCCCCCCCCCCAATACTGCTTCACTCGTGCTAAACGCGTTAAGCGAGTTGTTAACGACGCGTGTCCCGTAGGTTATTTCACATATTATATTGCGAGTACGTAGTTGATCGGAAATTACCCGAAGATTGAACTATACACGGCCGGTTAGATATTAGAATTTCGAATTTTCTGTTGTTTCCAATCAAATTATAATAATAAATATGTTGTAACGAATCACTAGATTGTCAATTATTCTGACTAAATCTGCAGCCAAATGCAGCCTTGATAGCCAAATGAGATACATATTTTTTTTTTTTTATTAACTAACCCGTGACTAAAATAAACAGATATGCCAGCAAAATGTTTGTCCTTCGTATGTTCTGGGTGCCTCAGACTCGAAATAAATAATAAACTCAAGAACGAATAAATGATTTGATAAAATGTATTTATAGTAATCACGGTTATGACACGGAATTATACCAAGTCTATGCATGAATTCTATTGTAAAATAGGATGATAAATAGGAATATAATGTATATCTGTAAGCAACAATATAAATCATTGCTAATGAAAAACAATTCTGAACGGAGTTCAGTTGATAGTGGTGCTTAGTCAACAATATATATATGTCATTTCGTAGTAAAATAATTAAGTGGCTTAATTTATTTTTTTTAATAAAATTTGTTTAATGTTCTACCAATTTTCCCAGCTTTCTTACGATTTTTTCGGTATTCCCAGGTTTTACCCTGGGTTTTTTTTACATTTTATGGAAAAACTCTAGGGAAAATCAAAAAATGAACACTCTAAAATACCTCTTTTGTAAAAGTATCTTTTAGAAACACTGCTATCATTAAAAGTTGGAGCAAAATTGCTGGCATTGTCCACTAAAAAAAAAAAAAATTTAAAAAAACTTCTTATATCATACTAGGAATGAAATTAGCAGTACGAAATTTAATGTAGAATATTTAAAAAAGAGAGCTTCCAAAAATTACAACAAGTTTCTAATAATGTCCAGCACGTTTATTTACTTATTAAATAAATGGCTTATTAAATTTTAACATTGCTGGTTTTGTTTAAAAGTTCTTCTAATAATGTAATAGCAACTTTACGTTCATAAACTTTCCCCAACTTCAAGCTACAACAGAAGTGGCTCATCGATTACAGTATGAGCTATATTTTTAAAATTTGTTTTACTAATTGTATTGTTTTTTTCCCCGACAATATAGAATCTACAAAGAAGCCGTCCGACAACGTCAGGCCCTATCACGGACGTCTAGTAATATAATTCTAAACAGTATACACCAACATAGAATCCAACACTACAGCCACAGACTGCGGCCACCGGATAGCGAAATGCCCAATGGAAACGGTGAGTATTTTAAAAACACATTTTTACTCGAAAATATTGGTATTTCGTCGAATATTTCTTTCGTCCGTTATTATAGGTATATTTTGTTATTAACCATAAAACCTGTTATAATATACTCGAGAGTCCGTCTCGGTATCTGGATATGTCCGTCGAAAATGTCAACGCGAAACTATGATGCGTTACATATTATAATCATCGATCGTCCGGAAAACTAGATGAGGACGAGTATATTGTTATATATATATTATAGTTAAAATCCAAATGACAATAGCCGTTTATAATTTGCTGGCACCACTGCCGTTTCGATTTACAGACAGATACATCCGTATGACGTATCGTAATATTAGTTCCAAGGCTCAAGACTTAAAGCGTTAAATGCCAAAAATAGTGATGACATTTTATTATATTTTATACATAGATGTGCATTTAAATATTGTAAAGTAGCCGGTGAAAAATTCACACCAAGTACGAAAATACGTCAATTTTTAATAATATTATGTTATGTGAGTATTTAAATATTTTTTCATATACTTCGTATATCATATGATACGAGATGGTCACTATAATATAGAAATCTTCAACCTTTTTGGAATCACGACCCACATTTTTAAGGGTACATTTTTAATGACCCACATAAGGCCTAAAGAAAAATGTTTGTAGAAAAATCAAAAAAAAATCTAAAATTACTTAATAATAGGACTATTATAATTGAATAAATAAAAATTAGATTTTTGACAAAATAAACGAAAAGAACTTTTTAACGGACACACATAAATAGGACGAATAATAACGCGACTAAAATGTATAATACTTCGCAGCAACAACATGGATAACATTTGTAGATTATTAGACTCTTTTTTGATAACCATGTAACGATTGTTGGTTATCATTACGACAACATCGTATATTACTCGTTAAGTAGGGCACGGCTAATATGTTGAGTGTGCGAAACGGCAAGTGAACGACGAATGAATGTCAACTAGGGGTTTTTCGGCGCGGTTATATATACAAAACGAGTAGCAGAGAAGCGACAGTAGAGAGTTCAAAGCGTTCAAAGACCATCAACGGAACAACGATTCTTCTCGTCACACTCACGGTTGTCCGCTACTCATCCCTTTTTTGATTCCGCAGAAAAGTAAAATATATTATTATTATTTATTATATATATTTGTGTACTTTTATATAAGGTAACCCTTTTTTGCAATATTAAGTATCAGACACAGAGGTCAAGTCTCCGAGACCAATACTCCAAACATCCCGCAAAGAGTGGTGGGTAAGTGTAGTGGAGGGGACGTTACAGGTGATGGAGATGCCCGTTCCTGAGTCCAGTTCTTTTTGAACTACATTCAAAGGTTACCCCCTCTCTCTCTTGTTATGTCATAATATTTATGTTGTAGGAGCATGCTATGTAAAAGTTTTTGTCGCCACTGTAATGTTTTTCAGTAATGGAAAGTAAATTTTATATTAAACGTAATATTAATAACCAGGTTACAAAAATAATAAAAGAGAATATTCCATTTTTAGACAAAAATTTCAATTTAGTAATGAATGATGTAAATTAGTTCCCTTTAATAAGATAAATATATAGATATAAGTGGTCAATAGAATACATATACGTATAAATGGGTTTATATTTGTATGTATTTAGTTTATATTTCTACACTTTACGCGATGATAAATTACTGCAAACCAAAAACAATTCTAAGTGGAGTCATTTGCAAAAATTAAATATGGGCATTATCATATATTTTAGATTCTGAATGTAGCAAGTAAATTACTAGTTTTATTATTAGATTTTTTCTATCGGAAAACATGTTTTTGGATATTGAAAAATACTCTTTTTTTCAAGATTTTTTTTTTTTATATCTGAGTCATACCTTAGCTACGAGGTAAAAGTCAATTTTACTTGTACTATTCAACTTAAAATTGTTATTTGTAATGATTTATCATTGCATACAGTATAATATAAATTAAATTACTCTATATTTTTCTGCGTTTCCCAGTAATTTCCTGCATTTTTTCCCGTTTTTCTAATTTACGATTAGGTCGTTATTTGCTGTCCTATGGAGGAAATTTTCTTTGGCGTTTGTATACCATGCCAAAGTTGAAACGCAGCTCTCGCACAGATGGAAAATAATACACAATCTCCCGTCGGTTTTTTATTAGATTTAACGGTCATACAATAATAATAATAATTATCCTCGACAGGTAGGTGTACGGAAATAAAAACGTTTTCCAGGTGACTTTGTACAGAACATAGGCGTGTCATACGGTTCGTTGAGCTTTCGGATCCGCGAAGGACGATGTAATGAAATATTAATGTTTTCTTTTTAACATTGACGGTCCAATAAAATACCTTATGGGGGACGTTTTCATATAATAAATTGATGATGAGGTTCAGTTTTTAATGATTTCAATCGGTATAGGAACCGTGTATAATATTTGCTGCAATATATTACTACATAATGGTGAATGGATGCGATTCGTGGAAATCTAACAAATATAATAACTCGCTATGGTTCTGTTTAAGATTTTTAATTTTAATTTTTTTTTTATGTAATAGTTCTTTATGCTATGATTCTTGTGATTTATATTTTTTTAAACTAAAAAAAAACAATTTTAATCTCATTAAATTGTTATTTATGAGATCTATAATGATATCCATTGTAAAAAAATATTGCAGTTACATTTAAATTGTTTATTAATGATGATAATATATTTCACTAGATACACTAAATTTGTTTTTTCATTGCCAATTACCACTATTAAATAATAATTGTAGATATATAAATCTACTTTACCCGTCACCCATTTTTTATTTATTGATAATATTAATTATTATGAATCTGCAAAAATGTTTAGTCGTGGACACAAATAGTTTGAATGTTATAGACACTCAAAGTTTAAGTTTTCAAACATTCCAATTTCGAGTACATTACATTATATATTACAATAAATCAACTTAAATCAAGTAACAAAATGTTCATGATAAAACAAAGAGGGCTTGGATTATGTATTATGGTAGTATTAGTTTTTCAATACCACTATAACAAAATAATTTGAACAGTCCGTGTTCTTTTCCTCTAGTAAAAAAGTGATTTTTTAATTATTAAGACTATAATTGCCCGAGTAGTTATTTCCCCACGCAAAATATTTGAATCACAAACGGTATCTTAAAGTTTTTCATTTTTCGATCATTTTGATAATAATTTGTCAATTATCGCTTTTGGCCATAGCCAAATAAATATAGTATTTTGATAAAACAACGTATCTAGTATTAAAAATAATTCAGTACGTAATTGAGTAAACTCAAGTGCTGTATATTATATGGTTTACAAATGTCTCGCGGACGAACGAATCGATATAATAATAGTATTATAGATACTTATATATGTGTGTACATTCCAATTTTAAAATTATATTGCAGGTGATGGTTTATTTTTTTGGGAGGGGTAGGGTAGTCAGTGGCTAGGGGAAATGGCCGTTTTGCACGTTGAAACGTTTGACAATTTTTCGGTGCGGAACACCGTGGTTAAGGTCGATGAAAGGCAGAAATGGAACATGAAATTGTCTGTGTGTAATCTACGCCGCCGCCACCTATATTATAACACTCCGACTGCGTCAGTTTCACGGTAAACGTTGGCGGACAGCGAATTGGCATCGTTTGACTCGAACGAGCGAATTCACATTACAAATCGTCTTCTTTTCGAGGAAATATCCCGTTAGATTTTGGAATGCGTCCATTTTATGTAATAGTCCGAATAGGTATTCGCGTTTATTGTTATATCGATAAAAACATTCAACGGGATACGGGACCGTATGTAAAAAACAAAAACACAGGTAGGTATTTTAATTCGATATCCCAACAATGCGAAATTAACATTATTTTATCGCAAAATATAGAGAATTGTTAATTTTTAGATAAGCTTTTAGTTTTTACATAAATGCAATTTTTATTGAAATTTTTTTTTCGAAAAACTTATTTTCGATTTGTCCATGCCGTGCCACAACATAATAATAATATGTGGAATTAGTAGGCTCGGCGGTATTTTAATTGAAATGTATATCGACATTATCAACACTTCAGTCGTTAAGTCCTTTTTTTTTGTTGATTTCGAAGTTAGATACTTATCAACAAGGGGAAAAAACGGCTAATATTTCTCCGCTCATAATATTTTTTACGTTTAAAATGAATGTTCGTTGCACACAGTACATGAACTAAAATATCTCGTGTATCCGAAATTATTTATTTTATATTATAAATTATTATATTATATTATTTATGGAATATGACTTTTTACATAATGTTTTAATATACAGAGTATACTAAAGTGTTATTCTTAGGCTAAGGATTTGGTAAATATTCCTTCTTTTACTTTTTTTTTTTCAATCGGATTTTGTTCCAAAATAGCAACTGTAGAAAATATTGAATTTGTATTTTCATCTCTTAATTATGAGTGTGAAAACAATTAATTTTTAATAGAATAACACGTCACAATCAACACGGCAATTCCTTATATTTTATTAAATATTAATTGATTTCACATTTATTTTTTATATATCAAGGCACTAGATCTAAGACAATATTAATAAGATATAGATACATGGTACATTAAATTTTTAGAACAATGTAATTTTTATAAAAAACTATTTTTATTTAGCTAAAAAGCTATTTTATAAAATAGGTATTTTGAAAATTTTAAAAAATGTGAAAATAAAAAGTTATTTTTCTCAGCGATTAAGGGATGAAAATTTAAAAATATAATTTCTCTGCTCGCACCAAACCCAATTGAAAAAAATTAATATTCACAGAGTTATAAAATTCTTATTCTAATTACTCGAAATAAGGATAATACAGTAGGACACGGATAACCAGTCCTTCAGGAATAATTCGGTTTTTTAGTAAATAATAATTTAAAAACGTTATTATACTGGAATGCAGTAATTTTCACGATTTTAGACTCTGAATGCAATGAGGGATGTATTGTTTTTACAATAGTGTATATATATATATATATTTTTTTTTTTATCTATAAACAACTTTCATACCAGCAATTTTATTCCAATTTTCAAGTATAGCACTTTTTCTGAAAAAAAGCTGATTAAGGTAGTACTTAAGAGAGATTTTCCCATGGGTCTTCATAATATACGAGAAAAACTGGGAAAAAACGAAGAAAAATATGAAAAATGAATGAAATATATCATTTTCTAATGGTGAAAAATAACGGCCTTTTAAAACATGTATAACCCAACTCCACTCAAAATCATTTTTCGTTAGCAAAGATTAATCGTTGCGTCCCATTAAATTCTCTTTTAAATGCTATATTCCTAAATTCTTACCTACAACCGTGGCCCACCCATCGTGCGAAGTATGTTGGTATCTGTTTAACGTTAAACAGTTATGATAAATCGGGCTTAAAATCGTGGATTTTAAGGTTTTTTTACAAAGGCGTACAAGATCAACGTTTGATAAATTATTTGAATCCAATCATCAAGCATTTTTTCGAATCCAATAAAATTTAACTACACAAAATAAATCAAAAACTAAAAACCATAAACATTTTAAAATGCTATAAATAACTCAACAAGAATTTTCAGAAAATTTAACCACGTTATGGTTATTATTTTTACTGTTTTACTTGCAACTAAAAACCAAAATTAAAAATAAAAGATATTGTTATTGCACAAATATTCCCGTTTGCTTGAGTGTTTTTTCACTGGATTTTTAAGTAAACTACGAGAAATATTAAAAAATAATCCATTCAATACAACAAAAATAAACAAAGATATAAGTACAAAATATGTTTACAGACGGAAAAAATAAAATACAACGCCATTGTTGTAGATGGCTAGAATCTAATAACCGTTTTATTAACGTTTGGCCGACGGCGCGGAGGCATTATAATTTTAAAACTTATATAATACGTCTTATAAATGATAAACAAAAAATCTGACATTACGCAAAATCATCATATTCAAATTGAATAAATGATCATATTATGAACAAATCAAATATAATTATTTGTTTATTTTTTATATTTAGTATATTAACTTAGTAGGTATGATATTTGAATATTATCGCGATATTTAAGTTAGGATAAAGGAAAAAAATCAATAAAGTACGGACGATTTAATATCGACCAGAGTTAATTTTTTTAAACGTTTATAGCATTATGTATTAATGGAAAAAGTAATTAACGTCGGCGGTCTCACTGGTTTTACAACGGGGTCTTAAAAATGTGACAGTTAAGTAATTAATATACAAGTATACAATATTATACTATTGGTTCCGCTGCAATGTCGGTTTCAATCGCACCACGTTTCGTTTAACGTTCATTAAAGACACGAAGCGTAGAAAAACCATTCGGGAAATATTATGAAACACAATATCTTAAAATATTAGCCATTTAAATATTATCTGAAATGTATAGAAAAAAATGATCAAAAAATCCTTAAAAAGTATACTTGCACACGAATCGAAGTGACACATCGTTTTGGCAGTTGTCACGAGTTTTCACGCTAGAGTCGCCAAAATCAAAAAATGCGGTATGACATATCGATTTGTATGAGATCTCTGTGAAATAAAATTTATTTATTGTAATTTGGCATACCAGATTAATTAGAATAGTTTTTACATTATAAAAAATATCATACTAATGTTTTTGTCAGTAGGATACATTTTTATGAAAATCTTTAAAAAGTTAAACATTTTTCATTTGTTTAAACTAAATGGCTTCCTATAATGATAAACAATAAATATATACAACTTTGTTAAAAATTTCATTTTTATCCATATTTTAAGAATATTTTAGATAACTTGACAAAGCAGAAAATAATAGAAAAATACAAATAAAACGTAGGTATTCTAATATTATTCCCTGGCCAATAACTTACCATAACTTAATACTGGCCAGCCCGGTAAAGAATATTTTTCCAATCTAACACTGATTATTCCCTATAGTATTATAACTTTTGTAGAGTATTTTCATTTTTTTACTTTTGTACGAGTTAATAATCGACTGAATAAGTAATAGAATAATCTATTTTGATAATTAATTTTGACATTATAGATAGTATTATTTCTAAAAGATTCATGCAATTGAAAAAAATACACTATTACGCGTTATTTGCATGTATACTTTTCGATTTAAGTAATTTTATGGAACTAAAATAATAGTATATAACACGATCTGATGGGTTACACAATATTATTATTCTTAACCAAGTAATAATTATTTTACTATGTAACAATGTTAAATATTAAAAAAAAAAAAAACATAATTTTCTCTTTTTAATGAACAAAAAATAAAAAATGTTGAAAAACAGTGGACATGTTTGAATTTATATCACTGTGCAGGGTACGTACACTAAAGTTGACGGAGGGAAAAATAAGCAAAACCATAATATTATCATAGTTATTAACAGTGCGATACGACGACGATGACAGTGTTTTCGAACCACGAGCTAATAATAATTTCTTGGAAAAGACATAGACAGATATACATATAGAAAAAGTCGTACTTACGCAAATCATATATATATAATAAAACGTATAGTATATAGTGACTCGTGAACCGAGACGCGAATACATTCACACCACCCACACACGGCTAGGTCGTACATCATATCTATAAATATTTGAGTATCTATAATAATATGCATCTTTCGAAAACGTTAGGTGCATAGTTTTTTCCTATTTTGTTTTTCCGGGGCACACGTCTACGTCGATTTTCGCAGTCGTAAATTCGCGGATTCGATGTTTGTCAAACAGCTGTCGCAAAGACGAAACTGTTATCACAATAAAACAACACAATATGTTATACTGTTATCATTATTAACAAATACGACGTGTATAAAGGGAAATTCTCATTTTATCGAATAAAATTATCCTACTTTTGAAAAAAAATCCATCAAGATTCTAGACCCCTGACTTAAATACGGCCTTAAAAGCACCTGTAATGGGTGCAAAAAAATATAAATATTCGAGAAGTAATAAAATGTAACATTAAGAGAAAGAGATCATTAGGAACAAAACGTAAAACAAAAATAGATTGTTAGAGTATAGAAGGAATAGTACAGAACTTACTGGCAATAAACAACAGTAAGAAATGACAGCTAGTGAGGAATAAAGATGCAAATATGGAGTGGTGATTGAGACGAAAATTAATCAAAAGTTACTTACTTCGAAATCTTTGTATGGACAGAAACACAAGAAATATTTTTTTACGGGCTGATAGACATTCCTAAGACCTATTATTTCCTTCCCTCCTGCAATACAGATGTATAAAAAAGGTTCAACCCCTTGTTGTTATTATTGAATTTATAACTTTAATATATAATCCTATTAAATTTCTGTAAGTGCAACTCATATCAATATTCAGCAGTTATAGGGATACTTACCAAGTCTGTAATACATTTAAAAATATCACAGATTATAATGTGTGTAGTACAATAAAATTTTAAAATCGATTTTGGCTGTTCATCTAAACTTAACTGAGAATAATCTGAGCAGCACTTATAATGAACTTTGAATGAAGTCTGCCTCGACAAGTATCGGCAATCATCGTTCAATGGACTGCAAGTGGATGAGAGTCGTCTGACCTTATATTATTTCCTTAAACTACGCATATAACCGTTGGCTCATAAACAGCAATCACTGTATGGATATTATATCCAAGTATATTCATCACCCAATTTTGGAAACTGAGAAACGACTGCGATTAGGTTAGGTTAGGTAAACACGAAAACAATTATTGAGCCGTTAACCACGTGTAGATGTTAATTCTTACAGGTACAATATGTTTATATGGATTTAGTTTGTGTATGTGTGTGTGTTTTAAACATAATAATATTGTTAGGTAACAATATGCGCTTACTGTCGGTATAGGGCTTGTACGATTTTCATAAACCGTATACGGTGGATACTGAGTAGTCTAACCACACCTTCTTCCTGTCACTAGGACCTGATAGGGAAACGAAAGGGTCCCGGCGCCAGACAATTGTTATTGTTTCGAACACCCACTCCTTTTTCTCTGCTATCGCTACCTTCGTGGTAATTAGCGAACGCATGCAAATTTAACCCCTAAGACAAATTGTATGGAGCAGTTGAAACAAAGAAATTATTATTATTATGTATAGACTTAAATGGTAGTTAGAGATAGCCATTTAGTTAGTATAGGTGGTTCTCACTATAGGCATTATAGTGTAGGTGTTAACTTTCAAAATTTCTCTTATCAATATTTTCACAATAATATCATCTCAATAACTTTTAACTCTTATTGTAGCCTTTTGTCATAATACGGATCCAGTTTTCCGATCTCTGTCTGGCCCGAATGTTGAGACTGTTTGTCACAGAAATTTTCTCTGGATCATAACCTTTTATTAAATTTGTACAATCGATTTTAACGAAATATTTGTGTAAAAAGAAATTGAAAAAATTTATAATCTCTTATTCAAATACATTTTCAAAATTTATATTGATACGTAGGTAATCCCAAACCAATATCAGTAGTGTTACAAGAGATGAAACACTTTTCTTACACAATATTAGAAATGATCTGGCATTGGCATTTCACAATATTCTCTACATTTTCTTACTTTTATATATACAAAAAAAAACTTATTGTTATCACGTATATTTTTTTTTTTTTTTGTCAAATTAATAATTTATTTAAAAAGAAAAGCCGATACTGAAGACGGATGAAGCCATTTCAGATGGAAAATCAAATCGCGAAAAAAGAATATGTAGAGTTAGTTAATTTATATTTAAACACAAAAATATATTATTGCTAATGAAAAACGATTCGGTGCAAAGTTCTGTGAGATATATTTTGAAATACCGTAATTTTTACGATTTTCGTCAAAAAATGATCTTAAAACGCTTACAAAAAAAATAATCATTAAACTCAAATGTATTTTTTAACTCACTAAGCACAACTATTATCATACCTTCAACTGCTACTGTATATTAAATTTTCAAGGATTACTCTTAAATGATCAAATTTTAGTAAGACATAAATAGTTTAAAATTAGTTCAAATGTTTTGAAAATTTTACCTCGTCTACGAAAATCCTATAAGTGTAGTATGTTTTAAAAATAAAGATCTCTACGATAATTTCAAACCGGTAAACAATAAAAAAACTCAAATACCGTTAAATTTGTCCGTATTCTCTATATTTCCCGGATTTTTGTGATTATTAAGAAAAGCATACAGAAAAATAAGCAACAACATTTATACTCATAAACAAGGAAAAATTTACTTTTGGAAAATAAGCTATTCTTGAAGTTTAGACGAAGACTTCTAGTAGAAAAATATAATCTTAAGAATTTTAAATAATAAAATCGTTACGCCGTAATTTATAAATGGGTTTTCTAATTATTATGAAAACTATTTATGATGTCAAAAAATGAATTTTTTAACTATGTTATGTTAGGTTAGGTTAGGTTAGGCAGTACATTAGAGCGAACATAATCGATATCGCGTCATTTTTTGATTGGAGTAATATTTCTAGTATAAAGTATAGTTATCAAAAAAAATGAAATCAGTAATGCTGCAGTATACTGTAAATATTTTCCGTTTTACCTATCAATTTTTTTTTCGGTTTTTCAAATTATTCTGAAAAGCCTTTAGAAAACTAAAATATGATCTCTTCAATGCATAAACGAAATAAAATTACTTTTTAGAAAATGTGTTAAATTTAATACTTCAGAGCAAGACTTTTGGTAGAAATATTGCTCACAAACATATACGCAAAAAAAAGAGTTGATACTGGGGATGGATGAGGTCATTGTTGCAGGTTCGTGTTCGGAAAGGTGGCAAACATATAGTTATATAATGTTTACCTGTAAGCAATGATAAACTATAGTTGACGAAAGACAATTCCGAGCGCAGTTCAGTAATTCATAATTTGAAGTGCCGTAATTTTCGTTTAAATTTCATTACAAAATGCTTTTTTTTTAAAAAAAAATGTCGTCCGATAATTTTTGAAATTTTATCACGTCTAAGTAAGTCCAATATATTATTATTACCAAGTTTTAAGTCTTTACTTGTATTTTTAACTGAACTATATCAAAAAAACTTACTACACTCATAATCTAAAGTATAATAATACCAATAGATTCCCTGAATCTAAAAGCAGTGCACTGGCACGCTGCGCCAACGAGATTATCTGTTAAATATGGTTTTCTATTTATACCGATTTTTAGGCTTTTTAAATCTAAACCCGTTTTTAAAGACATCTATTCATTGATTTTAATTAAACACAATATTTCATATTACGTGTTTATCACGGGAATTCGTCGGTATCACGTAGTGTAATCACTATTAAGCACATCCGTCTATTAACTTAACAGATTACACACGATTATAATAAATTTAACATGGCGTAAATAGCCAAAAATTTCCCAATTTCCATGGTAAGCGTTCATTTCGAGAGGATAAAATTAATCAGAACTAAATTTCACTTTCCTTGTGAGTACCTACCGCATACAGTAATCCGCAAATTATTATGGACATGGTAAATGATATTATTTTATTATTTCTACACATACATTATTCGATACAATAGTATTATTGTACACAGTCCAACGTGCACAGACTAAAATGTTAACAAAAAAAAAAAAAATTTATAATAAATCCCAACATATTTTGCATTCACATATTTTGAAAACCAAAATCAAATCATGCCCTATTATTTATTATCCAGATAAAATGTATTTTTAGAAATGATGCTAGGCTTGACAATCCGAGCAGGATATCTGGTAGAAAAGACGATCACAAAAAAAAATAAATAATTAGCATTGTAAAACCAATACATTCCATGCTTCTGATGAAATCTAAAAAAATATGTATAACAGGTATACATATAAAACAAATAAATACATACATGGAAAAACCAAAACAAAAACCTGTATTATTATAAAGATTGTGTAAACCACTCGTTATGATTAGGTTTTTTTTTTAATTTATATTTTTTATATTTAATATTTATTGGGTATTAATCGACTTTTGTATTTTTATAATTATAAATTTGTATATTGAAAATAATGACCAATCATTGCTATAAAAAATAAACCATTTTAAGTGAAGCTTAGTAAACTGTTAAGGTTTTACAATATTATAGTATTAGTCTTGTGTCAGAAATTAAAAAACCAAATTCAATGTATTCATTAATAGCGATCAGCTTTTTAAATTGTTTTTGAAAACTGTTGGAAATCTAGACGATATTTTTAAAGAAAGTATTTCTGGACAATAAATCCATGTCTTCAAGTACAACTTAAACATTTTGGAATACATTCACTATCCGAAAAAAAAAATAAATACTCATAAATCTTAGTAAATTAGATTACGACTTTTAAAAGTCGTCCAAAGTTTGTTTTTTTTTCATATGGAAATTTTTTTTTTTTTCAGAGTGTTTATAATGTGTTTCTGATTGCACATCAGAACTCTTTTACTCGTCGTGTACAATTCTATAATGTTATATGAAGAATTGTCTGTGTAGTAAAGTTTATTTTACAATCCAGTGATTTTATTATTTCGCATAATATTTTTCGCCAGTCCTTGAGGTTTTTTTTTAGTTTTCATTGCACCATTATCAAATCTAAATATCTGCAATATGTCACACATTTGGTAATATTTAGATAGTAAATAAACAGTATTTAGAGAGTATTTAGTTAGTAATTTTATAGAAACCGACATAAATTCATCAATTTTATTCATTCAATTACCTACTATGCTTATAATAATAATAATAATAATATTTCCAATATATAATAGTCACTCAATTATGTTAAAAGCAAAATTATCATAGTTGACTGTTGCTATTGCGTTCATCAGAAGCACCAAAGCTAATAGTTCATTTTGAAAACGATTTTAAGACGTCTATATTTTAATTTGAACCATATATTTTGTTTACGATCAGTGCGCATCAATTATCTATTTGTGACTGTAGGCGAATCATAATGAATAGATAATAACCTAAACTAACCTAACCTCTTTAAATCAATTTTAAAAAAATTTATTGAATATTAGTATAACAGCTACAATATCCAGATATTTGAAAAAAAAAATGTTTTTAATTTTCTGTGGTACCTAATATCCTAGTATCCGGATTCACATAATTTAATATTCAATAAAAAATCCTTGTTGTCACTAAATTGCAATTTTATTGTACTATTTTTTTTATGCCAAACGGTAATTTGTAGAGATTTATAATATTGGCCTAAAAACCAAGACTGGTAGATCATGTTATCCGATTAAGACGCATAACTATAGATCAGAAATGACAAATTTGACAAACAACAAGAGCAATAAACGGCCTTAAATTTTCTAACTTGATCAAATTAAATATTTTATTTTAATGATAATCGTTAAAAATTAAAAAAAATCAAAATACACCGATACTATTTGTCAGAAACCAATATTCCTACTCATCAACCATATCTCACTCATTCGATGAAGACGATCAGATATACTCATATATTGTAGCCTTTTGTATCTCCCTCATTTATAACCTCTACAAGATTTTTATCCATGCCACTTCATTCCCGTTTTCTATTATCCTTTTCTCTCGACCATCTCTTCGTTAATCGTATCATACACGATACAATCAATTGATTCAATCGTAGAAAAGTTTGTACAAATCAGTTCAGTACAATCTTCCAAATGATTACCATATCATGTATTTTATAATTAAATAATATGTAGTACAACGAGATCCAAATTGTATATACGTAAAATCTTTAACCACACGGAGTTTGCCAAACTTCAGGTCGTAACTTGTGTTAAACCCTCGCATGATATGTTTGATATATTTCATTGTTTATCATTAATAATTACGTATCATTTCCAGCAATAATTTATAAATAGTTTCTTCTACCTTCAAATAATTTTAATAATCTTTAGGCTTATGTTACTTAATTCACAAAGCAAATAAAATATTAATATGAATTAGTATTTTTTTAAAAAAAAGCCAATTTTCGCATCATTTTCTTTTAGGTTCCTTTTCTTCTCATTAGTACTTAATATCAAGTAGTTTTGAACAAAATCGTCTTAGTTTTTTTTTAATATGTAAGCCTTATTTAAAATGTTTTAATTACAATTAGGTATATAAATAAATTAGTAATATAGTAATATTACATACGGGATAACGCACAAATCATAACTAGAAATTGTAAAACTTATAGTAGGAGTCTGTGAAGAAATCATATAATTTATTCGTCTTGTAGTATATGGGCTACTTTACGATTCTCTCCTCTCAACGTACCGACCAAAATTCAACTCTCTTTCGTTCTTATAGGGACTTAGCGATCCTCACCTTGCCAGTCATACCTTTCCTTGTTCACATTGTGACTTTTGTATTTGTCCCTTCAGTTTTGAAGACGAGTGATACTTATTGTTATAACAACTACCGACGTGATTTTCCAACGATCGTTCTCATCATAACGAAACCGTAAATCGCTTATATCTTGCAGTACGTACCTCATGTGACTAGCGCAAAGTCCGAGCCGAAAAATCGATATTCGTGCTAACTTTTGTAACACTCAAAAAGTGTAATTACGCCACCGGGTGCTGTGGTAGTATTACAATATAGCCACGTGTTACAGGTTGAACTCTACATACGGAAATACCTCTCTCTTTTTCCATTTTTTTTTTTCATTTCTTCAATTTTTTTTTTTTTTCACTCACTCACCTCACCGTCGTCATCGTCGTCTGCAGAAAGAATAATATTACCCGAGTGCCTACGCTGTTGCGATAATGGCACATTCATCATGTACACACATATAACCACACCATGTACATAATATTACGTGTTGTGTGTGTATACTTACACTTTTTTTCCCTTCGAAACTGGTACATTTTTAAGTCCTTCGCGGTTTTTATGTTGTATGTATAACACGCGTGCAGATACGCTTATAATATTCGTGTTTGCATAATATAAGTATGTATACTTACGTATGTATTATTATTATTATTACTTATTAGATATACACGAGTATAATATCTATTATATTACGCTTTTTTGGTCATAAGTATCTGCACCTTGAACTACCACCGAGCGAAAGATGACATTCGCGTGATCGTTTATTATTATTATAATTTTCATATTAATCCGTCGGCTGCAAGTTGTTTTTTTTTTTTTTTTTAAACGTTTAAAAAAAAAACTGTTCTAGATTCTGAACGAAGTGAGGAAAAAGTATTGGTTGTACTATGATATTGTGTGTAGAATTTTCTATCATGAACTTCATTGGCAGTTTCTGGCAGGTAGTGAGTTTTATATATTAGCGTGATGCATTGACGATGTCATTTTTTAAATTAAGCATACTGTTCTTTTTAGTTGAAAAACTGAAAATCAATAATAATTCTAAATATATCTTTCCAATCCAACGATAATTAAAAAGATAAATTACAAAAAACTAAAATCATTTTTAAGTAGAGAAAATTGGGATGAACTTTTCAATAACACATCTATTATATGATACTTTAACTATGTTCAGAAAAAAATATTGATACAGCAATTAATATTTGTACCGAAGAAATGAAAGTACAAAACTGTCGCAAATGTATTAAATTAAAAAAATGGATAACTAGGAGTATCTTAGTTTCAATAAATATAAAAAACGAAAGAGGCCTTTTGATTTAAAATGTGCTACTTAATTCTTTAAATATTAAATTCTATTCCAAATTATTATCAAAAAATAACTTAAATGCTAATATTATTAATTTTGCAGATGATACGTTAATTTTGATTAGTAGTACCTCAAATAATTTAGTAAATATGTTAGCTATACTAACATTGAAGAAAGTTAATAACTGATTCGAAAATAATTTACTAGAATTCGATATTAAGAAATTTAAATATAAGTACTTTGAAATTTATAAAAATTACAGTTTAATACATAACCTATTAGTTAAATACTACTCGAATTATAATAGGTCTTGGTTTTTTGTATATGTGTTAAGCTTGAACATATAGATTTAATTAAATACTTCGGGGTGATTTTTGATAGTAATTTGACACTACATTAAATTACATATAAATCATGTAGTTATTATGGTACGTAAGTTGTTTTATAGATTTAAATTTTTAAATTACATTCTTAACACCAGACCTTACGTACAGTTTATTTAGCGCTTACACAATCTATTATTAATTACGATATTGTTATTTCGATAATGCATCTAAGTTCGCCTTAAATCCGCTTAATATTACGTTGGACTCACTATTGAGATTTATACTATCGAAATCGTATGACTTTCACGTGTGTAATCTTTACAGTATATTTAATGTACGACATCTGAATGGCTTATATATATATATATATATGGAATATCCTTGATTATCCTCATGATATATTTTTAACGTAGATTTAAAATATTATTTCCCGTCACAAAACTATCAAACGCGTTTAAAACAATCTGAATATGCCAGTAATCTATAAAGATTTTGGTAGAAAAATAGTTGTCAATGTCGGTATTCGATTATGTATTATGCTTAATATTAATTTTTTATTATATAAAAATAAATAACTTTATAAACAATATTTAAAAGATCTTAATCTAAATCATATTACATTATAATAGCGTTAAAATATATCCTTTAATTATATTTTATTTTTTTATTGTTCTATTCTATATTGTATTTTGTGTTAAATACTGTTATGTTAAAATGTTGTACTGAACTTGCTGCACCAACCACAAGTTTCGTTTTTGGGTCAGCGTCAAAAAGTTAAAAAATTTTGTTATATCTGTTTATCTGATTATTATTTTTGACAGTAAAAACATAAAAAATAAAAATATGCTAACACGGTTTCTGTTGTTTTCGACTTTGTTTTTTTGATGTAATTCAGTATAAAATAATCACAGAAACATGATATTTTCACAAAATACGTGGTGTAATTATACACATATTTTGGTTATTTTAAAGCTATTTGTTGTCATTTGAAATGTTCGTGTTTTTTTTTTTTTATTATTTAACTTGAGTACATATGGAACGAATTATTTTAAAACGACTTAACTATTAAAAAGGACTTTTCTCCGTTGTTTCTTTTACACCCGTGTTTTTTCTTCGACATTAACAGATTATTAATACCATAGCAGATAACGTTTATTGAAAAAATTTCTTTGAATCGTAATCTCAATTCTCAAAGACCATATGCTGCTAGATTTTTTAAAAATTTTTATTATAATTATTGAATCATCGCCTAAGTAGGTAAACATTGAAAAATTAAAAGATGTATATAAATGACAAATTAACAATAAAATTGCCCGAAAATTACAGATAAAAACAAAAAAAAATAATAATAAAAGTTTCGCTTTCGGAGTGTCCTCTACAACTATACAGCACACTTCAATCGAATAACGACAATAAAATACCGACACTAGTATCATTGCAGAATGCATATTGTCTTAGGGAACAGAACAGCAAAGTGTAAAAATGCATTTCGAGTTCAAATCCATTCGACATAATCATCATCGGTCAGTGTCAACGGCGTAGGTACGTTCGTATAAACACAGGAGTTTTCGATACACGTGTAGATATCGTCTGTGCGTTTAGCATAATATAATATATTTTAACGTGCTGAAATCAACATAATAACATTATTATATTATTGCCACCCGTTACACGCGGTTTAATCGTATTACATTTTCGCGGACGTGTTCGATGCCAATAGGTTTAATTGTATTATTTCCACGCACGTATACACTCGTGTAATTTCCCGTCAACCAGCCAGTCGATTTATGTACCTCGGGACGGTTCGCGGATTCTACACACATATTATTATCCGATGTATTACGTTTACGTACAGCGCACATTGCGCATATTATAAAGTAGGCCGGTTAAGCCCGTTGGTTAACTCGTGACACGTTGCCGAAAATATTTCGGAAATTACTATGTGTATTAACATAGGACCGTAGTAGACGTAATGCACTCAATAAATTATCGCGAAAATAATTAATTTGAAATCCCTTATTCACAAAAAAGTTATGTGTGAAACGCTAAATACGCGAGTCTGCAAATTTTTACGTTTGTCCAAAAAGATAAAAATTTAATATTTTTGGAAAAATTATAATACACTATAGATGCTTATGGAGGTTTTTGACTTTCTTAAAAAGAATTGAGATATAGACATCTACAGTTTCTGTATTATACGATTCATATAGTTTTTCAAGATAAACTTGTTAATACCTTTATAAAAAATTAAACACTGAAATGCAGTGTTGTAACTGACATAAACGAAATAAGTATTATTATTTCGTATTCTTCTTAAATGGATCAATTATAATATTTTATCGCTTAATATTAAACATTTCCCAGGAAAATAAATAAATTGCTAAAAAATACTAAAATAAATGATTTAAAACAGAAATGAAATTGAAATTGAAAAAGTAAAAAAAAAAAAAAGAAGGAAATAAAAGTTTCAAAACCAAGTGCATCGTTTTTAAACAATTCGAACTTTGTGCTAAGAAAAAGTCTGCCTTACAATAAGCTCATAAAAATTAATATTAAATCGCTACGGAAATTCACAGCTTTATTTTCCATTTAGTTCACTTCAGAGATCACTGTGGTCACGATAATTTAACTTTTCACGCCTCTAAAATGATGATAACATAATAAAAAAACCCTATTCTATATTAATAGAATAGGGTTTTTTTTTGTTTGTTTCATTCAAATATTATAATATTAAACTAATATTTATTAATTTCCAATATATCATGAGCTTGATGTATAGTTTAGTAATTCACTGAAAAGATAAACACTTTTGCATACAACAGCAATATAAGTATGTCATGTCGACACTTTGGTATATTATTTTATTATTTTGTGTACCCGAGTGAAAACGTTTTATATGTGTGTGCATTCGGTATTTGAAAAACCATCAGCTTGTCGCGTATAACAGTGTGCTTAAAGAATATTATTATAACACGCATTTTGTACTTTTACTCCTTTGTGGTTCCGTTTCAACGCGTAAATGGTATAAATTTGTTCAATCGCAAACATCAATAGGTATTTTCAGAATAACCGATTTGTACTATTAGATAACTATATAACTGTATCAATAATTTTTTTTTTTTAAATTTATGACAACGTTACGCAAGCAAATAAATTACTTTTGACCTACGGGTAAATTTTAAAATCTAATTATATATGCTGGTTAGTACATAAAATTAGATTTTTGCTCTCCGCATCTGCATTTTATAAACACTGCATAACAGTTAAGTTGGTTAGGTTTATAACAGTTTAGTATTAAATATTGGAATTAATCGTTTCAACGCATATTATAACATAATATTAAATTTATAATTTGTGTTACAAACTTCGTGGAAATATCGTGTTTTAAAAATATATAAAATGATCCACTAAGCATGCTCACCCCATTTTTTTGTTAAATTTATTCACATATATTCTAATTCTGATTTTTGTAAATTTAAAGTGTAATTAAACTGATATTTTTGAATACTTAGATTTTTCACAATAAATAAGGAGTATCCTATGGTGATACTAACTTTGGTTTTACAAATGAGAACCTATATTAAAAATTCTACAAATAAACGGAGTATTACTTTGAATACGTTTTTAACATTTTTGATTTCCATCAATCCGTTAAAGAGATATTCCAATTTTAAATTTAGGTAGGGAGAGAATAGTAGAGTATCATTTGTCAGGTGGAACGGCCCGCGGCGTTTTAGTAGTGCTCTACTACTCCATCGATTTATGGAATTTATATTATAGATTCTTTTTTTAAAAACCAAAGTTGGTATCACTAAATTATAGACCTTAAATATTGTGAAAAATCTAAGTATTCGAAAATATCGGCTTCAACTATAATTAAAAGTTTCAAAATCAGAATTTGAATAAACGAAAATACAAAATTTAATCAAAAAAATAGGGTAAGCACGCTTCGTGAATCAATCTTTATAATAATATAAAATCAAATGCATAATTATTATTATTTTTTTATTATGCGTACGCGATCTAGTGATTAATTCAATATACAGTAAGTTCAGTAGTTTTAAAACGAAGAATATTGTTGAAAAAAAAACCCATTAAAATAAAACAAGTTTTAGTTTTTATTTCTGATCTTAAATACATCGACATCTAGGTCATTAGTATATGGACTCATAAAAAACGAAGTTGCAAATTTTTTGATGTTGGTGGCTAAAAGTTTCTAAAAGGTTGCTAAATATTGGCACAGATTTGGGATCTCTACGAAAAATTCAGGGGGCGGGGCAACTTCACGTAAGTGGTTTACTGCAAACTCAAAAGAAATATTATGTTGTCATTAAACACTACTATACATAACAACTACTTGGCTGCGAACAAATAGTAAAACTCCACAAAATATAATTTAATAAATTATTTTACCTATTATATTATGTAGTAATATGTTATATGCATAGTGGTGACCGCTGATAACAACCAAAAATAAAGCTTTGGGTTTTTGGGTTAAGCGTGTCCTCAGCCCCTTCATTTTAAAAGTCGTAAAACTCGGGTAGGAATTGAACACAAACAACGGGATAAAAATCACAAACCAGCACAAACGAAGCATAAACGTTTATGTTTTGTTTGTAATTCTAAAGTGGGGGGGACGGGGACGGAGACATAGAGTTGTATTTTTTACATTCGGCGATGATGTGGTTGACCGTTAATGAAACGCCACATGTATCACAGAGTGAGGATTCATCTTTCTTCATCTAAATATTGTGCGTTTGGTATGTGTGTTCGTTCGGAGTCTGTTAATTATGGTTTCGTATTTTCTACGGAGTTCAGGAATAAACCATCGGTTGATATTGTTTTTTATTGCCATTTATTATTTATGCGTAACTTGATTTTGTTCTTCAAGTCCAAATAGGTGGTAATATTTAAGGTTGAAGATTTTTTTGATAAAATTGCATTGAGTGTTTATTGGTTTGCTCTTTCGTTTCCTGGTATCCCTATGCGTTAAAACAAGTTTATAATTTAGCTTATTATTATATTTCATAATTCGTTACTTTCTATTATGAATATAGTACACTGATATTTACGTGTATGAAGTTGGCCCTCACCTACATCGACTAAATCAAATCAGACGATTGTAATTTAAATACTTTAATTTTTAAGTATTTGTAAGTTGGCTTTCAAAACGTTTAACTTGATCCTAACTAAAATATGTTTAGTCCTAAGTATTATTCATCACCCCTCCTCTCCAAAACGACCCCTTTTTTTTTTGTTCTATCTCAATAGATAGTGATTTATATTACTGGAAGGCTTATGACACATTATTTGAGTGAACTAACATACCCGGACATAAATGGATAAATCAAGATATAATCAATGATATACAGAATAGAAGATCTCTTAAAAACAAAAATGATTCAGATAGTACAATAAAATACAGAACACTGAAAAATAATATAAACCGAGAAGTAAGATGAGCAAAGGAACAATGGATTAAATCACAATGTCAAGAAATTCACACTTCAAAGACAAAGATGGGAATATACTAATTAAAAAAGAAGAGACAATTGACCGATAGAAAGAATATGTAGAATCCTTTACGAAGATAATAGTCTCGATCCTCCGATTCAATGGCAAGGTAATACAGACTCATAGGGAAATAAGACAAATATTACAAGATCGGAATTTGAATATTTTTAGATTCTGAATGGAGTGAGTAATGTATAAATTTTACAATGATATTTATTTATTTTTTTTTATGTAAATACTTTTCCAACCAAATAGCTTACTTCGATTATTAAGTAAATGGCACCTTTTCTGAAAGTAAATGCTTTTTTCCTCTGGGTGGTACTTTTAAAAGGTAATTTATAAAAATGCTTATTAATGTTTGAAATGAGAAAAGGTTCGGTCTCTAGGTTAAAAAGGATTGAAAGATTAAAAATAAGGTTGTCAATAGTTTTTATTTATTTTTTGTCATTAAGTTTTAATTATTTTAATATTTTTTAAATAATCATTGTTGTCATGGAAATGCACATTGTTGTAATTATTTTACCATGTATTAATACATAACACATGGTACGTTCCGTATTGGGGTTGACAAAGCAACACTATCAACTAAACTTTGCTCAGAGCCGTATTTGACGGAGACAATTTTTTCGTGAATATCGTTTTCAAAAACTTGTTAGTCAACAAACATTAAATAAATTATATAAACATTAAATATCCTTACTCTATATAATATATACAAGAATAATAATTAAAATGTATAATCTCCGTTTATAAAACATTATACACTCTCCACTTTCGTGTTTACCTTTAGATAAGTTGCAAGTACATTTTACTGAGTGATTGTTTTATCATGGTCCAGCTACCAGCTTTTCTAAACTTTATTTTATCACTATTTTTAAATTTTTAGGTACCCCAAATTCTTATACCTTAAATGAGTATTAACTTTTTCGTTATTACTTTATCGGTTTTCATCTATAGTATATATATATAAAATCAATATTTCAAATTCCGTCTAGTATACACTATAATGCAGGTTTTCATACCTTAAAAATGTATCATAATTATTATTATTTTATACAAATTAATCAAGCAAATATATACTGTGTCAAAACTTTTGTCTGAAATGTGAGTTTGCGTGGATATGAGATTTGGATAGTGAACAACAAAGGCTATGAAATAAGCCGAAGGCTCTACTATGCGTTGTTAGAGAGACGCAAAAAAAAAAAAAAAAACGGAACAAAAGAAGAACAAATATAGACGTTTCAAAGCAAAACGACACGTATACCACTTATGGATATGTTAAAGAGAAGTAAATGTCAGATGATATGACGTAGGCATGGCGACAAATTGCATGGTTTGACAATTGAAGAAATGATAGAGGGCACGCGTTTGAAAGGATGAACCAGAACGAAGTACATCTGTCAAGTACTAAATTATGTTTAAAGGCATTTATTGAATTCCAATAAGGGTTTTACTGAATTCCTATAAGGAGCTCAAGAACAAGAGAAATGACAAAAAAAAAAAATGTAACATTTTTATTTAAGCAGAATTGTAAAAAGTATCATAGTAATGTTTTAAATTATTTTCGAGCACTATTTATATTATTTCATAAATTTACTTCGAAAACTCTAAAAAAGTATACATTTTTAAAGGCAATTTTTCGTTTTTAAACACTAAAATAATTCTATAATATTCTGGTTCTGCGATAAATGTGATTTGAATTTAGCTCACCAAGATTGTTGGTAGGCTTTATCTAGCATTACAATATTATATCTTTGAAAAGTAAATTTTTTTTTAAAATACACATTTTTTTCTGATAAATTATTTATATGGCATAGGGAAATTTGAATTAAATCGTTTCTGATTACAATTATTATCGTTTGAAAATACGTCCCCATGTTTTTCATATAGTTCGCTAATTATTAATAATTTTCTTTTCTTCGTTATTAAAACGAAAAAATATTGCTAGTTATTTTTGTTTTACGCGTGATGGTAAACATAAAATTCATAGAGGTGCGTAGACGTGTCCCGAGACCTAAGACCAAATTTCACTCGGATTATGTATCAAAAACAGTATAGAACTATTTAAAATGACCTGTTAAGTGAAATTTAATATTAAGTACACAAATTATTACTACACGAGGTAACGCAATACTATTGAAACCGAACGCAATCATTATTATTATAATACCTTTGATCGTAAATTCCCAATATAGTCATTGTTAACCGAAATTTAATATATTAGAGAATAATACATATAACGTATTATACATTTGTTAATAAAATATTTATAATTTAAAAATCGAAAAAATTAAGGATAATATTATAAGTTATCAATTTTTTTTTTCCGTTTACAGCAGTGACAAATATGTTTTCACAATACTTCCTCACTTTTGCTTAAAAGAGATACAATAAGTGGTCTTGCAATCATTTTTTCCCACTCGTGGTGCAGACTCGCATTAAATTTGGATACTTACAATAAACTTAAATTTTAACTAACTAACTTATAATGATAACTTAACCTAGCCTATGCATAAGACTACGCCGATGGCGAGGTCCCCGTTGGATTTAGCCATAGTGATGAAAGACGTCGGGCTAGCTAGGTCGTTGAGGGTACTGGACCTATATGAAGACTGGTTGAATTTTGCCTGCGCCTTCCTTTTATCTTTTACGACACAGTATGCATTCTACAATGCAGTAGAAGAACTGGGTGCCACAAGAGGAAGAGATATTGTAATGGCACTTATACCTGCTCATCCGTTATCAGCATTTCAATGAGTTTTCTAACTCATTTTTAATGGTATTCTATATAAGTGTAGATATATTGAAATAAAAATATATTTTAAAAGTATTTGTTACAATATTGAATTCTATACGTGACTATATTATACGATTACAATTATTTGTTTATCAAATAGCCGAATAAAAATATCGAAGCAAAAAGGATAAAATAATATTAAATGAATCATAATTTACCACATTTAATTATTTTTTCTATTTTAAATCAGAATACAGAACAACGACTTTTAAAAATACCTATCTTTATGTATTTTTTTTTTTTTATTTAGGTGTTAATTGAATTCATTTATTAGAAATTATTTTGGGATATCATTTTTATGTAAATAAAAGTTTCTATTTAAATACTAGATACACAAACAAGGACATACAAATACAATAAAAATAACGGTAAATCAATGAAATCAGATTCTTTAACAGAGTTTGATAAACGGGCAAGGTTACCTAAATAGTATTATTCGTATTTCTTCTCTTGTTGTATTCACGGTTTAACCACCATTTGTTATATTGGTTTGTGAATCGTTTTTTCAGAAAAATGTTTGGATATTTATAAAAAAAAAATCTTTTCAAATAAAAAACAACAGAGTAAAAATTCTGCATCTTTTACGGAATTCTACAATGTGAAAAATTTTTATTAAAAGCATTATTACTGACTGAATAATTATTTTCCGCGAGAAAAACTCCTATTAAAAAAAAACTATCTTGAGGGTGAACTATTGAGAATTTAAAAAATATACAAAATTGTAAGGATAAATTATTTAAGTATTTTGTTTATAAGAAGTTTTGTATACATATGTAAATTATGAGATGCATCTTGGATATTAGTACCAGGGATGAGCACTGGCATAAACCAAAATCGGAAAATCGGTTATAGGTTTTTTTTTTTAAAACCGATATCATACCCGATATTTTTTGGAAAAAAAAGATACTCAGTTCAATAAACACGTTATAAACTCCATATAATATGTGTATATAATATTGGTAAAAATCGGCTTTCGGATATTTTTTAAGATATCGGCTATTGGTTTCAAAAAAATAACGGATCTATATAAAATATTTGAACACTGGATATCAGACAAAAGTCATATCGGCTCACCACAAATTATCACTCTGCTTAAAGTATTTTTATACTTCCCATACGAATAATCAGTGTAAGACGTAGCACGTTATCGCAATTAAATATCGATTAGTCTCATTTCTTGTGGCAAATATTTATCTAAAAGTGCAACCAATTACGTGACGTACATTTTTTTACAAAATCGAAAACCTAAAAATCCGAATTATTGCGTTTTTCACAAAATCCATCCAATTTTACCGTTTCTTCGCTATACACTCAGAATCCGAAATTTAGAAAAATATCATAGTTCCCCGACTTTTAAGGTCCATTTCTGTGACTCGTTTAATAATTTAATATAATAATTATATTAGTAGGTACTGGTCGTATATAACGTTATAATATTGTTGACCTTCTATTCGACATACTTGCCGAGTACTTTCCTACTTTATATTATTATAATCCGAGGTCGAATTAAACATATGTATAAATTATGATCGCGCAATAATAATTACTTTTCGAACACTATTTTTCAATGTTTCCTTGTATTAAATAGTTTTGAAATATAAATCGCATATTTATAGCAGATTTATTGTAATATTATACAGAGTGATCACTGATCACTGACCTTATGCCGTAGTTATTTCCACGTATAAATATATGCAAAATAGATGAAAAAATTGTCTTAAAATTATATGTGATTTTTAAAATTGTAGACGCCCTTTTGGGGTGAACTATTAAAATTCAAATGAGAACCCATAATTTATTTCTATTTTTTACAAACATCACATAAAAGTAGTTGAAAAACACATTTTAACGCAAAATTCTTTTGCCCGAGAGTGATTTAAAGTTTTTTAAAAAAAACTGTGTAACACGTACGTCTAAAATATTTAAAAACATTATAATTTTAGATTAGGTACAAAAGCGGATCGAGAGAGAGCACTGGAGGCAAATGGTTGTACCCCATTTGCTGAAAACATAAAAAACTAAATATTATTATTTATTCTACATATTGTATTATGCCTAATCATACGCAATTGACAGTACCATCATCTACAGTATTTATTTTATAATTGTATTATAGTTATATCTCATTAATTTTTTTTATGGCTTCATTAATAATTAAAAATTCAGTATAGTAAAAATTAATCTAATTTAAGTGAACAAATCGTAAACAGTAATCTGATCTTTCCGTATACCTTGATTAATCAATAGTATCCATAAACATTTTATTGTTTTTCGTATATAATATTTTACATAAAAGAAAATTGCTGTCATATAAAATTCTAATCACCCTGTATATAATATTTGACCTTAAACGAAGAATTGCAGACACAATAATATTACCTTGCTACTATTGTGAGTTCAATATAGAATTTACGGTCGTAAGCCACCGAACGAATATTATACTTATGTAGGTATAGAGTATGTAAGCATTTTCTTCCGTACATCCATTTAAATATTTACATAATATTATATCATCCATTAATCGATTGCATAATTTAAAACTTTGTGTTGAAATAATATTATTTGATTGTGATCGACTCGCACGTCATGTGATATTATTATTCAATCGACTCGGTAATTTGACGTCAACACTCAAAAATATGTTTGAAAAAGAAAAACAGAAAATACGTCTATACCTACTATCTAAATATTAATATTGTATCTACGATTAATCCAAGGGCAAGGGAGGGAGTTAAGGAATAATAAATTTGGGATTTAAAGTTGGAACTTTAAAAAAGTATTTGATTATCCAAGTGATATTCATAATAATTGAGAAAAACCGGGAAAAAACGTAAGAAAACCGAAAAATGTAAAAATTATATTATTTTCAATTTTATTTTTTGTTATAATTCAGTTAAAAATATTCATAGAGACTTGAAATTTAGAGAAAATCTCATATTTGCTTTTTCTAGATGTGGTATAATTTTAAAAATATGTGAGTTATTTATGACATTTTAATTTAGTGAGTTTTTTTTTACGTAATTTTTATTTAGTATGTAGATTGTAGGTACTCCGTGGATAAAATTGTTAGAAAAAGAAAAATGTTTGAAAATTTGACAGAAGGTTAATTATATAAATCGTACTTCATGGTGGAAAAAAATGATTATTATAATTTAGTTTTTTCTTTGTAAGAGTTTTAAAATCAATTCGTAAATCGTAAATATTACGGCCTTTTAAAACATGTATAGAAGAACTTCGCTCCAAATCGTTTTCCGTTAGCAATGGCTTATCGTTGATAACAAGTACAAATTAAATAACTTTATGTATCCCACCTACAACAATTACCTAACCCGTTCTCAGTATCACCCTTTTTTTATGTATATGTGGGTGCGTAAACAAATTTTCTACTAAAATCTCGCTCCAATAAAAACTTAGATTTAACTAGTGAATTGAGATGGTAAATTTTTTTATTTTTCTTGTAGTATTTTTAATAAATAGGAAAAATTTGCCATTTTTTGTTTATTTCTGAGAAACCGTTGGTAAAAAATAGGCTGATACTGCTGATGAGCGAGATACTGTTTTAGAAGTAATGTTGGAATAGAAGATATTTAGAGTAATACAATACGCAATAATACACCATTTTTAAAGAAATATGATTCTGAGCAGATGATTAATAGACATATTGTTAAATTCCGAGCGTAGCGAAGAAGCTATTAATTTTACTAAGATGTTTTTATTAAGATTTTTTCTTCTTTTTTCTTTTTTCTAATCTGTGGCTACGTTTTTACCTAGTAAATTTGCTCCGATTTTTACGTGTAGCAACTTTTCTGAAAACTCAAGTTATTTAGATGGTACTTTAAAAAGGTTGTTTTTTGATTTTTGACGCCATTTTTTAAAAAATGCACTTAAGTGGGAAAAAACGTAGAAAAATGTACATATTCACGATTTCATTATTTTATAAAAACACAGACAACGTTATACACCAAAAAATCGAAAAATCACAAGGTATCTTTTTTGTTGCCTTTTTGATTTACTTTTTTACGCTACCATTACCAAAACTTTTTGAGCCAATTTTGACTTTTTTAGGAATTTTAATTTTTTTGATTTAATTAAATTATAAATACACGTAGAGACTTGATTTTCAAAATTATCAGACGACTTTTTTTTTTTTTAATAGTCGTTTTGAAATCAAATTTAAACGAAAATCGCCAAAAAAATTACGGCACTTCCAATTATGTATTACCGAACTGCGCTTGGAATCGTCTTTCATCAAGCAATGGTTTATCATTGCTTACAGATATAAATGAATTAATCTTATGTATCCTACTTTTTCAACTTCTCATCTACAACAATAGGCGCACCCATCCCCAGTATCAATTTTTTTTTTTTTACTTTAGTTGCCATCAAAATCAACGAAAATTGCCATATATTATCCTATTTATTAAGAAAACTACAAGGAAAATAGAAAATTGACTTCCTTAATACGCCAAATAAATTTAAAAAATCCAATGGAAAATTTATTTACAAGTTATTTATTCAAAAAAAAAAATATATATATATATATATGTGAATAAACATTCTAGTAAAATCAATACATTACTCACTTCACTCACAATCTAAAAGAAAAAAATTATTACAGTTAATATTTTTTTATTGTATATTCACTTACTTTTTATTTTGTGAAATGAAAAATAATTTATTTTTTTCAGTTTGTGGTATATGATTTAACCTCGGTATGAAAATTTTAAGGGATTACTCGTTTTTAAATTTAAAATAATGGCAACGACATTTTTTTTTTTTAAACTATACGAACGTAGACTTTCGCAACCATATTCTACGGAGTCGTGTAGAGTATGGTGTTAACGTATAATAACAATGTCATTTTTATTACGAAATTAGATGCCGTCCTGCAAAAGGTCTTTCGACATTTTTAATTTTGGTCTAATAAATTTTTAAAAATATAATATTTTTTACGTCTACGTTCATCAGTATTTTTAACCATTATCCATTATTTTAAAGTTGAAAAAAAAAATTGTACGGACTAAATAAAACGTACATGTGTTGATACTAGTATAGTACTGTTAAAATTTCTAAATGGCTATTGAACCTCATTATGGCCTTACAAAAATTAACACTTGTATTTACAAAAATATTATAAATCTTCTTTTACTTTTTTATTCCTATCATCTCTTATTGAATGTTTAGCTACAACAGCTTTTGCATTTCTACTAACACAGCCTTTTCATCTTAAACGTAATCTTCCTAGAGACATTCTTCGTTCTTCCTCGATTACCTTTTATTTCTATTTTTTTTTGAATTGTCGAATTATATTTTTGCCAGGCATGTTCCGTTAACTGCAGTTTTCTATTTCTATTATCCTTTGCTATATCTGATCAATCTATTAGGTCTTTAGATTCGTCGTAATATGTATTTACAAATAAACATAAAAACATAACTTTTCACATTTTTAACGACCAAATCTTAAATCATATACCGATATACCTAGTTGTCAAATATAATATGATACAATATTTACATTTATAACATCAAAATGGAGATTAATATAATAGTTGTTTAAAAAAAAAAACCTGAATAAATAAAATAAAAATACCAATACGAACAATAATGTCACCTACCTGTATAAATATAGTTTCTCAATGAATATCTCCTTCTCCCTGCCGCTCTTTCTTCAACCCCCGTCCCACCCAAAGTCCAAAAAAAGAATTGATAGTATTTTCTTATATATTACGAACACGAGTATACTTATATGAAAGTTTAATAATAAATAAAAAAAAACTTTTTATTGTGTATGGACATTGGCTATGTGGATTGAAACTATGTATAGATAAGTGCTCACCGTGATCGCTGAAGTATATCGCACAGGGATTCCATTTTTCTCGCGTAATGCTATTTTCCGGCAAAAAAAAAAAATGCACAGAATACAATAAATATAATAAAAAATAATAAACAGTAGTGTATATATAACGTCAACAGTGTTAAAAAAAGTACCTGGATATAGTATATTTTGACCCGCATCAGCCGAGTCGATTTAAAAATAAATCGTGTCATTTTATCCAATACAAAACGCACTGTACATCAGCAACACTGGTGCCTACCGTGTATGATACAATATAGGGGGGGGGGAGTAATTTTCACTCTTACTATTCCGTGGAACAATATATCGAGACGCGATAATAAAAATTAATTGATGTAATGACGAAAATTATAATTTTATGTAAATTCCAGAATACCAACACAAAATGACGTCCTAGGATAATAGGATATGATGCAGCCACTGTTATCGGTAATTTAATGTATATCTGTAAGCCACGATAAACCATTGTTAACGAAAAAATGATTCTGAGTGCAGTTCAGTTGATAGTGATACTTTGTCAACAATATATATGTCATATTAGGGTAAAATAATTAAATGGACATTATATATTTTTTTTTAATAATATTTGTTGAATATTACACCGATATTCCCGTTTTTCCTGCGGTTTTCCGCAGTTTTCACATTTGCCGGGAAAACTATTGGAAAAATCGAAAATGACCTTGTTAAGTTACTATGGAGATAAAATTTCCTTTTAGAAAATAAGCTACATTTGATATATCGGGGCAAGATTTGTGATAGAAAAGTTTGCACAACAAATCGAGGGGTATTTTGCGATTAAAATACTTCGAGCGAGCTATGGCTTGGGTGTCTCGGTACACCCAAAATGCATTTATTTTTTCCTTGTTTAGGTAAAACGGAAAAAAAAAATGTAAAATATTTTTTTTTTTTGAAGTACGGGATCAAACTCGCGAACCCTAAAATGAAAAACAGGTATGTATAACCGTTGCTATTCAGCAACAACAAACATACGTGCTATAAAGAGATAATATTTATTTATTTAACATAACATATAATATTCGCGTAATATCAGAACTTCAAAAAGCTATAATTTTGAAACTTAGTTAGTCCGCTATGTTTAAAAAAAAATAAAAAAAATAAAAAAATTAGATTTGTTCTACATAATTTTTTACTCTATGATTTTCGCCAAAATTTGATATTAAAATTCCTTTATAACAAAAAAATTCTCCATCAAATTCAAATTTTCTTTTTGTGACCACAAAGTAAGACTCTTAATGAACCTCATGTTAAATTTACAATCATTTCTATTAAGTCTAACAATTTTAACCCAGAATACCTACCCAATAAAAATTACGTAAAAAACTCTCAAAATTAAAATGTCTAAAAAAGACAAGTGTCTAAAAAAAAATGTCTCAAATAGGGCTTAAATTGTTTGAAAATTTTACCAAATTTAAAAACGTAAATATATATTTTCTGTTCAAATTTTAAGTCTTTACGAATATTTTTAACTGAATTACAACAAATAACAAAATTAAAAAAAAATAAAAACTTTATTTACGTAAATCTCCCGGTTTTCTCACGTCTTATCCTGGTTTTTCCCAGTAATGGTAAGAACCATCTGGAAAAGCAAAAATGACTTTCCAAAAGTATCATTTGGACAACATTCCTTTTCAAAAATGATACCACGTATATATATCTAAGCAAGATTTCTGGTAGAATCTTTGTATACAGTTTAAAAAAAAAAAAATTTATTAAAATCAATATATTCTGCTCTACACTCAGAATCTGAAAATTAACAAAATTATGTATAAATATTTCCGTGGTTTTTTTTCTAGTGGTAGAGGTTTTTTCATATTATAACAAGTAGAAGAGATATTTGATTAATCTATCATATGAATGGTACACACAAATAATTCAACCGGTACAATTTGACCCCTTAGTATATGGCTGTCAGGCAGCCATAGATAAAATAAAAATATAGATGTTCAGCTGGACTAAAGAAACGATTTGTTTTAGTCACATCCTCTATAACGTTTATAATTAACTACTTAATAACTAATTTTCATATACATAGATGAGTTACAAACTACAGCAACCAGGCACGGAACAGGAAAAAAATTCGGAGGGATTTATAAAAAAATTACAATAATGAATATTTATAAAAAAGTATTAAATTGATTTAAATAAATTACACAACTATTCATTTTCGAGGAGGGAGTTGAACTCCAAACCTCTCCTTTGTATACGTGCCTGACAGCAACTACCAACTGATATGGACTAAAACACGAATTAAGATATTATGTTGATATTAAATATCGATTATCAGGCTATATACGATCTATGTGAGATACTCCAATGAACCGAATTTTCAAAAAAGCTTTTCTTCTCCTTCCTCCTTCACCTTAAAACCAACTATTAAGGGTTATCTATCCTTATCCTAAACTTCCGCTTGACCCTATTCCAAACATCGGCTGAGAAAAATGAATAGGCACACAAGTTAAAATCTAAAGCGGTGAAACTTAAAACATGAACACGAGTTCCTACTAAACATCCTTGGGAACGTGAAATCGAGTCATTTAAAATAATAAAAAGATTTAACACAATATTCAATCTGAAAAATAAATTAATGTTGATAACTGATATGACTCTCTATTATGGCGGTATAATGTTGATAAAAAAATTAAATTACAACTATGAATTGAGATTATTTGAAGAGAGTGCTGGTGTACAAACCTAATCATATTATCATGTTATTTATTATTCGTCGCGTTGGAATTGAAACGTAAATAGAAAAAAATAAAGAAAACGACACGTCTTGTACGATCAATTGCAATTTTGTACAATACACTCGTCACACTATGTAGTTTATGGTAACGGTTTTGTTTCTATCGTCGCAGTCCCTGCCGAAGTCCGTGAGCGTACTAATGCGTATATATATATATTTGAAAATAATAACGTGTATATTATTGAATTTTATACGTTACGGAGTCACCAAAGACGTCTGTAACGGTGACAAATGATAATATAGTATGTGTCGCGTTTTTGTGGACGTTTGACGTGTCCGTAGCGGATTTTTTTTTTCTCCGCAACAGCCCGCTGACCGCACGCGGTGAGACGGTGACCGAGTTTTCCGTTTATTATCTCTCCGCGTGTTGTTATTACTATTACTATTATCACTTTTCTGCACTTCTTGACACTCTTCTACTATATGACCGAAGCATAAATGCGATACGAGCTTGTATATTATATAGAAAATATTTTCCGATTATACAGGTCGCCCCACCGTTTTTCCCCTACGATGATATGAGAGTATACAATTTTTTTATTTTTTTAAATAGGATTTTGTGTAATGGGGTCACATATTTAAAGGAAAATTAAAATTTATATTTTTACCACATAAGTACTAGAAATATCACATTCAATTTTATGCATTTTTAAATTTATTCATAATATAGCCCTTTTGAGTTCCAGGGTTTCCAAAATAACTGAAAAAAAAACTCGGAAAGAATAAGCAATAAGAATAATATCAACATTTTGAATTCAAAACTGACTGGTATTATGTAACAATTAATAACCACAAAAAAAATGTTACCCTGGTATCACTAGTAAAAAAAAACCGATTTTCTGGCATTATAGAGTGATACAAAATTGTTTGTTTGCTGTTTAAATCTGTATATTATATTACATAATACTAGTCGGTTTTGAAGTCAACATTTTATAGTGATGCCAAGTTAATGCACCTATTTATGCAAACTATGTTTTCTACCAGAAAATATTGTTTTAATCAAAAAATGCCGTGACATTTCAAGTTGAATTTTGGATCTGGATGCTCTCGCGTTAGTTTTTTTGATTTTCTAAGAAGTAGTTTAGTTGATAATTAGGAATACCACAAAAAAAAACATAAAATTAAAACTGATAATAATTTACGGCATTATGATCTCATTGTTTTACATTATTACGTTTTACGTTTTCCATCAGAAATATTACTCTAATAGAAAAATAACACAAATCCTTTTTTGTTGAGTTTTTCTTGGACATTTTTTTATAATTAAGTAAAACTGAAAAAAAAAATTAAAAAAACGGACAAATTTGCGAAAATAATATTCTTTTATTATTTCAAATTTTTTTTTTTTTTTTTTTTGAGTTAATTCAGTTAAAAATATTCATAGTGACTTGAAATTTTAACAAAATTTACACTTTCTTTTTCTAGACGTGGTAAAATTTTCAAATTATTCAAGTCATATATAAATTTTAATTTTGCGAGTTCTACGTAATTTTTCTTTTATATATCGTATAACCGAACTTCGTTCCGTTTTTCGTTAGTAATGGTCTATCGTTACTTACAGGTATAAATTAAATAACTTTATGTATCCTACTCTCCCCACTCTCCATCTACAAGAGTGGCCCACCCATCCTCAGTATCAGCTCTTTATTTTTTTCTTATATCTTCATCGGTGGAAATTAAAACAAAATTAATTACGACATTATTCGTTGTCAGATTATCATTCTGGCTATCAAGGGATGAATACTTTGAAAATTATTCCCTAAACGCCATACATCCTACTCGTACGAAATTTGATCGAATGAATTTAAAAACGACATGAAAACATTGAATGAAAATATACTCGCCGGGAAAACTCGGCGGGACACCCTCTGTACTCCACTGCACAACAATATTATTATTATTATTATTATTATTTTCATCATTATTATTATTATTATTATTATTATTATTATTATATGCGACACGTCGTCGTAGTCGTCACGGCGGGTACGGGATCGGTATTATGTAGGTAGTTTTTTTTTTCTCTTTTTCCTGCGAAACGTGACCCGTATATAATATTATTATATTATTATGTACTGGCCTACTGTCTGCTCGTCTGCCGGTTCTGCCTGCACACGCACACGCACTCACGCACGCTCCCGCGCCCGGTATGTTTTCCGAACCGGGTGGTAAGTGTACACGCGCGTCCGCCCGCTAAAACAGTACACGTCCGCCGCGATGTATGGGTTTTGTTTCGGAAACCGTTGCCCGTATAATACGCTGCACTGATATACTTACCTGTGTATACCCATAATGCTGAACGAACGAAAACTAAAAGACACAATTTATTGCATTCGAGTGTCGGAGAAAAAACAACATACTTCGACAGCAGCGAGAGAGAGACAAAAAAACGAAGAGAGATAGATGAGTTTTCAACGTTCGTAAAAGATATATCTACAGCGTTTGTTTCGCAGTGTAATATTATTATTATTATTTTACCATGAACCGTCCGCGATATTGTCTATGAATGAATTCGATTTTTAATTTAAAATTTGAAATTCTACCGTGAAATCGACGGCATATCAAGTGGTCTTTTGCAGGTTGTACTCGTTTATCGACTATCAGATACTTCTGACTGGCTGATAAATTATCGTGATGGCGTATCATATTGCAGTATTGCAATGTAGATACTTAAACCTGTCGAAAGTCACGATATTTCGTTTTTCTTTTAATATTAATTTTTGATCGCTAAAAAAGCTTACTACGAAGTTTTTTCCGCCTGTAAACAGCTGTTAGAACGGAAATTTTATGCTCCGTCCGTAAACTTCAGGAGAGATTTTCAATAAAAAATTTCGTCAATAGTACGTTGAATTTAATTTTGTTTAGCTCCGTTTTAAAGTTCAATATTCAATGAAGAGCTTATCAAAAACTGCACTTAATAGTAAAAACAAAGCCGAATGTGAAAAGTTGAAAATATTATGACGGAACTCGTAAAAACTACGGCATTATTTACATACTACACCATTTATACTACTAGGTACTATTATTCGTATATTTTCCATTTAAGCTAATCAAACTTTTTTTCAGTTTTTTAGAAACATTCAAAATCTGTATACAAGGTTTTTTTTTTGTGGAAAATCTCTATACTTATGTTATTTGATTATTTTTTGTTCACTCACGCGAGACAAAAAAAAATATTATTATGTAGGTACCTACCTATATTTATACCCTTTTATGAAAATTTTACGAATATTATTCTATACACGGTTATACATTATTTTCGTAATAGAATATATTTACTTTTATTTCACATTATTTTTATTATAATGCGACCAAAATCCAATAATCAGCGTTCGTCTTCGTATTACGAACAATAATAATAATAACAAGATTATTATAAATTATAATATAGGTACTTTTTGAATTCTGAGCGGAACTTCCTCATCCCACATTCCTGATCTGAAAACAAACTTACCACCATAAGACATTTTCCGATCAAACGCTACTAGTAAAAGGAGACATGGTGAATTATTTAGAAAAACAATTAAAAGACATTGCAATTAAAATTGGTGATTTCCGAGAGAAGAAAGCAATCTAAAATTTAAATACCACTGACCAACACGCAAAGAAGAAGAAATGCTTATAGCGTTTTCTATCTGACCACGCTCGTATACACTGATTTTGCCCATATTATCACCTTTTAATATCTGCAAGTATAATATATAACAAAACTTTCATGCACAAAATGGTGTAATGTTTACCTATACGAATGCAAATAAACGACATCGTCGGTTTTAGCTGTGTAGGTTATTGAGGAATTTGATATACGCATGTTGTTGTTAATCAATACTTCAACTGTTTTACTGCAGTTGTCGAATTGATGGTAATCAAAATATATACGACAATCTAACAAATATTTATCTATTTCATAACACAGTACCCTAGTACACTTCAAGGGGTGTAGTCTCACTGATCGTGTATAGTGTACAAGAGTGTAGTCAGACGCTAAACGCTATTAATGGTAAAAATAAAAAAAATCGAGCGTATAATATCATAATTGACACTCGAATAAGAAACGGATACAGTGAAATCCATATATTATTCTATTGTATACGTAAATTACATAAAGAGATTCCCTGCTGCGCCGTCGATATTATATAAATTTAATACTTCGATTTTCGCACAAAAACATGTACAGTTGGCGCCATTTTTTTCTCTTCAACCAATTCTTACATACATTTTATAATATTGGTTATCGATGACGTTCGCGCGAGATATTATTCAAAATATTATATGCCTTTTCACGTGAATAATATAATATCTTTTTTCGCATTGTATAATATTATAAATAATAATATTTTTCGTGTTCTGCGGTTTTTGGTTCACTGAGAACTAACCCATCGCACACTCAATAATTTCATATCCCGATAACTATCGATTAGTTTTATATCCAGTCAAATAATTCAACGACATTTTAGATTCGGAGTGTAGCGAGGAATATATTGTTTTTACAATAATGTTTTTTTTTTTTTTTATTATTATGAGCAACTTTTCTATCAAAGTCATTCTCTGATTAAGTATAGCATTTTTTCTAAAAGGAAATTTTATCTAGTTGGCACTTGAAACAGGTAATTTTTTAAAAAATGGAAAAATTTACGAAAGTAATATTTGTATTATTTTCAAATTTGTTGTTTTTTTTTAATTTAATTGAAAATATTTGCGGATACCTTTTGTTTTATTTTTTTAGACGTGGTAGAATTTTAAAATATTTCAGCAATTTTTATGCTATTTATAGACATTTTAATTTTATGAGTTTTTACGTAATTTTTATTCGGTATGCAGGTACTCTATAAATAAAAAATTTAGACTAAACAGAAATGCTTAACAATTTAACAGAAGGTTCATTATAAGATCATACTTTGTCGTCAAAATATAATAATTTTAGTACAATGTAACTATTTTATTTTATTATTATAAGAGTTTAAAATGAAATTTTAATGAGAATCATAATTATTATGGCCTTTCAAAACATGTATAACCGAACTTCGCTCCGAATCGTTTTTCGTTAGCAATGATTTGTCTTTACTTATGGATATTACCTAAATTACGTAATGTATCCTATTTTACTCTTACAAGAGTATTTTCACCTATCTTCTTTACCCATCTCCAGGCTTTTTTTTAACTTGTGTGGAACGGATTTCAAAAAAATTCATTCTTTGGCTCCGTTATGTTGTTTAAACTTCAAAATTATTATTATAAAAATAAATTGTCGACTTCTATGCATATGTTTTAAGTGGTATATCAAATACAGTTATGTCAGTTTTGTTGATAGTTGTAGTAGAATTACTGAACCATGCAAGTGTGTATAGCTGCTGTACTCGATAAAATAATCAGAATATAATAAGTCGGTAAATGGAAATTGTATTATAGGCATATTTCAATATTTTTCATTACTCTAGTGCGGGAAAAAAAAAAGTGAAAATCCCCCGTGGGTCGTGATTGTGCTACATTATTTGTATCATACAAATACACCAGTCAACGCGTAAATAATAATTTATATTTTTTTTTTTTATTTTCTAGACGAAAAAATCAATACTCCGTGTCAGGTACCTATACGTTTTGTTAATGTGCCAAAATGTAACCTGGTGTGCAATTTTGCCGTATTCGTAAAAATTTGATCACAGTTAACGACTGTACCTATATTCGAATTATTATTGAAAAATATCGGATTAGAGTTGACGTCAGCCATATAAAAAATACATGTTATAGTTCTCTGCATTGTCGAATATAAAATACAATTAGAAATAATCTGTTGAGATAAAAGAAGCACTTATTTTTATAAAAATATGTATACAGGGTGATTTTTTTTATCGTGAATCAGCAATTGTCTTGGAAGATTTTAGTGAATTTGATTTCTGTTTTTTTTTTTTTTTATATAATCATTATGGACACGTTTCAGGTATGTTTTAAAACCATTTTTACCTCAACTTCATAAACCTTAAATAAGTATACACTTGTGTTTTCGAATAAGAACTCCCGTTTTTGAATACAGATTCAAATAGAGAATATTTTTCTAGAAATTTTAATATGTAAAACATTAATGTAAGATTTATCCTTTATTAAGTTATAACCGTTAAAAGTTTAGAACAGAGGCGTATGAGTTATAAATTTATAATTTAAATACATGAACATATGCAATTTATTATCTTTCTCTATATTGTTTAAAAAAATATTATCAATTCAAATTTGTGTTCAAAAAAGAATTTTTATACGAAAAACAAAGTGTATATTTATTTAAGGTATTTAGAGTAGAAATAATAATTTTAAAATTACTTTAAAATAAAGCTTAAATAATTCCACAATAATTAAAAAAAAAAAACAAAAATCAAATTCACTTAAAATCTTCAAAAAACTAATGGTCCAATATAAAAAAAAATGCTCTGAATACTTAAAAGCTTAGACTAAAACTAGTCTAACCAACGATTTTGTAATATTAGGATCACAAGAATTTTTAAAAGATAAACTACCGGGCAAAAAATATGAACTGTAACTAGAGGCGCCAAATACAGGGGGACTGAGGAGCTTCAGATCCCTTTCCCCATGAGATTTATGCGATTAATAGATTTTATTTACTAAGCATTAATATCTGTATCGTACATCTACAAAATATTGATTTTATTTTGTACATGACAAATTGCTCACATGCCCTCCATTTATTCGCACCTGAAATAGCGAGCTCCCATGATATTTTACAAACTTGGCACCTATGACTGTTATAGGGATAAGTGTGGAAACGAGGTAACACATAGAATTAATTTTATTTATTTGATTTCTGTTTTTTAAAGGATTGAGCTCTGGGAATACTAGGTAATTCAGCTAGTATAAAATATATTGACAAATTTATTTTAGATTCCGAGTAATAATGATTTAAGTAAAAATTGTTTTACCACAATTACATAATTTTCCATTTTTTTGTAATTTTTTTCGACATAGTTTTAGGCTTTTTTTTTCAGACCAAAGGTAAAATTAACTTGAATTAAACTTTTAATGATAATAAAACCTCTCCACCAATAATAATTATTTAAGCAATATTTGTTTAAAATATAAAAATTGTCTTTGAAATCTAAAATTAAAGAAAAATTACCGGTAATCGTAAACAAATGACGTTAAAAAACAAGCACATGCATTTTTAGGCATGTATGCACCGAAATAACCAAAAATACAGTATAATACAAAGTAATCTAGGAAATACGAAATACATAAACAACATATTTTAAATTCTGAGTCAAGCAAAGAAGCTTATAATTTTACAAAGATGTTCTTGTTTTTATCCATGCACAACTTTTCTACCAGAAGACTTGCTCAGATTTTTACTTGAAGCACCTTTTCTGAAAGAAAATTGGTGTAGTTAAATACTTTTGAGAGATCATTTTTCGGTTTTCGTTTAATCAAAACATCAACTGTACTCCACTCAAAATCGTTTTTTCGTAAGCAATAGTTTATCGTTACCTATAGATGTACTTTAAATTCCCGTATATATCCTATCTTCCCAACTTCTCACCTATACCAGTGGCTGCACTTGTCTCTATTTTCTTATCTTCCTTTTTACTTATTATATTTTAGGTATATTTCTATGTCTACCTTTGGAGATTTTTACCAACTGTTCGAAAATTCGTTCAAAGACGATATCAAAAATAAATAAATAAATAAATAAAACAGTAATACCAACACAATTCCTTTCCTTGCTCCTCCGGAAAGTATTTCAAATTTAATCACAGAAATGTATAATACTGCGAAAAAAAACATGGCCGTTTTGAAGGTACATAGAGTAACGTGAATCGTGCGTGTTTTACGAATTCCGTTTAATCAAATACTGAATGTACATGTTCGGGCGAGCAGGATTTGTTTATCATTATTCCCTATCAAAAATAGAATCCGGATACCTATCACGTATATATTATTATGTGTACAACTCTTAACAGTCTTCCTGGATTATTTTAATAATAAGCGATAAGATCGAATGCGAAATAACTGCTTACGCAAGAGGCATACTTACAAACACTTTTCGAATTCGTTGAAAGCTGAAACGTAACCATGGGATTAATTTTAAATGTTTTTCAAAATATACCCAATACTTCTAAAACTAAGCAAGTTAACCAATATGTTTAAACTAATTTAAGTTAAGTTATCCTGAATAAAATATACAACAGCTAAGATAAAATTAATTTTGAAATATACATAAATTTAAAGAACTATGTTAAGTTAAATTTTTAGAGAAACGATAATTTCGTTAAATTAAAATTAAAAGTTAAAAATTAATTTTTTTTAAACTACCATTTAATATAATGTTCTCATAAACATATTTTGTATATTAGTATTAACATTTCTATTACATACAAATTATTATAGAATACTCGCGTAAGCTACCCAAATAATTGCATAGGCCACATACTCGTCGTAAATGATTATAATATTCACGTAGAAATGTTTAAATTGTAGAAAATGTAGAAATGTAGAGATTGTAGAAATTTAATTAAAAATGAACACGTAAAATCAGGCACACAGTTTTTATTTTTTTTTATAACAAATTTGTAAATATTTTTTTAGATATAACCTTAATTTTAATAAAATAATTAAGTTGTTTTGTATTTCATATAGTTATAAGTTAAGTTAAAACTATTTATTATACGAAATAGGTAGCTTATTTTATTTTATTATTGTATGTATATTTTAGTTTACTAAGTTAAAATGAATCAAAACACTAAAAAGTAATTTATAACTTAACTTTAAACTTTTTAGGTATTTACTGCCCAGCATTGTCTTCATGTATCTAAATCTGTAATATTTCTCCAAAAAAGTTAGTATCCTAAGTCATTTAAATGTAAACCTAAAACCTATTAGACGATGAAAATCATGATAACATAGGTTAAGTTTTTCAAAAGATCTGCTTGGACCGAACTCCAATACAGACTGTCAATACGCCACCCAAAAAATCACTTGAGCAAATTTAGTATGAAATATAGAAATATTCTTCTTTCTGGCTGTGTTTATTATATATGTGGGAAAATTGCAATATATTATATTTTATACAGATAGTTTTCCATTAATTAAGTTCCAAGGAAATTACAAAACGTTAACATATATAATTTTAACCAATTGGTAAAACACACGGTGGAATTTTCAATAAAACACAAGAATTTCCTTCCGTTATCGCGGTATAATATATAGGTACACTATGTAAACAAAAATATCATATCATAAAGGTATAAACTAAAAGCTATACTTAATCGAGAAAAAAACAATATTTCTTCAACCACGACTGAAATTTTAAATTGAAAATTGAATTTATCAGTAAGTAACGGCTGTTTAAATTGTGCATACATTAATAAATATTGAATAGTTGGCCACCGTCATGCAAATAGTAACCTGTAAGTATGAAAACATATTTAAACACCATATTTCATCCTTATATTAAATTTATAAAATAGTTCTCAAGTGATATCAAGAGTTCGAACATTTTTTATCAATATTGTATAACATATTACCTACATATTTTTCAATTTTCTTACTTTGGATTACCGTATGTGTTCGCAAATTGATTTTCTAGTTAGGGTACAAAACTTATGTAAGTTACACGGTAATATTATAATAACATCACGGTATAGAGTTGTTTATTTTTCTACTCCGCCTAAAAATACACTCTAAACTAACCTACATGATATTACACCGATTTTCACGGAGGATTTTAAGCAAATTTGATTCTTGTTCTGTTTTTGTTCAGCCATTATGGGAATCGTTATAAGCCTTGTTTAACGTTATTTTGAATTATTTACACTTCTCCTTATACTTAAAATGAGCATCATCATCAATTATTAAAGGCTATATAACTAGTAATTTAACCAACACCACCTGGGGCTGACATAAATGTGTACTCCGGACAACAGCACTTGTGCTGTTTTATAATTTAGCCAAATACTACGCACCTGTGTGGGCTAGAAGCGCTCGTTTTGCTCAAAATCATAATATGCGCATCATATCAGGTACTTTTAGGTATCCTTTAATCAATGTGGTTACCCACCCTTTACATTACAACACTTCCAGATCTAAGGAGACTGTCTTAACTACTAAGATTCTACATAAATTAGAGAGACAGCATAAACTACCACTACTAAACACAACTATTACACTTTGAGTCTAAAGGTTCCGTTTGGCATGCAGAATTTTAGAAAAAGTCCGTAGAATACCTATGGACGAGACGTTGAGAACAGACAGAAAACCGTAACACAGACCATATTAAAGAACTATTTATGAAAGTTCCTAGTTGGGATATTGCAAGGTGTCATTGGACAACGCTCAATCCAATAATAACGGGCTAAGGAAAGTGTAACATCCTACTTCATAAATGGGGTATGTCCGATTTTCCGTTTTATGAATGTGGAGAACTACAGACAATCAAACGTATAGATCCGAGAAGTAAAGAAGAGTTATCAATTTATCATCTTAAAATGAATATAAAGTATATTGTCCTTACTCCTTCGGTCTTAACTTTAAACTGATATAACTTCTTCTTATTATTCACCTACATCCCAGCTCTTTAAAATCGGCCATTAAACTATTATTATTATTCTTAAACGGAAATTCCGATACTATAGTGTTATACATATTGAAATATCTGAAAAAAATATTATTTTCTAATTTGTGTGCAAATAGGATGAAGCGAGTGGGGGAAGGGTGCGATTTGAAAATAAAAAATGTTTACTCTATGTAAGACATAACGAGAAGAGTTAAAAATTGAAAATAATATTGATACCAAGCTTAAGTGATAATAATCACATAATGATCGAAGAACACAATCTAATCACTTATCTAATCACTTCAAATCTTCCGAGAAAATGGCTAGACCATAACAAATGGATCATTCTGTATACATGTATGTACATTTTGGTTCTTTCCGCGTGAGATTGTGATGACAACAAATATGATACAAAATTTTAAAAAGGTCATGTGACTAGGATCAATTCCAATAAACAGTCTACGCGAGAAAATGCTGGTACTGTGATTCGAGACAATATGTCACGTTAATATTATTTGTGTCGTAATATTATATTACGCCACGGGTCGGTCAAGCCGGCATCCGAGATAAATTGGAAATAATAATAATAATATATTATGTTGCCGAGCCTTGTCTTTGTTTCGCTTTCTCTCGCGTATTCGAAAATAAAGAAAAGCGTGATTTTTTTTTTTTAATCATGTTTGCAAGTAGAAGCTATTTCATAAAACTGTAAAGTTATGTAGTCTGTAGCGATATAATCTATAAACTAGGGTCCGAGTTTTAAACCTGTAAAAAGGCGTGTATAGTTTATTAATATTTTTTTGGCGGAGAACAGAGTTTTTGAGGCGTTTTTATTCAGATAGAAAATAGTCTTCCTCTCCTGGCCTGAAAACACTCTATACATGTTTGTGTCGCTCTAAAAGAATATCGTACAATCTATTTCTGTTTTGGATCATGTCTCCGTGGTTTTTTATTTCCAGATTCCTATTAAATTCTTATTGAAACTTCTATTAGTTCCATTTTAACGCTGCTCTAATATTAGCCTCGCTCTTTTCTCCTCATTAAAATATTACCTAGTCATTATGTTCATTGTCATCTAACAAAATTGGTCGCCTGACGCCTAATATGTATAACGTCAAACAACTCCGTACTGTCCAATAGAAAATTTCCAAATAAAAAGCTACTGTAATCACATTTTTAAACCTGCATTCATCGGGAAGGGACAAATTCAAATATATTATATTTGTGTTCACATGTCTAAAGGAAATACAATAATTTTTAATAGTTGTACTTGGGTAATATTCGTTTAAAGTATATCGTTTAGATACATAACATTACCGAAATATTATGTTTTCCGTTCAAATATCCGTGGTAAAAACTGACGTTAGCGAGACCGGTCCGAGAAAATGTTGTCCATTATCGTATTCAAATAATTCCTCTTCAGAAAAGTTTGAATTTTAGTTAAGTCAAACACAACATTTTTTAGCAAATGGTTCAGTGTATATAATCGTATTTTATAGATACACGATTGCACTGTAGAAATACAAAAGACATTTATTATTAATAATCGTATACGTACAAGTCGGTACTCTTTATCGTCTTGCGAATCAAAAACCCGAAACTTTTCGGCGCCACAAACATTATAATATATGTTTACACGATTCGCCGATCTCGAAATGTTTTATCGTGGTACATTTATAACTACGAGTAAAGACTGGAATAAAAACGAAGAGAACTCGGGCTCATCAAAACACGAACGTGTATAACACAAATCGTTCTCGGTGTAAAATTGTATTACTTGTGTGTAGAAAATATTTGTGTTTTTTTTCCGTGTACAGATGTGTCAATCGAATCCGATAAAATTTGTTCTGAGTTTTAAAAGGAGAAAAAATCGGGATATGAATTAAGTTGGATAGTTATGGATTTTTTTCGTATTTTTTTTTTATAGGAGAACGCTCTATTATTATATTTAAGGTTATGTATTGACTGTCTCTCCCTTCCACTGCTTGTACATTATAAATTAATATCATACAATGTAGAACGATAACAACACGAAACTAATTACCTAGGTATTGTATACATTAAAAATTATTGAAAACGATAGTTTTTCACTATCGTTGATTAAGAAATTATTATTTAATCAATAAAATATTGGACCACATAAAATGTTTTTCGCTGAGCTTCAGTTTAAAGTGCCGACGTATTAATGTAGACAATAATAATTGAATTTGGATGCATTTTATCAATGAGGAATATAAATAAAAAAGCGTATACTTTTTATGGGTGTTTATACTGTTGTACGTAGGGAGTTAAAGTAGGGTTCATAGGTTGATTATTTTATATTTGTACATAACAATATAACAATACTAATGAAAAACGATTATGATCAAAATTCATTTTTTATTTAGAAATAACTCTTTAAACTACCTCCTCAGTCAAATATTTTATTTTAGAAAAAGTACTAAACTGAAAAATCGGAGAAAGATTTCTAGCAGAAAAGTTGGCGAAAAATCAAAAAAAAAAAAAAAAAAAACAATATAAACAATATCTTTGTAAAACAATAAGCTTCTTCGCTCCAATTAGAATTTAAAACAAAATCCAGTTATTTCAGTTTTTTCTTACGTTTTTAATCGGCATTTCACATTTAAATAATGGTAACTCTTATACATTTGTTACGTTTATAATAAGTAAAAAGACGACATACGTAAAGAAACGTTGGAAAACTTACAATTTAACGATTTCATTATTTTATAAAAACATGGATGACGTTTTCTACCGGAAAAAATAATTTTATAGAAAAATCACAAGCTACCTTTTTTGTTGCATTTTTAATTTACTTTCTTACGGTATCTTTGGAAAACTTTTGAGCTTTTAAGTAGGTTTAATTTTTGTAATTCGATTATAAATAAACTTAGAGACTTGAAACTAAGTAATAATACTTATATTAGAATTCCCTAGATGTAGTAAAATTTTCAAAATCTTCAGACGAATTTTTGATTTTTTACAATGGTATTTTTTATATACATATATATATATACCATAGACCACTTTTATTCGAGAAAACTTACTCCGATGTATAAGTGTAGCACCTTTTCTGAAAGTAAATTTTATTTACTTGGTAAAAGCATATGTCATTTTTTAATTTTCGAAACGGTATTTAAAGTAAAAACGATTAACCGGGAAAAAAAAATACCATTTTTTCACGATTTCGTTATTTTAAATTAGTACCTATCACGTTTTCTAGCACAAATATATATGGCTCCAATTGAAAAACGACGATAAACCTTTTTTATCGAATTTTTAATCTTGTTTTTAATGATGCAGTTCGTTTTTTTTTTTATTTTCGTATAAGTTTTCATAATAATCGGGAAAAAGCGTAGGAAGATTAGGTTAAAAAAATATACGTCATATCAAAAAATGTATTACTTAACTGCGCTCGGGATCGTCTTTCGTCAGCAATGGATTATCGTTGCTTACAAATATAAATGAAATAACCTTATGTGTCTCACTTTCCCCACTTCCTACCTACAACAGTATTCCCAGTATATATCATTCCCAGTATCAGCTTTTTTTATTCTGTACACAACTTTTTAATCAGCATTTCGCTTCAACTTAAATGATAGCAATATTTCTTAAAGAAAATTTCGATAAAGAGGTACTTCAAAGAGGTAAATTTTTCGATTTTCTTAAAAGTTTTCTCATCCTATGTGAAAAATCGGGAATAAACATAGGAAAATCGGTACAAACAAATTTTACTAAAAAAAGTATGTAAAGCCTTTTTATTTTTTTTTACTATAAAATTACATATATGTATTGTTGACAAAGCATCACTATCAACTAAACTCTGCTCAGAATCGTTTTTTCATAAGCAATGTTTTATCGTTGTTTACAAATGTACAATAAATTTCCATCTGTATCCTACCTTCCTAACTTCCCACCAACAACAGTGGCTGCACCCACATAGGAAATATATCTGCTTCTTTTTTTAATTTTATTTAGAAAATTATTTAATCTATACAATAATATGGTACAATAAGGATAATGAATGATTTTAAATTGTGCAGTAGCTTAAATGACAAAATGGATGAACCAACCAGTGAAGGCACTGCAGGTATACACTATATAAACTATGTACTCTCTATCCTACAAAAATCTGTATCCTGAATCCTTAACCTTCTTATAACAACCTATCTACAATAGTGTGGACCTAATACCCATGAGGAATATCAACTTTTTTTTTCTACGAGGTAAGTATTTTGAAAACGTTTCTATTTCTGATTCCATTGCGATGCAAGAGACTATCGGACAGTGCCGATAATAATCGTATTATTATTATTATTGTGCGCTAGGTCAGTAAATGGTTCCGCCGACGCTGCCGTCTGGAGCACGACCGCCGACCGTATCGATTGGCTGACCTCGTAGCCGTCGAAACGGGTCAGTAGCTTCCTATTGGCGGTCGATCTCGAGACTCAGCTAAGTACTGCCGAACGTTCGAGATTCGCAGTTAAATCGCAATTGAAAGACTGAGCCGAATTACGCGACGAACAAAATTGAACTTTTTGATAACGTTCACCGGCGCTTTTGATCAACGACGCCAATCGTATGTGTATTATGACGTATATTGTCGGTTAAAAAGTCCTAGACGAAGTTTATGTACTTATAATTCTTTTTCAAAAAAATAAAATGATCTTTAATAACAAAACTATAGGTCATAAATAGATTTTGATAATTTCGGGCGGAAAGGTGCATATGTGGACTTTATGATTTTCTTCGAGATTCGAATTAAAAGCGGTTACGTAGACCAAAATACAAACTATTAAATATAATATTCTATTGACATTGTATAACGTAAGAACACATACAAAAAATGAACTGAGATTAACTTTGGTTGACGGATAAAAAAACCGAAGAAAAAACAACTATCGACACGTTATCCCAAACAGTTATATATATAAAAAAAAACTCGAAAATAACGAATAGATATTTAAAACACCAAACCACGTGTATAGAAAATGAAGCTTCCTTAAAATAAATATTTCGTAAACATTTCAGAAAAACACATTTTTCGAATCGTCCACGTTTTCCCAAGTCGGGTTTTCCCCGTTATGCGAAAACGTAATGGGGATTTCAAAAAACAAAAATAAAATTATAACCAACCTGAAGACGAAAATATTCAACCTACAAGAAATCTCCTACAAAGTTTCAACCAATTTTGTATTCAAGACGCGTGGGTTGTACCGCCGTAGAAAATGTCGCAATCGATTAGGAATCTTGCATACTGCAGTAAAAAAAAAAAAACGTCATCGTAACGACATTTTATGTAAATAAATAACAATAATACGTATGACACAAATTTTATTAGCCTCACAAACTAACCTGATCTATTCAAATAAAATAAATAAATATATAAATAAAAAATATATGTAAAAAATAAAATAAATATATGTAACAATTAATTCAGTTTTAGAAGAATTACACACACACGCAATGAAATAAAGAAAGATAATTTTAATAATAGTTTTAATGTTCAAACCTACTTTAAAAATAATATCCTATGTCAATATATTTCAGATAATAAATAATAATCAAATAATTTATATTTCTTAACATATTCATGTCTAATAATAACTAATTTTAAATAATCTCTCCTATTAAAATAAATTATTTCTAAATTGTATGTAAAACGACCAATTTGTATAATTTTTTTCTATGTTTTCCTTCATTTAATTTTTTATATTCAGTCTCGTTTTATATTTTGACTGTGATGTACCTGATGATGAATTTTTAATTCGAAATCGGTCGTATAATACACTTATCATAATACTTTAAGCGACGCATTCATTAATTAATTTATTGTATTTTTATACATACACTTTTTATGTGTATATTAATTTACTTTATTTATTTACGAGTATTAACCATTTTAATAATTTTGTTTTTACTTTATTATTTTATTACTAATCTTTTTGTCGTTTTTGCGTTACCGTGACTACGCTTCGAACATAATCGAAATTACGTTCGTTTCGATGATATTATTATAATATGAAATCATGGCGTGGAGGAAAAAAATTGGGTAGGAGAAAACCGTAATTTATATAGTATATCTACGTCATAGAGCTACAAGAAAAAAAAAATATTAATATTTTAGTTGTATTATAATATTGTGTACTCGAAATCGTTGAAAGCCGTCCAAAGTATTGTAACAATTAAACAAAAAATTTAAATCGTCGAATTTCGGGTTTATTTGGGCGGTGAGGGGGAGCGAATCATAATTTAAAACTTTCTTTAACATTTGGTGTTTATAATTAAAATCGTACTCAATGTTACTTACCGCGCAAAAAAAAAAAAAAATCGAATTTTATAATTGTCAAATGCAGAGCGAAACTATAACATTACTATAATACTATATAACGTCCACTGGTGATTTATTCGAGTGAAAGAGCTTTATAAATGAACGAACTCGCGGATGTCATACAATTTATAATTGATTTATACATAAAAAAACGTTAAGTTTTTATCGTGTCAAACATACAATCGATAAAGAATTATTTATTTAATGATAATATTATATGTGTACGTAAAATATAACTCGATAACAATCAGACGCGTGATAAATTAATTGGTTTTTTCTTTTTTTTTTTTTTTTTTGAAAACGATAATATCACAATAATTAAATTATGCATTTCATATCTGTTTTGTAACTAAAGAGGGTAAATTTTAGTATTGGCTATATTGTTTCATATTTTATTTCTTCTACTTCTGAAAGAACGTGTTCTTTACTGGGCCATAAGAAAACATGTTCAAGGTCCAACATTATGATAGAAAATAGTCAAAAAATAGAATGTCAATGAGTTAAACCTGTCCAATATAAATTAGATTAAACACATTAACGCAAATTATATTATTACTGTTTTTACTCGAAATTTGGCCATCACAATTTAACTATCAAAAGGATGTAACAAGTATAGTATAAACACGTTCATTTTGTGGAGCTACCTATTTCGATTAAGTTGAATATTCATAATTTTATATTTTATTTCTTATTTGATAATCTTCAATTTTAATAAAATTTTTCGGAATAATAATCAACTCAGAATGGTTTTTCGTTAGCAATGGTTTAACGTTTCGCACAAATATAAATCAAATTACTATTTGTATCCTCCTCTTCCAATTTCCCTCCCTAAATAGTGGCACACCTATCAGCAGTAAAAGCCTTTTGAATTTTTTTTTTTTTAATATTTCACCGTAATGATAAACTATTTGTCAATGTGTAATTTATTAAATCGCATGATAATATTATTTTTGTATTGTGAACTCACTATAATGTATTTTATGTCTGTTGGATTACTATATTTATATAGTTTCACAAATCAATATTGTCAATATGTACCTAATATAATAGTGTATTTTTTTACTGATTATACGTATTATACTGCATATACTCTTTTAGAGAATATACATAGCAGTTATTATTTCAAAAATTCGTATTTTGATTCTCGGTATAACGCAGAAGTTATTAGTTTTACAAAATAGTGTTTTATTCGTAAGACAAAACTTTTACGATAGCGCAAAATATAGCCGCTTGAAATTTTCGAGGTTTTAGTTTTTGGTAATAGATATTATGTGGATTGAATTTTTTTCAAACTCTCAAAAACGATCGAAAGTTTAATACAAAGTCCATCATAAAACGTTCTAATATGACGCACGACAGTATAAATGTTTTTTTTTTTTTTGTTTTGTTATTTTAAGTTAAACGTTCATATTTTGACGGAAATCATAAAAACCGTGACATTTCAAAACGTGTTTAGCCGAACTTTGCTCAAAATCTCATGTCATTAATAATGAATAAATAACATTGTCACGTACTGATGTTAATTAAAAATCTCTGTGTATCCTACCTTTCTAATTTTTCACCTACAAAAGGTGTACACCCATTAGCATTATATGCTCTTTTTTTATATTATATAAAACCCCATCCTTCTGAAAAACCAATCCCATGTTTTATTCTATTTTATTAATTCTGAAATAATATTTCGCTGTGCTATTGACTTCGGGAGTCGAATGAGTGTGCGGGATAGCTGTTTTGCCATCAAAATTGTATTTCCAATTATTATATCGTACAATGTGAACAATATTCTCTATATAGAACCTCTTTGGTGCCTATACCTTCGTATATTATAATTAAGAGTCGTCGTCCGCATGGCCAGTTCCCCGGAAATTCCCATTTCTACTCGAAATGCTAAAATATAGTTAAGGCAGCTATAGAGCTCGATCGGTGAAGAGAAACGTATTCTAAAACGAATTGTGAAATTAACATAAATCGTTCAAAATAATATGAATAGAATACACAGAACACAGTGGATTTATTTAATAGGATGTCCAACAGAGATCTGACAAATGCAATAACTTTTAGTTTTTAATATATTTTATTTATAATTGTTATTTTTTTTTTTTTTTATATATATTTACTGAAGAAAATTTTACCATTATTGTTCTATTTTATATTATTATATTTTTTTAACTAAAAATATAAAATACAATTGGAAAAACATTTTGTTCATAATATCCAACATAGCTGTTCCATAAACTGATTTTAGAGCCTTATTTTGATAAGTTGCAAAAGTTTATTAACTATAAATAGTTAATTTTGTTTAATGGTTTGGTTTAAAACAATTTATTTTTCATTGAAAAATCAGTGAACGATTGATATTATTCAGTAGTGGCAACGAAAATATTTAAACTATCGTATTTTCAAAAATTTGTATACAATTAACGAATTATCGTTAGGTAGTAAAAATTTCTAACACCAGCATATTATATCAAAAATTATTAATAAAATTGGATTTTGTAAAAAATAAAATGTATTATTTTCAGTTTTATATTTTAAATAAAGTATAAGAATCACAGTGCATAAGTAGATAAGTACATAAGCTGTAATGATTACTAAAAAGAAAAACTATTTTAAACAGAACAAAAGTTATTACATTTTTTAGATTTCCGTGGAACCCCCTATA